TACCTAAGAATTTCAAAAAATATCTTTTAAAATAAAAAAGATTAATTATCCAAATTTAGTACAAATTCTACATCTGTTGGTAAAGTCCTGCTACTAAAACATGGGACACCCTGTATATTCGATATTACATGTTTAATCTGAACCTACAGACACAGCAGAAAATTGTGACCCAAAGAAATGCAAACAAAGAGGTAAAATTTGTGTAAATCGACAACACTTATAAGACTGTAGTTTTAGAAGAATCAAAAGGAACGTAACCTATTATAGAAGCAGCATAGAATAAAAAATAAATAAAGTATTCCTAAAAAATCCTTAATTGTTTTCTTTACACCCTGTATAAATTTGGGGAAGAGTCAAATTAGGACACAGTCATCCTTGCAGAAAATATAATTTAATGGATTTATTTTTAAATGCCTAAATAATATTACAATAATATTGCTTCAAGGTTGTATAAGGTATAATACAATATTTTTTAAATTAATTATTAACAAAACGAAAATTACTACATAAATGTTATATTTATTATTGTAAAAAATTTCAGAGCGCGATAAAATAATTATTTGTCCAATTACATTATTAAATTGTATATTTATATAAAAAAGCAAAACTAAAATTTGTAATTTTGTTAGTTTTTGTTATAAACTCAACATGTTGTTTAATTTCAGCTGTGTCCCATTATTATTAGTGATGTTTTTTTCATATTTTTTAACTGAGGTACCTAATTTGTTATTCTTGAAGCATTCCAACCCCTTAAACAGTTCTTGGATTTTAATGAAACCGAACTGTCTGAATTATCCAATTAACTAATAGTATTTTAGGCAAGGATAACGGTTTTTGTGATGGAGGAATGTTTACGCGAAACAAATACACCATGGACATCTCAAATATCTACTAAAGTCGCCAATCAACGTTTATTGTGCCTGCACAAGTGCATTTACAAGAAATCTGGTATTATCGATGATAAAGGAAATTTCCTAATAAACTCAATCAGGGAAGAAATGACGAATTCCACCCTCACTGACAACTACAAGGAAGAGTTATTTGACTGTCTTGAACTCATTGAAAAAATAACGAATTGTGACGATATACGTTTGATTAATAATTGTTTTGGAAATGGTGTTATAATAAACAAGAGAAACTACTAATTGTGCTTTTAAAATAATTTCTTATAATATATATAAATCAATTGTACATACCTGCGTTTTATTAATCCCCTGTATTAATTAAAAAAGTATGTCTTTGCACTATTTGCCAAAATTTTGAATATTGTCGAATAACAGGTGTCATCTGTTGTCAATTTAACTAACACGTCAGTTACAATTGCAAATTTCTATTTTAGAATCAGTTTACATTGTTGCCAAACTGATCAATTCAATTCACATTTTAATCGGCAAATAATTACCGTTTGTCAAATGAAAGCTGATATAAATAAACAATATTAAAAAAGGTTTTTGAAGAATTTTTAATATTACATAGGTTCTTAAAAACTATTTTGTCTGTATTACATTTTTAAATTCGATCGATAAATCGATTAAAGCGCCTTGCCGGTGATAAAGTAAACTAATTTAAGGCGGCTAGCAATTTTTTAGAGTACCTAGATCGATTTTAATCAAAGTTGTACCTAAAAAATTAATTTAAATAATTGTTTTGTGTACATCCACGGTGCAACAAGGTGAGTAAATAATGCTTCCCTAAAAAAATCTAACATCATAACCTAAAATGTCTACACGTACCTACCTACTGTATTTATTAAGGAAAATAAATTATTATAATAAGTTTTTTACTTTTTCATTTTGACGATGCAAAACGAAACAACTAGAAATTACAAGGAATTTAAATTGTAAAAATCAAAACAGAAAAACTACTAAACGTCGAGTTTACGAAATATTTACAAAAATACAAAAAATTTAAACAGGTATACTTTTAGGATAGCAATGGCTATACCGTTTGAGGAAGTTAATAAAACCAAAAAAAGTAATGTTTTGGATGTGGATAAGGTTCATTCAAATAAAGGAAACACTAGGTAAGTCATTAGTTTTTCTTTAGTTTTTTTTTATTTTTTATCACTCAACTATGGGTTATAAACAGTGGTGGCAATAGTATAAAACAAATTTATTTTATCAAAAAAAAAACGGTCTATTTTGTTTTTTTGCAGGTCACTGTTACAGTACATATCATGAAAATAGTCAAATATTTTTCGTTTTATAACTCCTTTTTTAACTCTTTCTAAACTCTTTCTTAACTCTTTTTTTAAAGTAATTTTTATTAATTTCTGGAATAAATTTAAAATATTATTTTTATGGAAAAATATTGTCTTTTTGGATGATCTTTTTTTAAAACTCTTTTCTAACTCTTTTTTAACTCTTTTTTCCACTTTTTAACTCTTTCTTTAACTCTTTTGTAACTTTTTTTAGCTCTTTTTAACCCTTTTTTTTAGTAATTCTTTCTTAACTCTTTTTTATAGTAATTTTTATTAATTTCTGGAATACATTTAAAATATTATTTTTAGGGAAAAAATATTGTCTTAATGGATGATCTTTTTTTAACTCTTTTTTAACTCTTTTTTTAAAACTCTTTTGTAACTCTTTTTTTAACTCCTTTTTTAACTCTTTTTTTAACTCTTTTTATAGTAATTTTTATTAATTTCTGGAATAAATTTAAAATACCTAGGTATTATTTTTAAGGAAAAAATAGTGTCTTTTTGAATGATCTTTTTTTAACTCTTTTTTTCCCACTTTTTTAACTCTTTTTTTAACTTTTTGGTAACTCTTTTTTAACAGTTTTGTAACTCTTTTTTAACTCTGGTTTAACTCTTTTCTTAACTATTTTTTTAACTGTTTTCTCTTAACTCTTTTTTTGTAGTAATTTTTATTCATTTGTGAAATAAATTTAAAATATTTTTTTAGGAAAAAATGTTGTGCATGTTGGATCATCATATTTGGCATCTTTTTAATATACATATTTACCTTTGTAATACATCTTTATATAAAATTTGTAAATAGTCCAGGGGACAAGGTATTGGATATCACGGATGTAAGTTTTAAAATACAAAAAAACTGATTACTTAATATTTTTTTTAATTCTAGGAAATCAAGAAATTTGAACAAATTTAACCAAAACCAAAACCCAAAAACTGACCACCGACTGAAACCTTGAACTATGGTGTATTCTATTCTTTATATGTTATTTTAACGTGTACTGTAACCGCAAAAAATTAATTTCACCAGTGACGTACCAATCATAATATTGTCAAATCAGATGAAATTATTAAAATCGCTTATAGATTTCTTTTTTATCTTATTAGTAGTTATTAAGTTTTTTATTGAATTTTATTTGTATGTATTTTATACTTAAGTTAAAATTTGTCTGCAATGACAAAAAATTTTTGTCGACATCAGTTGCCTTATTTAAATTGTGATGAGAACAGCTGTGATCTAAATAAATAATTTATTTGAATTATATATCGTTTTTTATTTAAATTGTGACAAAAACACGCCAACCTAAGAAAATAATTTATTTCTTTTTTAATTGACGTTATTTTGAAAAATATAATTACCTAATTAAATGCATAAATTAAATATAATTTCCCTGTTATCTTTAATATAAATTGTACAGTAATTGTTAATTGTAAAATACTTTTTATAATTAAAAGTGAATTATGCAATTCTTATTGATTAGTGCAAAATTACTCTAAAAATTGATTTTTCCAAAATTATATTATTTTCGTACGCCCGGTGTAAATTTATTAATTTGATTTGCCCAATCGATTAGTTAAAATAAACTATAGTACACAGTAAAAAAAATAAGTAAAACCTATTGGTGGTAGTGAATAAAACGAAAAGGTAAATAAAGAGAAACATTTATTTGGAAAAAAAATCTATGACAATTATCAAAATCGGTGCCTTTTAAAATATAATTTTATATTTGAGTCGTATGGCTGGCTTAAGCAAAATGGTTCCTTAAAACGTAAAAGTTTTAGATCAATGCAATGTTTTACTGGCTGAATTATCTTGAGAATTCATCAGCAATCCATTTTTCTGTTATAAAAATGTGTGATCCCATTGGTAGAGAGGCGTCAGGCGGCTGTATGTCGGGGATTTACCACACGTGTACAAATTTTCCATAATATTAATAAAAATGTAGGTATAGGTTAATTTAACAACCATTACGCTTGAAAATAAAAAGTAAATTAAGTATACTTATATGTATATGTATGCATTTATATTATTAATTTTACAAGTACCCGACCTACTGTCGTAAATTATTGATATATAATATAGGTCGGGTATGGACATCCTTTTAACATATTGGTATTTATTGAGTATTAAGGCTTAAAGAAAAAGGAAGTATAATACTTACCAAAAAATAAGAATGTCCCCTTATGAATTCACCGCAATTAAAATCTAACTGAACAAAAATGCCACACTTCCACAACGCGGTATCTCCGGATATGCACTACGTACATAGGTGCATAGGTGCCACTATTGGTGTATTTTAATTGTGATACAATGTGCACTAGTAGTGTAAAGAAAAAAGAGCTCTTATTAACATCAAAACAGACAAAGAAATTGGCATGCACTGTAGTGTACATTTTGTCACTATTTAACACATTATAAGGGGTAATAAACACTCGCATTAAGTTTTTCTACCCTTTTGATTTATTTTAATAATAAATAGTGTGAATGTACCAATGAATAATGTTCATATTCTTTAAATGTGTTTAATGTAGTGTATTTTGTAGTGTAACTTTTACACTTACAAATCAACTCTAATATTTTTACCCCTACACTAAAAAATTTACACGGGCAAAATTTTTTACTGTGTAGCATTATTTTGATTTATTATTGGTGAGGATATAACCACTTCAATCATAACACCCTGTACAATTCAATTAACTTTTTCTAAGGTGTTGAATACTCTACTAACATCGCTTAGTGCATTTTAATGTTTCATTGACAATTTATGATAATGACTATAATTTGATTGTTACAAAAAATTACAAATTATTTTTTTTACCATCACAGTACATACGTATATTTATTCTTGCGTATTGTTTTAAATGCGAGATGGTGTAATAATGTTCAAGTTTATTTTGTTGTACTTGTTTTATTTGAGTTTTACCTGTGCTCTAAAAAAGGAAATTTACGATGGTAATAGATTTTTTTAATTTCTTAAAATTTACCAATTAAATTTAATTTTTCATAGAAGTTTTAAACACCTTGTTTTTAGACGTCCCCATAGAAAAAAGTATAGATGTGTTAAATCTGGTGATCTTGCTGGCCATTCTAAGAAACATCTTTCTTTATTACTTTTAAATTTTAAAAATGTTTGGCTTGTCTATTTTGTTATAAACTGACTGTAATTTTGTTTACAAAACTTTACAAAAATGCCATATTTACAAACCTTCCCTGATAGCACACTTTATTCTAAGAATGTTTTAAACCTTCCAGTGAGAATATTCTTAGGATCATGCTATATTTCTTCTAAAGAACATGCTTAAAAGACATATAGCATGATCCTAAGAATATTCTTACTGGCCTATAGGCAGGTTCTTAGAAGGTGCAAAGTTTTAGTGGTAAAAATTAGTCTACTCTTAACATATGCTTAGAAAGTAATTGCTATAGAAAGTTCATTTAGGGATATTCCTGTTAAGCATATTTAGTTCAGTTACCTATATAATAGTAAAATATACCATAAACTACGTAGGTATAAAGGTATATACCTATACTTAAGTACCTAATTAGTAATTATATATAATAATAATAATTAGTAATACTATAGTATTAAATACTAAGTAAAAAACACAATCCAAAATATTTTTTTATAGTTATTTGTCAAATTAAAACAATATTCAATAACAAAAATACTTTTACTATAGGTATTTTATTTTATGTTAAAAATAAATATTTATTAATTTGTATAGCGATTTTTTATTTCTGAATTAACATTTTTATGTATAATAATCCTAACTACATATCTTCAACTTCAATCTAATCTGACCACAAAATTTTCCAATTTTACTTTTTATAAAATAATGTCATACAACTTATGGTTTAGAGGTCAAATTGTTTATTTAATATTTTTAAATAAATATATATTAATATGTCGCAAAATTTTTTAAGGGGACGACAAATACATTTCACTGTCATATTATAACAGTGAGGCGAATTTGTCGTCTCCTGAAGAATTTTACGAATGTAGAATGCAACATATTAGAACGTGTGTATCTGACATATTTGGAAATATTCTCAAAAGCTTCCTAGAAGCTCCATAACAAACATTCTAAGAACATTCCAAAAACGTATTCTTAAAATGTTCTTAGGATGCTTTTTAGGAAGGTTTTAAGAAGCTTTTGAGAATCTAATTGCATCATTAAAAGGGTATCTATTGAATGTTTTAAAAGTCCCTAAGAACATTCTTAGCAATATGGGAAGGTTCTAAGAATATTCCATTATTCCGGATCATATCTTCTTAGAAGATTCTTAATATCAAATTTTGCTATCAGGCTTACACCCTGTACATTTAGGCAGTAAGACGCAATTCATTAAAAATGAAAAATAGATAATTGTGTTTTCCAAATAATTACACCAATGTGTAAAACATTTATTGATACTTGTAGTTGCAGGTAAATCAACAAAAATTATAAAATTTGTTTAAATAAATAGAATAATATTTTCCTTGCTGTGTTTTTCAAACATAAATAAATAAATGTTGCATAAGATCTCAGAATACAAATGTGCCATTTTCCTTTGACCTTGACCCTCTAAACAAATAAAAAATAATAAAAAGTCTGGTGGGGTCAAATCTGAAGATCTGGCGGGCGTTATAATACGAAATAATTCATATTTATATAGCAAGGTTTTTGTAGCTTACATTGTTTTTATGTAATATTTATTCCAAATTTAAATATTCCAAGACTGGTTAAAACATATATGTACGTACATATATATGTAGTTGTTGTTATAAATTGTCGCAATGTTGTCATTCTAGACCGGTCCACATACTTAGATACAACAAATCCTTTTATAGTACATACAATACATTATGTTAGTTAAGTGCAGATGTTTGTGGATATGTCTGAACGTCTAACACTAGGTAAAATATTTGCTATAAATCACTAAAAGTCTAGAAAATCACCCCTAAAATGTGTAACCATCCAGAATTGCCTTTTAATGGCCAGGGGACTGTCAGTAAAATCAAACAACGCCAACGTATTGTTGAAGATGATGAGTGGCCAGCGTGATCTCCAGACCTCACCCCATTGGATTTTTTTCTGCGATGTTACCGTATTTTGTTTTAGAACCGGAGTACAAACTTCTCCCTCCAGTTTATCGAATGGAAAATATCGATGAGTGCATCAAATTAAATGACATATTCTGCGAGATGGAGATTGAACTGAAGCCCATCGACGAAAACTCAAAAATATGGAAATTAATGAATGTAAATATATATAAGTGTTCTTGATACTTAATGGTAATTAATTTTTAGAAAACAATCGATTCCTTCAAGTTCATACCAAGAAACATTCTTAGAAGGGCACTATGTGTTCCTAGGGAGCTACAAGAACAGGAAAAAGAGATGTCAAAATATGTTTTAAGCAAGATTGAGTATGAAGTTAAAGATTTAAATCTGACTGCAGGCCTAAAAAAAATTGGTTGCAATAGAGATCCAACGTTTACCACATTGGATTATACTTTGATGTAAGTATTGTATTGTGCACAAAAATATTGATAATTTGATAATAATTTTAGCATAATGACTGTTCTATATATCGTACTTTTGATCTGGTCAACTGTGGATGACTTTTTAGTAAGAAAAAGGGACAAGAAAATTCTTAACAAGGAAAAAAAGGAAGATGAAAAGAAAACCCCTAAAAGTATGTTTAGTAAATCGATATTAACTATCAATTTTACATATATTTTTAGCTACATCCTTATTCCATTCATTTTCTTTCATAAGTAATTTGGAAAAATTTAGAAGAACGCCTACTAATCCGGACTACCTAAGGCTGAAATCTATGCAAGGTTTAAAGTGCTTCATTACTTTTTTAATAATAGTCGGTCATAGCTTCTACAGTTCCTTCTACAGTTATCTCTTAAACCCTGATGCAATTGAACAGGTAACTTCATTCGATTGAATGAATTGCAACAAAAAGCTTTTCGGTTTTCCACGTGCTAATCTCACTTGATCAATTTTCAGCACATTGGGATGTATCCTTTCCAGATGTTTGCAAATATGGGAATGTACCAGGTGCAAGGGTTTCTACTTATGTCTGGATGGTTGTTAGCCCTTCAAGTCTTGACCATTAATGATCTGTTCAAGGGATATCAACTGAGTCATACTGCTCTTCTCTACTTAAACAGATACTTAAGGTGAAACAAATATTTGAAATATTTCCCATATAATAGTGTTTTTAGATTGTTTCCAGTGATTGCTGTAATGATAGCATTCCACACTTCATCAATACCTCTGTTCTTTTTGCAATATGCCCCACTGGCTTCTAAGTTGGTGGAGAGGACAGATAACTGCAAAAGAAATTGGTGGAAGACGATACTCTTCATCCACAATAATGACTACGCCTACAAAATGGTAACAGTTTTGATTTTACAGTGCTAAATACACATTTTTTTTTTTTTTTTTTTAGTGTGAATCAGGAACGTGGTACATAGGTGTGGACAGTCAAATGTACTTCATTTCGATATTTGTGATGTTTATCATACTGAAATACAAGCTAGGTTTAAAAGGACTTTTTAAAGTGATGTGCCTGTGTTGTATGGCTTATGGATGCCTTATTTATTATTTCAACGTGGGATTCTTTTGCAGAATTACTCCCAGGTTTGTAAAACCGTTGCCGTTTTATTGTTATTTATTATGTTATACCGTAGTCGGCTACAATTTGGTCAGGCAGAATTAAGCTTTGAGTTTTTATTACTGTACATATCAACTTACTCGAGTGCTTCATCTTTTTTCATCGGGATTATGTTTGGATGGGTCTACTACGAGAATAAAAATGTCGACTACAATTTGTCCAAGGTACTTTGACCAAAATTTGGGGGTTTTTAAACATAACATATTAATTTTTAGTGGTGGAACATTCCTTGGTTTTTGTCTGCCTTTGGATTGCCATGGTTGGTGTTGCACATATCAATGTATGAGTTTGGAGGTGCTGTAAGTGCTGTCTTAGGGGCCTTGGTTAAACCCATATTCACGTTCGGTTTTGGTATTCTAATCCTTGGTATGGCAAATAATCTCGGAGGTATATGGAGTACAAATCTTCTTTTGGGCCTTTGTAACAGTATTTATTTCAGGACCTATCAAAAAATTCTTCGAAAACAAATACTTTGAATTGCTGGCCAACATAACTTTCAGCTTGTATATATTCCACTTCGACATTGTTTTTCCCAGGTCGATTTTTGCCAAGAAACCCATATTTCTAACGAAAAGATATATTGTAAGTGGTGTTTCTTAGATATCCCAATACTTATCTCTCAACGAAAGAAAGAAAAAGACATAAAGTATCATGATATTATTTTTTTTTATTATTAGGATAAAATGGCGATTTTTTTTTTTAGTTTATGAATGCAGGAATAGATTTAATTACATCGACCCTTCTTGGTTTTACAATGTATATGATTTTGGAGTTGCCGTTCAGTAATCTTATCAAAATATTTATGAAGAACTTGATGGATAAGGAAAAAAAGCAACTAGAGGAGAAGAAAAAAAAACATCTGTAGTAAATATTATTTTAATGGCATATAATGTAAAATGTACAATATTTTTTTAATAAATAACTTTGTTATTTCAAATAAACATCAGTACCTTGGCGTGTCACAACTCCTGAATAAAATATTTGAGTGGTTTTATTTTAAAATATATTCAATTTATCTTAAATTTTTCAATTTCACTACAAACTATAAAACATTAAATAATGAATTTTCCATATTTTATCATAGATTCGAATAATAGCAATTTTTAAAAATTTGATAATCTTTGTACTCACTTTTACCCGTCAGTTCTGTGTCCAATGTTAAAATTCAAAATTCCTGCAAAATATTGAAGTTTAAACGTCAAGTCCTCGTTTTAACTCAAGTGTTGGTAAAAAATTACCTACAGAGCCCGCCCTTTGCACGACAGTCATCTTGAAAACAATGCAAGCGGCGAAGTTGTGGTGAATGCACGTATAGTTTCAGTCAAAGTACTGTGGTGAGAAGTTATTTTCTTACGTATATATATTTCATTGTAATGTATATATGGCTATATGTGATTTGTTGAGCATCCACTAATAAAAAATATCGGTAAAATACTTAATTCCGAATTATAATCTCAAATTTGTATCCCATTCATCAGTACCGTGTCGTCAGTTACTTCAATTTAAATTCTGCTTGCGCAGAACTTGTTTATTTAATGTCATTATAAACTCATATAAATTTGGTGTGGGTCCCATATCTAATAATTAAGATATCGGTATACCCAAAATCCACCAGCCGCCACTGATGTGTGGTATTATTTGATTTTAAGATATTTAATGTATAATATGCTCAAAATTGCAATAAATCTTATATTTTCCAATAAATTATGTATTTAATTAGTACCCTGGTATACTCGTCACTTCCCTTGCATTCAAATATAATATACTGTTCCAGACCGGGCCAGTCACTTTTTCAAACAGTTTCTGAAATATCCGTGTTTTTTAAATTTGAATGCAAGGGAAGTGACGAGTATACCAGGGTACTAATTAAATACATAATTTATTGGAAAATATAAGATTTATTGCAATTTTGAGCATATTATACATTAAATATCTTAAAATCAAATAATACCACACATCAGTGGCGGCTGGTGGATTTTGGGTATATATATATATATATATGTTCTCATAACAAAATACTGTTTCATTTTCTCCGAAAACTATATAAACTATTTTAATTGTTAAACGCATGTTTCAATAATTAAAATCAAAAGACCTATGTGGTGAGGGGAATTTAAGCTTGAATACTAACAACGCTGGTAGTATCAGTGAAGATCACTTTTGAATGAAGCAAAACATATTATTGGACCAAGTAATATTTGCTCTTAAATCAAAATAAAATGGGTTAGGTCAAGAGTATATACTATAGTATATAGCAAGACAAATTTCCTTTCTTAAAAAGTTTGTAAGCTTTTCAATTAGGTAAGAGATGCAATTTTCATGTTAAAATACAATTTTTTTTAAACCAAGAAATCACTTGCTCTTGATTTACAATATCCAATTGTCCAATTTTTATAGAGTAATATTTATTACTTAACCTTTAAGTTCCCCTGAAATAGTAGGTACTTTTGACATGCAAATATAATTAAAAACATATTTAGCGTTTTTTATCATCTTTATTTGCTGTTTACCGAACAAGTACAAGTAAAATTGTGTTATTTAATACGTCATACAAGAACATCCACTTATTTTGCTGTACTTAAAATAGTGAATAGCTTATTTTGAAGCGTACAACAATTGCTGTTAAACAAAAATGCTCTTAACTCGGTGTTGCTATTTGTCGATCGTGTTTTGTTTTGTATATGGGTCCAGTGAAAGTAAAGGTAGGTATACGATTTTTATATTTTTAATTTATATCAAATTTGATTTTTTTTTTTTAATAAAGTTTACGACTTTGTTTTGTAATTTAAATTAATACTTATTTGAAGTATATTGGGAGTTGAATGCAAGAACTAATCCATTTTTATTTCTAGATAAACTATCATATTATTTTAAATGCATGCATCCTCAAATAAAATACACACTATGCTTAATTTAAGAATAAGTATTTTTTTATACAAATGTTAAATAAAGGTTACCCTATTCTAAGAATGTTTTTTAAACCTTCCAGTGAGAATATTCTTAGGATCATGCTATATTTCTTCTAAAGAACATGCTTAACACATATAGCATGATCCTAAGAATATTCTTACTGGCCTATAGGCAGGTTCTTAGAAGGTGCAAAGTTTTAGTGGTAAAAATTAGTCTACTCGAAACATATGCTTAGAATGTTAAGAAAGTAATTGCTATATGTTAAGCATATTTAGTTCAGTTACCTATATAATAGTAATTAGAATTAAATACTAAGTAAAAAACGCAATCCAAAATATTTATTTATAGTGATTAGTCAAATTAAAATAATATTCGATAACAAAAATACTTTTACTATATGTAAAAATAAATATTTATTAATTTGTATACCAATTTTTTATTTCTGAATTAACATTTTTATGTATAATAATCCTAACTATCTTCAACTTCAATCTAATCTGACTTATCCCACAAAATTTTCCAATTTTATTTTTTATGAAATAATGTCATAAAACTTATGGTTTAGAAGTCAAATTGTTTATTTAATATTTTTAAATAAATATTTATTAATATGTAGCAAAATTTAAGGGGACGACAAATACATTTCACTGTCATATTATGGCATAATTGTCTCCTGAAGAATTTTACGAATGTAGAATACAACATATTAGAACGTATCTGACATATTTTGGGAAATATTCTCAAAAGCTTCCTAGAAGTTCCATAATAAACCTTCTAAGAACATTCCAAAAGCGTATTCTTAAAATGTTCTTAGGATGCTTTTTAGGAAGGTTTTAAGAAGCTTTTAAGAATCTAATTGCATCATTAAAAGGGTATCTATTGAATGTTTTAAAAGTTCCTAAGAACATTCTTAGCAATAAGGGAAGGTTCTAAGAATATTCCATTATTCGGGTCATATCTTCTTAGAATATTCTTAAAATCAAATTTTGCTATCAGGGTTAAGTCTTTCTTAACTTTTAACAGGCAAGAATAAGATCTGCTTGTTTAAAGAAAGAATAATATTTAGTTTAATGTTAGTTTTAGCCTTGACAATATTAGGTCAATCATCTGTACACTGACTGTACTTGATTTTAAGCTAAGAAATAAAATCTTTTTAATTTAATTTTTATTTTTGTTCAAAAAACGACTTTTTCAATATTTGAATTGATTAAAATAGTGGTAGTGGTCGGCGATTCGGTTATGTTTAGTTTGGCATCTTTTACAACCAGGTTGGCTGTTTTTAATTCAAAATGAAAAACTTTACCTAGTTAAAAAAAAAATAAGTCAAATTTAAAATAAAACCCTTATCTATTTTTTTTTTATGTATTGCACGCGGTTTTATTGTTAAAATTTTAATTTGGTCCTTGAACCACAAAGTTGTTATTAGAACAATTACAATAATACATTATTAATAGTACCTTACTACAGTAAGTAAATAAAATTAATAATACTTATTGAGAAAATGTGTAGATCCTAATTGTTTGCTATTATTAAAAAGTATAATATATTTTATAGTATAGTATATTAAAAATTCATTAAATTTTTTTATTGTTTATAATTTATTTAAATAAGGAAATTGAAAAAACCATTAAAATTTTAAGTTATTATAATATACAGGAACATATTATTGAAATTTGACTTATTTATGCAAATGATGTTTCTGTGGCCAGGATCAGTTTTGAATTAGCAGTAGCAGTATTCAAAAAAAAAAAAAAAATGACGTTTAATATACAGAGTGTTTCACGTATGTAGTGTTTCTAGGGAGTTTTAATAGCGTAAATTATTCGATTTAGACTTTTTTCCTAAATTATTTTGAACAAAATAATACTTCCTGTTTTACCGGAAATGTCTTTAACTTTGTTATTTAAACAGGGCACCTCATATATTTTTACATTTTTGAATTATACATAAAATTCTGAGTAAAATAAAATTAAAGGAGGTTATAATTTCTAACTTGCTGACACCGTCTATAATTATTATTTAGTTTATTCATTTAAATAAATTGGAAACTTGTTGTGTTCTAGTTGTGCATATTTTGACATCTCTTGTTACAGATGACCCTCATTCAAATTTTCCCCAAATGTACAATCTGGATAACGTGGAATGCGGAAACAATACTGAAACATTTTGCGAAATAGGATTCACCGTGGTTCCAAAACAATCAAATTCGAAGCTATGGGAAAAAATTTCGGCAAGTACTACTACTATCCACCATACAGCCCAAACCTTGATTTTTGCAAAATTGTTGATCCTGTACAAGAAAAATCTGCTGTTTCATATAATAGTAGTTTATTTTTTAGGAGACCCAGAACCACAACTTTAAGTTTAGAAAGGATAGAATTTATCGCAGCATGTGTGTCCCAAGAAAGCAAGAAAATAATCTGAACAATTACGTGAAAGAAAAATTATACACGGAAATAAAAAACAAAACTTTTAAAGTTATAGAGGTGGATCTATTTAATTGTAAAGGAGATTATCCGTACTTACCCGAAGATTATTTTTTGCTGTGAGAAATGGAGCATTTGTATAAATATGTAACCAGATTTATTAATAATGTTTTAGGTACTGTATAGCTGGATATGTAACTTTCGTTTTATTAGCAACCTATTATGATTATTCTGTGAGGAAAGGAGACTACACGCTAGCTTCTGTAGGGTGTAAGTAATTCAGCTCCACTTTTATTTATGTACGAGGTGTGTTCAGAAAATAACGGGAATTGTTAAATTATGATATGATAAAAACTTTAGCTGTTTTCATTGTTTACTTTGTCTGTGGCAGCCGCTAAGGTTACACGTGTTTTATGAGCTCGGCGATTTTTCGTTCGTTAAGAGAAATGGATCAAAGAATTTGTATCCAATTTTGCTTAAAAAATGAAATAAATTCTGTGGAATGTTAACAAAGGCCTGAAGTAAGTCTGCTATAAGTAAAACAAGAGTTTACAAGTGGTATAAGTATAAAATGGCCGTGAAGACGTTGAAGATGACGAACGCCCCGAACGCACAAGCACATTAACAACCGATAAAAACATGGAAAAGTGGAAGAAATGGTTATAAACCATCAGAGAAGTCGCTGATGATGTTGGTATATCGATTGGCTCATCCCATGAAATTTTTTCGAATGTTTTGGGTATGAAACGCGTGGCAGAAAAATTTCTTCTAAAATTGTTAAATTTTGAACAAAATTTTTGGCCAAAAACAATTCTGTAATGATGCCCCGGCCTCCATATTCGCCGGACATGCCTCTGTCTGACTTTTTCCTATTCCCAAAAATAAAGAGAACCCTAAAGGGCCGTCGTTTTGCAAGCATAGATGACATTAAAAGCGCATCGCTGAAAGAACTAAAGGCTATCCCAAAGATCGAGTTTTAGAAGTGTTTCGAGTATTGGAAGAAGAGCTGGCACATGTGCATAATATCCAATGGGGACTATTTTGAAGGCGACAACATTAATGTAGACGAATAAATAACTATTTGCTTCAAAAAACGATATTTTCTGAACACACCTCGTATTTATCTAGACACCCTCTATCAATCAGTACTAAAATTTCATTATTTCCACCTGTGACTGTAAACCGCTTGACTGTGCGGTGAAATGAAGTACGTGATCGAATCCGGAAAACGCTGAGCCTAGATAATAACGGAATTATCTAGATTTCTGCCTGCTTCTCCATAAATCAAAATCATTTCTATTTTTTCTTCCACTGTTATTTATTTATTTAGGGAATAAATATATCGTGGCCTTCTCTTTAATTACGAGCAACAAAAAGTTAAGAAAACCGATAAATAATAAATTTTACGATCAACTGAAGTCAATTCAAGGAATAAGGACCTATAATATGATGCTTGTGATTTCTGGACATTCCATCATGAACTACATGACTGTTATGGTTTCAAATCCAGAGTTTTTGGAAAAAGTAAGTTACCATGGATTAAATATGCTTTCCAATGCAAAATTAAAAAAAATATTTTCAGATATTCGAATTAGCCAGTCCATTTTTCACATGGGGAATGTTCTTGGTGCAACCGTTCTTTTTGTTCTCAGGATGGCTGATAATGTTCTATTTCCTTGAAAATGAAGGAAAACTTAAATTACATCATTTTGTCATGGCGTTTGTGTATCGTTTATTAAGGTATTATACCGGTTTTATAATACTCTCGACATAAAGCAAATACGAAATGTCTATTTTTTAGGTTATGGCCGCCACTGGCGTTTTCGATTCTACTCCATCGAAGTCGACTTTTGCTCAATCGATTCTCGGGAGCCCAAACGTTTTTGATGGAGTTGGATTACAAGGCTTGTTCTGGAAGTTGGTGGAATACATTTTTTTTCATGACCAACTATCAACAACCACAAAAAATGGTATGTAGAAAGTCTCCACTCAACGGTAAAATACCAAAAACGGGTATTATATCGTAAAATGCATAATAACTGAGATATAATATTGTTGCCATGAATTCTTAGATACATTTTTTCGTTTACTATTTTTAAACTCAGTTGTTGGCGTTTTTTTAGAGGTCTCAAATATAAAAATGTTTAATTTTAAGGTTATGTGTGTACAACTATTGTATCAATACCCATTTTTTTAGTGTAACATTATCTCTTGGTATTTAGGAGCAGACACACAAAACTTCTTAGCTGCCTTAATTGTTTTGTATGTAATATTTAAATTTAAATTGCCTGTATTACGAAGCCTAGTTTTTACAGTTGTTGTATGTATTATTACACAAATGTGGATTATGTACCTTTATGATTTAGACGTTATCTACAGGGTGACACCAGAGTAAGTACTTTTTTTTTTAAATATATCCAAAACGTATAAATATACCTATACAGGGTGTTATGACATAAGGAATAAAGGAAAAATATTTTAAAAAGCATTTTTCCAAAGATAACGAAAAAATATGCATTAGAAGTTTTTTATATTTTTTGTGATACGCCACTGGTTACACACTTGTTTATCTCTGCACACCTGTATTTTGTGAGTACATAGATACCAACCAACAAAGTAGCTATGCGTTGCCAGATGTAAAAAATTGTTACTAAAAATTTTTCTTGCAAAAAATAAATAAAAACTCAATAAATACAAAAGTTTTATGCCCTTAAAGCTCCAATACCCTTCTGTATTTATTTACTGATCCAGCTATTAGCTTAAGCAATGATTCGAAAATTTAGTACCTTTGAAATTTGAAATCTATAACCACAAAATTAATTTTTTCATCAGTTTTTTTCTCTGTTTACTCAGATGAAATTGGGACCAGTTCACAGGTTAAACTTTAAACATTTAATTTGGGTAAATAAATCCAAAAGCACTTCCCTAAGTTAAGATATTTACAATTTAAAAACATAACCTAAAATTTAAAAGAAATGCACTAGATTCTGTCATAAAAGTTGGCAGATTTTGTTTGAATTTACCTTCAGTACAAAAATGAAATAACCAACAATTAATAAAAACGCCAAATTGACAATTTGCATTGTTAATTTTGTCATTTTTGTAATTAAGCTAAATTTAAACAATGTTTGTCAACTTTTTTGAGAGATTTTGGAAACACTGTTGTTACCAACCATAACATAATAAATCCACCAGATTAACCTAAAGTTCCTAGTCGATCAGTGGCGTACTTTTTGGTAGGTTATTATAAATTATTTTTAGACTTTGGAATTTAGAAAAAAAAAGTTTCAGGTGCTTCTTTATGGACCCTAAGGAACAACCCATTTTTATATATAACGTTAATTACATAACACCCTGTATAATTATTTTAGAAATTTTCTGCTCTACAATATATTGGTACGAGATCGAAAAAGCCTATTTTTATGGTACTTATCCCCATTATCGAACACGCCAAGTTTTTTCCTGGGACTTATCTTCGCAACAATCTACTATCGCTACAACAACGCAAAAATATTTCAAAAACAGGTCAGTTTTCTTAAATGCTACTGTTGCGCATTGGTTTTAAGACAAAATATGTTTTGCGCATGCGCGATACAGACATACAACCACCAGCGCCATCTAGTGATATTCGAGCGAACTAACTAACACTAACTTTGACATTTGAGCTCTAGAACATATCTTGTCTTGTATTCACTCAAATTTGTTGTTTGTTATAACCGAACTATACAGTTCATTTTTTTTTTGGACTTTGGTCTTTAGTTTCCCAAATAACTATTTATTATTTTAGATTGTAAAATTGCTTTGGTTCGTGTGTTTCGCTGGTATACCCCTATTAAGTATATTCTTGTCAATATACCACTATGATAAATTTACAACAGTTTTTTTGGGCAGTATATTGAAACCTATGTATAGTTTGGGAATCGCCATAGGAGTTTTGGGAATGACTCAAGGAATAGGAGGTAAGTAATGAATCCAAGGGTTTTCAATTTCAATTTTTGTCTGCTTTGCTGCATTCTGTTGCATCACAATTTTGTCCAATAAACTTAAACGTTGATTTGTAGGTTTCATCAAAAAAATCTGCGAGTTCAGAGTTCTTCAAATACTAGCGCAAACAACTTATACTGTCTATTTGTTTCATTTGGTGCTAGTTTTCGACGTCCTCTTAAACTCAACATCGTTGGTTAACGTCACAGTATCAAAGATAGTAAGTATTAAAATTAATGCGCTTGTCAATATAATCAACCTGTTCTAGATAACTAGAAAACAAGAGCTTCCATAGGCCTCTTGATGTAGAATCCAGACATTTTTCTTATACTTACGTATTTTCTATATTTTAGGTTTACCTATGTGCTGTTAATGTTGTAAGATGTTTTATTCTTGGATTCGTCCTTTGTCATTTCGTAGAACTACCATGGAATAATATCCTCTCGATATTTATGAAGCCGTCCAGTGATAGAAAAAATAAATAAATAATGTATTTGTTTGGTGATAATAAAGTTTTGTTGACGTTAATTTGGTTTTTATTATTAAATTAAGAGTATGCGATTTCTTGGTACAACAACCAAAACTATTTCTTCGGAAGATATTTCTCTTTTCAAGAACTTCTTTCTTCAAACATACTCTTTTATGCTGAAATATTGTTTCTTGCCGCTAATAATTTTTTATCAGGAGAGTTGACCATTTTAGTTTAACTACGGTTTCGCGAAAGGATCAAACGGACGATTTGAAGAAATCGATTTTTACCTTATTTCTACATCTAAATGCAGTACTTTTTTTTAAATCTTATCCATTGACAACTTTTTTTCACTGTGTAAAAAATGAAGAAATTTCATTATTTTTTAATAACTTTTTTATTTCAAAACGTATCGACTTAAAAATTGGACAAAATGTAGATCTTGCTAATGACAATTAATTCATGAAAAAATTTTGTTTAGATTTTAACGTACAGGGGGCGCTGGTGATCATAATTTAATTTAAAATAAAACATTTTTTAAAGGGTAAATCGAAGAAGCAACGTTTTATTAAATTTCGGTACATTGGTAAATTCACAAAAACAATTAAATTTGAACCGGTAACATTAAAAACCATTATTACAAAACAATTAATTAACGAAATTTAAAAAAAACATACAGTTTTTTTGATTATACTTTTTTACATTTACCCAAACAGATTATTAATGTAAGTAAATAAATATAACTACTTGTTTGACAAACGAAAATATTGTTTGTAATAAATAGCATCGTAACTCCTAATGACCGCAGCATACAATAGTACCAACCTGATCATAAAGCACAAGTGATTTTAGTATTGTCTAGGTAATGCACCCTCATTGAAAGAAGATGGCTGGGTATAATTTAATCCTCGGTATTGTTTTTTATCTGGTAACATACGTGGAAGTAAATTCCCAATCAGTGTTAAGAGGTTAGTGATATATTATTTAACATTTTTTTCTTAATATAACCTACATTTATATGTTTACTTTGGTGTTTTTTAAAATCTAAATTGACTAAATTAAAAACTTAATGAGTTTGATGTACCTATCAATGGTACTCCATAAGACTACATTAAAACCATTTATTCCAAAATTGATTGTTTTAAAAGTAACTTGATATATAATCCTTTAAAAAAACAAACTAGTTTTAAAGTATATATAAGCTCAATACGATCAACCCAACCATATATGGTCTTTTGCTCGACGAACTCTTTTTTTCGATTGAACACTCCCGTTTGTAGTAAACTGCTTGACTGTACGGTTAAATGAAGTACGTAATCGAATTTTATAATAATACTAAACTATAAATTTAGTTTCTTTATACCTCAATAATAATTATTATTTATAACTAAATACCATTTTGTTTTTTTACCTTAAATGACGTATTTTTATTAAAAATAAAACAATAATCCTTTAAATTAAAGGATTTAATGCTGGCAGGTAAAAAGTGATCATGGTGCGCAATTAATAATTATCATGATTATCGGTGCACCGAATGAAATAATGTATAAAACTTAAACCAAAGGAAACTTAAATAATTGTTAAAAAATCGTGGGTATACCCACGTATACCCACGTATACTTAAACAAATCAGATTTAATTTAATAAGATAATTATTACCAAAAAAAATGATATTTTTATAAAAAATTATTGCAGAATCGCATGTTTCAAGTTAAAGGACGCACCCTGTATAAAAGATACACAAATTTAATATCGATCAATAATAATAGTGTCATTAACATGGACAAAAACTTATTATAAATATGTAATTGGTTATCTATTACAAATTGTTATTAATATAAAAACATCATTAAATATTGATATGTATATTATATTAATGTTTCTAAATATTGTCCTTTATAATTATAGAACAATTATTAATCTTAAAATGACGCATTTTTATGTAATTGTTAATTTTTTTATATTTTAATTATTCAATTTTATTTATATTTTGGATTTCAAACATTTTATTTTATTTTTGCTAGAAGATTTATTGCTATTTTAAATCCAAATACATAATTATGCATAATTTTTTAATTTTATATTTCATTTCATTTAAATATGGGTACAAATTTCAAGTATACAGTAAGTAATAATATCCAAGGTAATGTCAAAAAAATTTACTACAATTTATTTTAATTTGACCTCTGCTTTATAGCTTTTAAATGATGTTAGTGTTTTTTGGTGACAAAATATTATGATATTTCACAAAAATGTTTTTTATATAAATATGTTACTCCACTTTTGCATTTTCCTTCAATTATAAGTACATCATGGATCTTTGCTTTTGCATTTGAAGCGAAACTTTTTCGTCAACCTTATTTATTTTCGTCAGAGCGCTTCCCTGATAGCAAAATTTGATTTTAAGAATTAATTAATCTTCTAAGAAGATATGACCCGGAATAATGGAATATTCTTAGAACCTTCCCTTATTAGGGACTTTTGAAACATTCAAAAGATACCCTTTTAATGATGCAATTAGATTCTTAAAAGCTTCTTAAAACCTTCCTAAAAAGCATCCTAAGAACATTTAAAGAATACGTTTTTGGAATGTTCTTAGAAGGTTTCTTATGGAGCTTCTAGGAAGCTTTTGAGAATATTTCCAAATATGTCAGATACCCACGTTCTAATATGTTCACATTCGTGAAATTCTTCAGGAGACGACAAATACGCCTCACTGTCATAATATGGCAGTGAAATGTATTTGTCGTCCCCTTAAATTTTGCGACATATTAATATATATTTATTTAAAAATATTAAATAAACAATTTGACCTCTAAACCATAAGTTGTATGACATTATTTCATAAAAAATAAAATTGGAAAATTTTGTGGGATAAGTCAGATTAGATTGAAGTTGAAGATAGTTAGGATTATTATACATAAAAATGTTAATTCAGAAATAAAAAATCGGTATACAAATTAATAAATGTTTATTTTTAACATAAAATAAAATACCTATAGTAAAAGTGTTTTTGTTATCGAATATTGTTTTAATTTGACAAATAACTATAAAAAAATAAAAAAAAAGAATATTCTCACTGGAAGGTTCAAAAAACATTCTTAGAATAAAGTGTGCTATCAGGGTTCATAAAGGATTTTTTAACAGTGGAAGAAAAAATAGAAATGATTTTGATTTATGGAGAAGCAGGCAGGAATCTTGATGATGCTGTTAATATCTACGCTCAGCGTTTTCCGGATAAAATTCGATCGCATACTTCATTTCGCCGTACAGTCAAGCAGTTTACTACAAACGGGAGTGTTCAGAAAAAAGAGTTTCAAGTTGTATCGTTTTCAGATGACTTCGAAAAAATATTGCCCAAGATTTACAATCTGGAAAATATAGAAGAATGCAACAGCATCGGAGATAACTTTTGTGAAATCAGATATTCCTTAAAATCGAAACATGAAAACAACACAGTATGGAAATATATATCGGTAAGTATATCCTACTATAGTACAAGAAATCTTTGTAGCATAGTTCTGTTTAAGGAATTTAAAAACCATAAGCATAAATTTAGAAAAGATCGCCTGTATAGAGGAGTGTGTATTCCCAGGGACAGGGATGATCTTCAAGCGTATCTAAGGGAAAAAATCAATAAAGAAGAACTGGAAAAGATTTCCTTGGAACCTGAAGTCGTGGATGTACTTTCCTGTGGAAACAAATACGAGCTATTACCAAACGATTACAGACTAATGTGAGTAGGTAGTCGAAGCCTGTTCTGCAGCATATCTGCTTGGATACGTTAGTAGGTACCATTTTAAATTACAACCCTTGTTTTTTAGTGCGGGGTTTATTGGTTATGTTGCTTTTATTATGTATGCAACCCTATATGACCTTAAGTTACGTACAGAAGAATCTAAAGGTAATATTAAGAAGTAAACTCTTAGTGATTGTAAAGCTACTTTTCAATTTTAAGGAAACAACTTACTGAGAGCGTTTTCTGTAATCGAAAACAACCAGAAAATAAGAAAACCCATACACAATGAGTTCTACAACAAACTCAAGGTAGTGCAGGGCATAAGAACCTACAATATGATGTTGGTTGTGGTTGGACATTCCATAATGAACTTCCTAATTGCCTATACATCGAATACTCACTTTTTAGAACATGTAAGTACTAGCACAAATTCACGTTGGTATCTCTAACCAAGTAATTCTATAACCTTTTAGATGGTTGAGCATGCTGGTATATTTTTCAGTTTGGGCATGTACTTGGTACAGCCGTTTTTCTTTTTTACCGGAATGATTTTGATGATGAGCGTGCATTACGTTGTGGAAAAAGAAAAGAAACTCAGTGTTGCCTCAATCGTGAAACTCATTTCATTAAGGGTCATGAGGTAAACACATTGTTCAAAAAATTAAAAATAACAACAACCAAATTACCGAGATTTTAAGGTTATGGCCAACTTTAATTTTTATAATAGCAATTCATAAAAGTCGATTGCCCAACCACGTTTTTCAAGGAGCCCATACATTTTTGTTGCAAACGGATCATAGGGCATGCAATCAGTATTGGTGGGCAACATTACTATTTTGGACCAATAATATGGATAAAAGAAATGTGGTATGTATTGAGTTTTTTTGTACTCGTACAGTCCCCTTCCCATTAAAACTAAATACTAATACTAAATACCATTTTTTATACCTCAATTAGGATAAAATTAATTAATTGACAAAATAATGTTTTTTTAACATTAAATACTAACTGAGATATTTCCAAGTTTCAAGTTAAATGTATAACCAACAGGTTCCATCACATCATTCATATGTTTTAGTGTAATTTTGCCACATGGTATTTAAGCGCTGATATGCAAAACTACGTTATATCGATTGTAGCTCTCTATGTAATATATAAATGGAAAATGCCATTGATAAGAAGCATTTTAGCAATTTTGACCACTTCTTTGTTACTTCAAATGGGCGTTATGTACTATTACAATGTCGATGTTATATACAGAGTATTGCCAGAGTAAGTATACTTCGTAAAAAATATACATACAAGACTAATATAATATTGTTTTAGAAACTTTGTAATCTACAATGTATTGGAAGAGTTTTGGCCCATTTTTATATGGTATACATCGGCCTTATCAAATAATCCTAGTTTTACCATTGGCATTTTATTTGGGGCCATATTTTTGAAATACGACGAACATAAATTTTTCAGTTATCAGGTCAGTATTCGTTCTTTTTTTTTATTAAGTTGGTAGCCAATTTTGGTTCCATATTTACCAACCAAACCCCTACATTTGCAACGTTGCCGCAGTTTCTTTACGGACAAAGAACAGATGTAGTATAATCCTGAGCTAGATTTAAAAAACACTTATTTATTTCAGTCTGTAAAAGTTGTCTGGTTCCTTTCTTTCTTTGGGTTACCACTCTTAACCTGCTTGCTATCCACATTCACATACAACAGGCTAATTAGTGCTGTTCTTGGGGCATCCCTTAAACCCATGTACACTTTGGGAATAGGAATTGGAATATTGGGAATGTCTCAGGGTATAGGAGGTACCTACTTTTAATCCTTACAAATTTATTAATATTGATTTTGATGAATTTTTTTTTAGGTTTTATAAAAAAAATATGTGAATGGAGACCGGCAGAAATTTTGGCTCAAACAACCTATAGTGTGTACTTGTGTCACTTGGCTATAGTGTTTAGGATAGCATTTTTATCCACTACCCTTATTAACGTAACAGTATATAATATTGTAAGTATTTCATACAAACATAGATTAATACATCTATAGACGTAAAGCATAGAGGATATGTATTATAATACATAAATATACTTATTATTATTCTCGGGGACATTAACGAAAATTATTGCCAGTTAAATTCAAAAAGCTCGAGTTTCTATGTCTCTGAAGAGAATAAGAATCCGAATTTGCTGCACCATTGGACCGGCCCCTTTTTGAATAATTTCCAGAGACATAAATAACTGCGCCATTCGACAGGGTCGAGTTTCTACCTCTCTGTTGAATATAGAAAATCAAAATATATCTTGTGAGACACCATTGAGTTTGACTTTAACTACAGTCGCACATATTTTATCCAACATAGTTTTTATTAATTTTAGGTTGGTTCAGCGCTCGCCAATGTGATTATCTGTTTTACAGTTGGATTTTCATTGGCTCACTTAGTTGAACTACCATGGAGTAATATTGAGAAAATGATTATTCAAAGATATAACCGCAAAAAAATTGAATAGAATGCGTCTTTCTCTTATTGTTGTCCTTGAAGTGTAAAGCTGGGTTTACATACATTTTGTGATTTAATTTTATAATTAGTAAATAAAAAACTTAAAATAATATGATCTTTTAATATATAATCCACATACCTACAAAATACAATTTAAAACTATACCTACAACAAAAACAATTATGACGTGCATTTTTCAAAAGCCTGTATATCAGAACAAGAGCTTATTCTCTCTATATTGGCCATACATGGGTTATAGGAGGATATTTTTTTTAATTCTTCATGATTAACCGTACCATCTGGATTAATATACTTTGCTTCTTCTGCCATGCATTTTGCAAAACAAAGCAAATTTTCAGAGGGGTTTTCCATTTTATCTTTGATAGATTCAATTTCCTTCATATCCACCCCTGAAGCAGTCAAGCACTTTGCCCCTTGTTCGGGGGTTAACGCTGAAAAGGCATCTTTAAAGTTTTCTTGGGCCTAAAAAAGTACCCAGTCAAATATTGTTCCATGTTTGTTGCTATAAGATAAAAAAAAAATAACTTAAAACATACTTACCAAAACTCCAACGAAAAAACAAACTAAAAATATCAAACAGTGTTTCATGGTGTTATATTTTATTTAATATTAAAAATAAAATATTTACAGCAGTAATATATATATAGCAATAATATATCCTGTGAAAATATTAACATGCAGTTAATTAGGCAGAACATTTTTTTTGTAATTTGCTGCTTTTATAAAAATTATTGACACATAAAGTTTATTTTTAATTTGCTTATTTGCGATAGTAAATATGATTATTATTAGTTGGTATTTTCCCCACATCATAGAAAAAAATATACCTATACGGGGTATTACAGAAAAAAGGTAACCATTATAGCTCACCTAACCAAGCATCTGCATATTTTTTTTTTACACCAATCAAAAATATTTGGGAGATACCTTTTAAAAAAAATACATTTTATGGTGTTATATCTTTATTTTAACAATTAAGGTTAGATAGATTTATACATATATTTTTTATCTCCAACCCTGTAAAGGAATATTTCCCGCTATACATACATTTTAATTGCAATATATTTATAAATGTAACGCTGTGTTTATTACTAGGTTTCAGACTTAAATATAAATTGACCCTTAAATAAATAAATCTATAAACATATATATAGTCGCTTTAAAAAATGAAAAAGCGCTAAAAATAAATTTAAATGAAGCTTAGAAACCTACGAAAATAAAATTTTAAAAATATCGATATCACATTAAAAGTTTTATATATAAAATATTTTTTGTATTATGAAGCGATTTTTCATTTGGTGAATCGGCTATACAGGTTGGTACGACTGTACAGATTATTCCACACAAAAAATATGAATTTTTGTTGTGGTTTAAGATCCTTTTGCTTATCATATTAGTACTACAATCAATTTGTAATAATTTTCGGAAACAATTGACCAGGATTTTTTTTCGCATGAATAAAATCATAACCTCAACTTTTTTTTTTTACTTTTTAGTCTCAAAATTTAATTAGTAACTTTCTTATCGTTTTCTACACACCCTTGATGTGTAAAATTTCAGCTAAATCGGTTGAATTTAACCGGGTTAAAATCGACTTTTTTTTTTCATAGTACTTTTTTGGGAACTTTAGCGCCATCTACCTTTCGTAGTTTTCGTCCTAGAGCATTCACCCAATGACAAAAATTGTAGTAAATGATATCCCCTACATTTTTTGTCTATAATTTTATTTTTTTAAACTTACCGTTTCCGAGAAATAATTAAAAAAAAAACAACAAAGTTGGGGTTAACCACAAACGATCCATGAAAAAAAAATGTCAATTTTTTCCGACATATTGACTGTACTAATACACAGATCTTTAAAATAAAATTAATAAAAAACGTAATTTTTACGTATTCAAAATACGAAACACTAATTCTAAAACTATTGCATTTTCTCCCAGATTGTTTGACGTAATACGATGCAGAACCGGTATCAGCTCGTTATCCAAGCTCTTCATGTAGATCGGCGGTAATTTTTTATTATTTCCCCCCGCCAAGTAAGACACCTGAAATAAATTGTTAGTTCACAATCGAATGGCGAAAAACATTGCTAAATGTTTAAAGCCCGATAAACATTTTGAATGCTCGGAAAATGTTGTTTTCGTAAACCTAGCCATTCAAAAGATATCTAAGATCTTAAGATGTAGACCATACGGGATATACTTTATAATAAACAAAACCTATTATTATCTTTGAAACACTCCTAATAGTAAGGTAGATTATTTTGAGTGTGAGTTTAATCGGTTTTGAGTGTTTGAGGTACCTACGCAGCAAATTGATCGAAAGCGATCTCAAAGGTTTGTTTGATGTTGCTGCGAAAGACTAAAATAGAGAAGGTATTCCTTCAAAAGTGAAGAGAAGATTTTTCAAGGAGCACGGTTTTTTTTTCTTTAGTTTCTCTATTTTCTCTTTTTTCTAGTTTCTTAAGTTTCTCAAGTTTCTCAAGTTTCTCTAGTTTCTTTAGTTTCTTTAGTTTCTTTAGTTTCTTTAGTTTCTTTAGTTTCTTTAGTTTCTTTAGTTTCTTTAGTTTCTTTAGTTTCTTTAGTTTCTTTAGTTTCTTTAGTTTCTTTAGTTTCTTTAGTTTCTTTCGTTTATTTTGCTTCTTTAGTTCCTCCAGTTTTCCTACTTTCTCTAATTCCTTTATTTTTTTTTTGGTTTCATTCGTTTCTCAAGTTTCTCTAGTTTCTTTCGTTTTTCCAGTTTCTCTAGTGTCTTTAGTTTTTCTAGTTCCTCCAGTTTCTTTAGTTTTTTTAGTTCCTCTAGTTTCTTTATTCTTTAGTTTCTTTAGTTCCTCTAGTTTCCTTAGTATTTTTAGTTTCTATAGTTTCTTTAGTTAGTTTTGTTTTTTTTTGTATTTTTAGTTTCTCTATTTTCTCTTTTTTTCTAGTTTCTCCAGTTTCTCTAGTTTATTTAGTTTCTTTAGTTTATTTTGCTTCCTTAGTTCCTCCAGTTTTCCTACTTTCTCTAGTTCCTTTAGTTGTTCTAATTTCTTTAGTTTCTTTAGTTCCTCTAGTTTCTTTAGTTCTTTAGTTTTTTTTAGTTTCTCTAGTTTCTATATTTTCTCTTTTTTTCTAGTTTCTCTAGTTTTTCCAGTTTCTTCAGTTTCTCTAGTTTCTTTAATTTCTTTAATTTTTTTAGTTTCTTTAGTTTATTTTGCTTCTTTAGTTCCTCCAGTTTTCCTAAATTCGTTTCTCAAGTTTCTCTAGTTTCTTTCGTTTCTCTAGTTCCTTTAGTTTCTCTAGTTTCTTTAGTTTCTTTAGTTCCTCTAATTTCTCTAGTTTCTTTGGTTATTTTAGTTTATTTTGTTTTTTTAGTTTCTCCAGTTTTCCTACTTTTTCAAGTTTCTTTAGTTCCTTTAGGTTCTTTTGTTTCTCTAGTTTCTTTGGTTATTTAGGTTTTTTTCGTTTCTCCATTTTCCATAGTTTTTTTAGTTTATTTCGTTTGTTTATTTTCTCCAGTTTCCAAAGTTTTTCTAGTTTCAGCATTTTTTTTAGTTTCATTCATTTCTCCATTTTCTCGAGTTTCTTTAGTTTCTCTGGTTTCTTTCGTTCCTCTATTTTCCAAAGTTTTTCCAGTTTCTTTGGTTATTTAAGTTTCTTTCATTCCTACAGTTTCCATAGTTTTTTTTAGTTTCTTCAGTGTCCCTAGCTTCTGCAGTTTCTTTAGATCCTTTAGTTTCTTTAGTTCCTCTAGTTTCTTTAGTTTTTTTGGTTTTTTAGCTTTTTGTTTCTTTAGTTTTCTTTAGTTTCATTAGTTTCTCTTTTTTCTAGTTTCTCTAGTTTCTCCAGTTTCTACAGTTTCTCTAGTTTCTTTAGTTTATTTTTAGTTTCATTCGTTTCTTTAGTTCCTCTAGTTTCTTTAGTTCCTCTAGTTTCTTTAGTTTCTTTAGTTTCTTTGGTTTCTTTAGTTTCTTTAGTTTCTTTAGTTTCTTTAGTTCCTTTAGTTTCTTTAGTTTCTTTTGATCCTCTAATTTTTCTAGTTTCTTTGGTTATTTAGGTTTATTTCGTTTGTTTATTTTCTCCAGTTTCACAAGTTTTTCTAGTTTCAGCATTTTTTTTAGTTTTATTCATTTCTCCAGTTTCTCGAGTTTCTTAAGTTTGTCTAGTTTCTTTCGTTCCTCTAGTTTCTAAAGTTTGTCTAGTTTCTTTGGTTATTTTAGTTTCTTTCGTTCTTCCAGTTTCCATAGTTTATTTCGTTTCTTTAGTTTCTTCAGTTTCCCTAGCTTCTGCAATTTCTGTAGTTTCTTTATTTTTTAAGATTCTGTCGTTTCTCTAGTTTCACTTTTGATAGAAACCTAATTTTGTAGAAATAAGAGTCGCAAATTTCAAAAAACACTTAAAAATTTAATTGAAATTATACTTCTGACAACAAAAATTCGAGAAGATTAAGAGAAAAAAAATATTAAGATGTTTAGCTCTGGTATTCTGAAAAGTTCAAAAACAATTAATCTACTCACATTTTCCACATGCAAAGTCGTCCTGATTCCAATTTTAAATATGCTGTTGCTAACCAAAAGATCCAAGTACTTGACCAAGGCGCTACAAGTTGCTTTGGCTATATTTTCGGAAACTTTTGATATATCCACTGGGTCGCGGTTTTTCTGCGAATCGTCATTGTTCTGTTAAAAAAAACAACACATTTAAAAAAAAAAATGAGGATTTGTCCCGAACAAATCGAACCTGTATTATAAAAACTTCCGTCCATTTGATCAACCTGCCGCAGTTGGAAACGAAGTCTTTTCCGTTGTGGACCCTGATCGAGGGAACGCCCGCCATCGAAGTGTCATCGATGGAGGAAAACACTCTGAAATGTTAATTGGGAATAAACTTCGAGAAATGGGGTGGTTAAATTTTTTCTGGCCTATACTTTTTATGGTTTTATTCAAGGCGTTTTGTAATATTAAACATTTCTGCGAAATCGGAATTTCAATTGAGTTTACCGTTTTCGAGATAATTACAAAAAAAATCTCCTTACTACGTCACTAGGCTATTGACAACGTTGCCAGCTTTTTCTATGGTTGCCAGTGTGTTTAGTTCAAGATTCTTACGATAGATGGCGCCACGTTATAATATTTTAGTTTTAAAACCACTTGATCTATAATATTAGTTGAGAAGAAGAAGAAGAATTGATTTTTTGACGTTTCTTTTTTTCGGGTTAGGTTTTTTTTAAATTTAGATTATTGAAAATCAATGTTATTGTTATGTTATTTGTAATTGATATTAGATAAGTGATTTATTAATAACGGACTTCAAAGCAGAGGAATCTTGTGGAATGGTTGGTTACATTGAACATTGGAGCTTTTAAACAAATAAAGTAAGTACCTATAATTATAATCATATTTTGTCGTAAATGCATTTCATTAGTATAATGCCTAGTTCTTTATATTCTTTTAGATATATCTTGGACTCTAAAATATCAAACAGTAATATGATACCTCGTAATAAGAAAGATAGGTACTTAATAAATTTGGTGACCATCTTTCACTCAACTGACAGTGACAGTATTTGTACATAACCTCTTCGGGTATTTTCTGACATAACCGAATGAAATCATTAACAAGACAACTTGACAACAGGGTAATTTTCAACCAATAGAAATCTTAGAATGTTGGTCACATGGCGGGGTTTGTGACGTCATAAAAATTTATATTTTTTGTAAATATCTCGAAAACGGTAAACTCAATTGAAATTCTGATTTCACGGAAATGTTTAAAATTACAAAACGCCTTGAATAAAACCATAAAAAGTATAGGTCAGAAAAAATATTTTTTTTACCCCGAGTTGAAGTTCAGTTCGTCGTTGCCCCACGCGATGTGCACGCTCTCGTCGCCGGTCGAGTCGACGCAGCCGCACTTCACCGTGAAGTTCCGCATCGAGCGCAGGCTGTCGCGTATCTCGAGCATGTGCTCGGGCAGCACCTGGATCATGAGGCCGTCCTCGACGATGTTCGACTTGGCGGTGAGCCCGCTCGACGACTTTAACGCCCCGTTGAACACTATGAAGCTGGCGCCGGTTACTGAAAGAGAGCGGTTTGCTTTGATCTTATCAAAGTGAAGCTGAAGCACAATGCAGTGCTTCGAACAAAATTCAAAGGAAATTGACGGAAAAACAGCTGGCAACACTGTAAGAGACGTGATAGAGACAAAACAAAAACCTATAACGGATAAGAAGAAAAAAGAAGGCTTTAAAGAATTGATGAAGAATCTTTGATTTTATTGTAACTTGCCGTACTTTGTTGAAAGGGCGATTGAATTGGAATATTGGTTTGTGGGGTTGTGATGGAAACGTGGTTTTATGTCGTTTATGTCGTTTTTGTCCCGTTTCTCCAGTTTCTTTAGTTTCTCGTGTTTGTCAAGTAACAGTGGTTTCTTTCGTTTCTCCAGTTTCTTTAGTTTCTTTACATTCTTTAGGTTCTTTAGTTTCTTTAGTTTCTTCAGTTTCCATAGTTTTTTTATTTATTTCGTTTCTGTAGTTTCTTTAGTTTCTTTAGGTTATTTAGTTTCTTTAGTTTTTATAGTTTTTTTTGGTTATTTTAGTTTCTATAGTTTTTTTTAGTTTATTTCATTTTTGTAGTTTCTTTAATTTCCATAGGATTTTTTAGTTTATTTCGTTTCTCCAGTTTCCCTAGTATTTCTAGTTTCTGTAGTTTTTTTAGTTTCTATACTTCTCCAATTTCCATAGTTTTTTAGTTCATTTTGTTTCTTTATTTTCTCCAGTTTCCCTAGTTTCTCTAGTTTAAGTGGTTTCTTTTGTTTCTTAAGTTTATTTAGTTTTTAGTTTCATTCGTTTTTGTCGTTCCTCCAGTTTCTTTAGTTTCTCTAGTTTCTACAGTTTCTGTAGTTTCTTTAGGTTCTTTAGTTTTTTTAGTTTCTTTAGTTTCTCCAGTTTCTCTAGTTTCTTTACTTTCTGTCGTTTTTTCAATTTTTATAGTTTTTTTTGGTTATTTTAGTTTCTTAAGTTTCTTTCGTTACTTCAGTTTCTATAGTTGTTTTTAGTTTATTTCGTTTCTGTAGTTTCTTTAATTTTCATAGGTTTCTTTAGTTTCTTTAGTTTTTTTTTATTTATTTCGTTTCTGTTGTTTATTTATTTTCTTTAGTTTCTTTAGTTTTTTTTAGTTTCCATAGTTTCGTTTCTATAGTTCCTCCAATATCCATAGTTTTTTTAGTTCATTTTATTTCTTTAGTTTATCCAGTTTCCCTAGTTTCTCTAGTTTAAGTAGTTTCTTTTGTTCCTTAAGTTTATTTAGTTTTTAGTTTCATTCGTTTCTGTCGTTCCTCCAGTTTCTTTAGTTTCTCCAGTTTCTCTAGTTTCTTTCCTTTCTGTCGTTTTTCCAATTTTTATAGTTTTTTTGGTTATTTTAGTTTCTTAAGTTTCTTTAGTTACTTCAGTTTCTATAGTTTTTTTTAGTTTATTTCGTTTCTCCAGTTTCCCTAGTATTTCTAGTTTCCATAGTTTCTTTAGTTTTTTTAGATTCTTTTGTTTCTATACAATTTCCATAGTTTTTTTAGTTCATTTTGTTTCTTTAGTTTTTCCAGTTTCCCTAGTTTATGTAGTTTCTTTAGTTTTTAGTTTCATTTGTTTCTGTCGGTTCTCCAGTTTCTTTCTCTAATTTTTTCTGTAGTTTTCTCTAGTTTCCCCAGTTTCTCTAGTTTCTACAGTTTCTCTAAATTCTGTAGTTTCTTTAGTTCCTTTAGTTTCTCCAGTTTCTCGAGTTTCTTTAGTTTGTCGTTTTTTAGTTTCTTTGGTTATTTCAGTTTCTTTCGTTCCTCTTGTTTTCGTAGTTTTTTAGTTTATTTCATTTCTGTAGTTTCTCAAGTTTCCCTAGTTACTCTACTTTCTGTAGTTTCTTTTGTTCCTTTAGTTTTTATAGTTTGTTTAGTTTATTTCGTTTTTAGACTTTCCCTAGTATTTCGTCCCCGTTCTGGCAAAAGTCATTAACTCCATTTTTGTCTAAAAGTAGTTGACTACCTTCGCGATCATAGAACAATTATATCTGTGGTCTAGAAAAACTTATTAAGTGCAGTATTGTATTTTTGCATGCTAAAAATACAATACTGCACTTAATAAGTTCTTCCAGACCACAGATATAATTGTTCTATGATCGTGAAGGTAGTCAACTACTTTTAGACAAAAATGGAGTTAATTACTTTTGCCAGAACGGGGACGATTTGTTGTTTCTATAGTTTTTTTGTTTGTTTTGTTTTTATAGTTTCTTCAATTTTCATAGTTTTTTAGTTCATTTCGTTTCTTTAGTTTCTCAAGTTTTTCTAGTTTCTTAGGTTTCTACAGTTTCTGAAGTTTCTCTAGTTTCTCCAGTTTCTCCACCGCCACTGATAGAAACCACATTTGTAGAAAGTAGAGTCGCGAATTTCAAAAAACACTTTAACATTTAATTTTTGAAATTATACTTTTGTAGGCTTTTAGCCAACGAAAATTTAAGAGCATGTTCGATTGTGTGTCTTGGCGTAAGGAGTAGGTGGCGGTGCATAAGCAAAAGAGAGAGATAAAAATATGGGGATCGCCTATATCAACATGGGTATCAAACTAAACGGTTTGACGAGTATAAAACGAATTGTGTTTGTAAACATTAAAATTTGCTACTCACTTTTTCTCGGCTTGCTGTGTATGTTAATCGCGTGCGTGCTGTAACAGTTTTCGTTGTTTTGAGTGTCTTGAATGCACACCAAGTGCGAATCGGCTTCTTGACTGAAGTTTCCGGCAAACGCTAAAATATGATCGGTAGAATTGTTGACCGACCGCATCACCTAAAAACAAACATTCCATAAAAGCAAAGAACCAATCAGAGCAACTCATTACCTGATCGTATCTGTTGACGGGTATCGTAACGGTCGTATTCTTATCTTCCATGTGTATCGTCAGGCCTCTAATTTGCGGCAGCGTGTAAGAATAGTTTCTGAAGTCCTAAAAAGGAAGCAACAGTGAATTGAAAAACAACCCGTCTATAAAAGACTCACAGCGAGCAGATTTATGATGGTGTGTCCGATTTCCACGAAAACGCTGTCTCGATGTCGGGTGGAAATGATCGGGCTCGGGTAGTATCTGTACAGAGCGCCGAATCTCAGGATGAGCCGGAGCGGAAAGAGTTTGGCCCAAGGAGTTTCCCATCTGGAAGGATTCGTTGAGGAAAAAATTAAACCACATATTCCCGACACCAAATAAAGCAATTTAACCAAATACAAAAGTTAACAATAAACAAGATACAGTATATCAAAGTTAAAAGTTTGTTTAAAATGTTGTTAAATAACTTTGGAAAAAAAAGCGTTTTTGCACAAAATTTGGTATTTGGTAGTTTTTAATGAAAATATTACTGTTTTTATCTTTAATGATTAAAAAAGGTCTTTAGTTTTTTAGTTTCATTTTTTGTGCATTTAGTTTCCTTGGTTTCTTTAGTTTTAGTTTTATGTTTCTGTCGTTTCTCCAGTTTCTTTAGTTTGCTTGGTTTATCCATTTCTTTAGTTTCACTAGTTTCTTCTCTTTCTTTAGTTTCTCCAGTTTCGCCAGTTTTTTTAGTTTCTCCAGTTTTTCTAGTTTCTTTAGTATCTGCAGTTTCTCAACTTTCTTTAGTTTCTCTCCAGTTTTTTTAGTTTCTCCAGTTTCTCTAATTTCTTTAGTTTCTCTAGTTTTTTTAGTTTCTCCAGTTTCTTTAGTTTCTTTCCTTTCTGTCATTTTTCCAATTTTTATAGTTTTTTTTGGTTATTTTAGTTTCTTAAGCTTCTTTCGTTATTTTAGTTTCTATAGTTTTTTTTTAGTTAATTTCGTTTCTGTAGTTTCTTTAATTTCCATAGGTTTTTTAGTTTATTTCATTTCTCCAGTTTCCCTAGTATTTCTAGTTTCTTTAGTTTTTTTAGTTTCTTTTGTTTTTATACTTCCTCCAATTTCCATAGTTTTTTTAGTTCATTTTATTTCTTTAGTTTCTCCAGTTTCCCTAGTTTCTCTAGTTTAAGTAGTTTCTTTTGTTCCTTAAGTTTATTTAGTTTCATTCGTTTCTTTAGTTTCTCCAGTTTCTCTAGTTTCTACAGTTTCTGTTAATTATTTAGGTTCTTTAGTTTTTTTAGTTTCTTTAGTTTCTCCAGTTTGTCTAGTTTCTTTCCTTTCTGTCGTTTTTTCCAATTTTTATAGTTTTTTTGGTTATTTTAGTTTCTTAAGTTTCTTTCGTTGATTCAGTTTCTATAGTTTTTTTAGTTTATTTCGTTTCTGTAGTTTCTTTAATTTCCATAGGTTTTTTTTAGTTTATTTCGTTTCCCCAGTTTTCCTAGTATTTCTAGTTTCTGTAGTTTCTTTTGTTTCTATACTTCCTCCATAGATGTTTTAGTTCATTTTGTTTCTTTAGTTTCGCCAGTTTTTTTAGTTTCTCCAGTTTTTCTAGTTTCTTTAGTATCTGCAGTTTCTCCACTTTCTTTAGTTTCTCCAGTCTCTCGAGTTTTTTTAGTTTCTCCAGTTTCTCTAGTTTCTTTAGTTTCTCCAGTTTCTCTAGTTTTTTTAGTTTCTCCAGTTTCTTTAGTTTCTCCGGTTTTTCCACTTTCTTTAGTTTCTCCACTTTCTGTAGTTTCTCCAGTTTTTTTAGTTTCTCCAGTTTCTCTAGTTTCTTTGGTTTCTCCAGTTTCTTTAGTTTCTCCAGTTTCTTTAGTTTATCCGGTTTCTTTAGTTTCTCCAGTTTCTTTAGTTTCTCCAGTTTCTTTAGTTTCTCCAGTTTCTTTAGTTTCTCCAGTTTCTTTAGTTTCTTTAGTTTCTTTAGTTTCTTTAGTTTCTTTAGTTTCTTTAGTTTCTTTAGTTTCTCCAGTTTCTTCAGTATCTTTAGTTGGCTACGTTTCTTTAGTTTCTTTAATTTCTCCAGTTCCTTCAGTCTTTTTTGTTTCTCCACTTTAATTAGTTTCTCCAGTTTCTCCAGGTTCTTTAGTTTCTCCAGTTTCTTCAGTATCTTTAGTTGGCTACGTTTCTTTAGTTTCTTTAATTTCTCCAGTTCCTTCAGTCTTTTTTGTTTCTCCACTTTAATTAGTTTCTCCAGTTTCTCCAGGTTCTTTAGTTTCTCCAGTTTCTTTAGTTTCACCAGTTTCTTTAGTTTTTTAGTTTCTCCACTTTCTTTAGTTTCTTTAGTTTCTTATTTTCTTTAGTTTAATGATAATAATAATAATGACAACGAAAAACAATAAAAACATTTTCGATATCGGTCAAAAACTATTATTTATCCATAAGAAAACTGTGATAACTGCCTGTACCTACTTCCACATATTTATATTTTAGTGTTTTTATATAATATTTGTTGAATATTTTTATTTTTTTACAATTGTACCTGCTATGGAATCATGTATTCTTTTTGGGTTTAATAATAAATTTAAAAAAAACACCAATTTTTTAGAAAATATAAATTTTTCATCCTAAAAAAACCCAAAAATCAATTTTGAGCGAAAACGTTTCTTTTTTCCAAAGTTATTTAATAAGATCAAAAACCAACTTTTAACTTTGACTAGTTTCACACCGACTTACCTGTGAATCAATATCCCAATCAGATACGGTTCCTTCGGAACGACAATGTTTTGCAGGCACTGAAAGGTGGGCTTGATGTAAACGAACCCGGCGTGATTCTTGCTGTCTAAAAAGTTGGACGCGCTGTGCAAAGACAAGCCCAACTCCTTGACGGAAGATCCTGCAACGATAAAAAGTAAAAAAAAAAAAACGTTCGAAAACCCTTCAAGCAGTTTGCAAACCTTTCACCGCCTCCAAGTAAACGCTGTTAATGTGGTGGAACATGTCCTTGGGGAGTTGATTTTCCCCCTCGATGACCTCCAAGAGGTAGACGACCTCGTCCTGCCCCACGTTTATCAAACCTTCCGAGGAAAAACACCACGCCACCTTGTTTACGCAACAGTCCACTGCAAAAAAATGAATGGGGTGGTTAAATTTTTTCTGACCTATACTTTTTATGGTTTTATTCGAGGCGTTTTGTAATTTTAAACATTTCTGTGAAATCGGAATTTCAATTGAGATATTTACAAAAAAAATCTCCTAATTACGTCACTAGGCTATTGACGACGTTGCCAGCTTTTTCTATCGTTGCCGGTGTGTTTAGTTTAAGATTCTTACGATAGATGGCGCCACGTTATAATATTTCAGTTTTAAAACCACTTGATCTATAATTTTAGTTGAGAAGAAGAAGAAGAATTGATTTTTTGACGTTTCTTTTTTTCGGGTTATGTTTTTTTTAATTTAGATTATTGAAAATCAATGTTATTTGTAATTGATATTAGATAAGTGATTTATTAATAACGGACTCCAAAGCAGAGGAATCTTGTGGAATGGTTGGTTACATTGAACATTGGAGCTTTTAAACAAATAAAGTAATTACCTATAATTATAATCATATTTTGTCGTAAATGCATTTCATTAGTATAATGCCTAGTTCTTTATATTTTTTCAGATATATCTTGGACTCTTAAATATCAAACAGTAATATGATACCTCGTAATAAGGAAGATAGGTACTTAATGAATTTGGTGACCATCTTTCACTCAACTGACAGTGACAGTATTTGTACATAACCTCTTCGGATATTTTCTGACATAACCGAATGAAATCATTAACAAGACAACTTGACAACAGGGTAATTTTCAACCAATAGAAATCTTAGAATGTTGGTTACATGGCGAGGTTTGTGACGTCATAAAAATTTATATTTTTTGTAAATATCTCGAAAACGGTAAACTCAATTGAAATTCAGATTTCACAGAAATGTTTAAAATTACAAAACGCCTTGAATAAAACCATAAAAAGTCTTGTTTTCTATTTCAGGTTGGATACTTACTGTTTACAATTTTGACGTGAACAAAGAGGTTCAGGTTCAAAGCAAAACATATTTTATCGGTTCTCAGAGATTCTACTAGGGCTTCAGTGTTATCGCAATCTTTGTAGGTGATTTCTGAAAAAATGTCCCGTCTATTTTCGAAACTCTCAAATGTCGACAAAAGCTCACCAGATTTGTGGAAGGTGGCGATGGGCGGTAGACCTTGTTCCGCCTTCGGTATGAAGCTCTTAGAAACCGGATCTAGTTGCGGAAGGTTCGGTTTCGTACGGGCGGGGGCGGATTTTTCCGGTTTTTTCGTCGCCGCCAATTTGGCCTTGCTGTAATTGAAATCGTTGTCGAGATTTGTGAGGTCGCTGCCCGGCCTTATCCCGTCGCAAAACATCACGGTCTTGTTGTGTTTCGTTTTATTGGAACCTGCAATCGACGGTGCCGATGAAACTAATTTTTGTCAATTTTGGCGCCCTCTATCTTTTTACTAAATACAGAAAATTTTGCCCGTAAACAAATTTGTTGGAAATTTCGAGGTCTACATTTTTTGTCTATTCTATTTTTGGCTCCCAATAGAAAACGTAATAAAACAATTAATATTCTTCTTTTAAAATTGGCGCCCGAGCAGGGTCTTTTTTTTAACGCGTTTTCGATAAAACAAGAATCTCGACTCACCTTTCCTCTTGAGCACGCTGGCGGGCACCATGACGACGGGCGGGGGCGGCAAACTGGCCGCCCCCATCTGCTCCAACGGGCTCACCGTCGAGCAGTACTCCTCGGGGTTGTTCGGGTTGGGGCGGCGCGGGGCGGGCGGCGACGACGAAGCGCCGACCGCGCCGCCCCCTTCGCCGCCCGCCGCCCCACCGCGCCGCTCGTCGACGCGCTCGAGCTCGTCAAGGCAGACGTGGCAAACGCGCGCCTCCGCGTCGAGGTATCGAAGCCTGTGCTTCTGGTTGCAGCACTTCGAGCAGAGCAGCTGAAAGTTATCGTAATCACAGAGAGAGAAAAAAAAGAGTCGTCGCAAGTCGGAAAAAGTCAGAATAAGACTTATTAAGTCGGAAAAAGTTTGAATAAGTCTTATTAAGTCAGACTAATAGCAAGATTTGGGAGTCTTCTGGAAGAGTTAATAAGACTTTTAGTAGAGAAATGGTAGGTACCTATGGCGATAAAAATAAATATCCGAAATAATTCATAGAGGTTGAATTTGGTTATCGTAAAATAAAACACATAGAAAGGTATTTATTAACATTTTTGCTGTTGTTATAAGCCAAGTTTATTGCATAATTACCTTAACAATTATAATTTTATACATACGATGCGCTTGACATGCTTTCATTGTTTCCACCATAGAAAAAGGAGTCATGTCTACAGACATGATATTTTCGATGGACTCATAATACAAATATGGTTGATCTTCGTGTTTCATTCATCTTTGTATCATGGTTGATCTTCGTGTTTACGTACAGTGTTGCCATAAAAGTTCCTGACCATAAATTACAAAATACTAAAATAATAATAAAAATGTAACAGGATAGAATAAAATAATTGTGCATATTTAGTAAATATACAATATTATTTACTGAAAATTTCTTTTGTTATTATTTTGATAGAAATTTGCAAATCACCCGCAAATATTACGAAAATACCCGATTTTCGAGTAAAATACTTGCAAACGGCAACACTGTGTCCCACTGACAGGTCAGCTGTGCTCTACTTGTCAGCTAGCTGAGCTGGTCTCTCGATATTTCATTTGTAACAATGTTTAGATAGGTAAATATTTGCGTGTATCAAAAGAAACTATTAAAATAAAACGTACAGTGGCAACTCCCTTTTCTATGGTGGAAACAATAAAAGCATGTCAAGCGCATCCTATGTATAAAATTATAATTGTTATAATTATTACATCTTACCTATGTAATTATATAGGTAATTATGCAATAAACTTGGCTTATAACAACAGCAAAAATGTTAATAAATACTTTTCTATGTTTTATTTTACGATAACCAAATACAACCTCTATGAATTATTTCGGATATTTATTTTTATCGCCATAGGTACCTACCATTTCTACTAAAAGTCTTATTAAGTCTTAAAAAGTCTTATTAACTCTTCCAGTAGACTTCCAAATCTTGCTATTAGTCTGACTTAATAAGTCTTATTCAGACTTTTTCCGACTTAATAAGTCTTATTCTGACTTTTTCCGACTTAATAAGTATTATTCAGACTTTTTCAGAGAAAGTAAGACTTTCTCAGAGAAAAATTTCCACAGGGGCTGGTATTCTTTTTAAAATTATTTTAGATAATATAGCACTTAAAAATAAAAAAAAAACATAAAGAAATACCTTTCCGCATGCTCGGCAGTGATGCCGTCGCTTGATAACCGTAAACTTGGCATCGCAGTGAAGACACTTGTCGGATTCGTGGTCCGGCATCCAATAGGGAGCGCCGTCACCCAAAACATCTTTGAAAAAAAAAGTTACGACAAACACAAACACAGATTTAACCTCACTATTTCTTACCTTCGGAGGTGTTTTCATCATTATCCGTGTTTTCCCTGTGCTGTTGGGCCAAATTTTCTCCCAAATCGTTTACCACTTCATCGCTAAGACCGACTGCCTCTTCGGTATCGTTTTGTTGACTAGACAACTCGTTTTCAGTGGCGACAACTTCCAAATTTTCCACTCGACTGTTTGTAGCAGTGTTTTCTTCTTCGCTCTTTGGGTTTTCGCGATTTTTGCTCATGCTTGCCTATATTAAAATTATTCGTATAAACTCTACTGGTGTACACAGCAAACGGAAAAATATAGAAGTGTATTGCATGACGGCACGGTTGAATACAGTTTTCTAAACCCTCGCCACGGTATATATACTAGTATTAATACGAACATTATTTTATGCTTAAAAAAAACATACATCTTATCCTCTGTGCTTTACATACCTGAGTTGTTACGGTAAATAAAAATCAGACAAAGGAACCAAAGAAAGGAACCATTTTCAACAAAATCATATGCAGAAATGAGAACATTCAAACTACTTGCATCCATCAAAAGATCAAAACTTCTTGCAATATTGAATTACACCCTCTTTTCATGCTCTCAGAAATATTGACTAAAACAGTATTAGAGAGACTCCAGTTTCTATAACTTGGCAGAGTAAAGAGAAGTCGAAACCGTTGCGATATTGCATTGCGCTGTTTTTCTATAATTCTCGGAGACGTTAACGAAAATCATTGCCAGACATTTGAAAACATATAGGTTAACCTAGAAAGAGTAGCAGTCACGGAGGATGGGTTTTAGACTTTCAGGAACCAAATACGAAAATTTGTCGATAAATAAATAAGTTAAAAATTTGAAGCTTTAATTTTTTTGTATTATATTTTTACTCCGACAAATATAAAAGGAGATAAATTTGTTTCTTTTAAAATTGGCGCCAGAGCAGGAACTCACATTCCAACAAAATCCAGCCATTTCGAAATTTTTAACAAATTTGTTGACCTCAACTACATTTTTTGTGTATTTGTCTATATTTATGCTCTCAGAAATATTGACTGGAACGGTATTAGAGAGACTGCAGTTTCTATAACTTGGTAGAGTAAAGAGAAGTCGAAACCGTTGCGATATTGCATTGCGCTGTTTTTGTATAATTCTCGGGGACATTAACGAAAATCGTTGCCAGTAGAATTCGAAAAGCTCGAGTTTCTATGTCTCTGAAGAGAATAGGAATCCGAAGTTGCTGCACCATTGGACTGCCCCCTTTTTCAATAATTTCTAGAGACGTAAATGATTGCGTCATTCGACGGGGTCGAGTTTCTACCTCTCCGTTGAATATAGAAAATCAAAACAATGCATCTTGTAAGACACCATTGAGTTTGACGATTTAATACAGTTCTGATATTCCCATACACTTCTATATTTTTCCTTTTGCTGTTTAGTGCGCAATATTGCATCTCTAACCTTGTTGCGCGGGTCCTTTTTGTACTGCTTGACCTGCACGGCGGTAGATACGTTGTCAGCGCTACAAGTTGACGCCGTGTCGCTACTTGAAGCGTCGCTAAACGACGTCGACGACGACGACGACGAAAACTCGCTGTCGCTCTCGCGAGTTACTGGCGGCGCCGATGACGTCACTTCCGACGCCTTTTCAGCGTCGGAGCCGACCTCGTCGGCAGATGGCGGTACAGGTGCCTTACAAACCGCGAGATCTTTGTAAACGTTGTTGTAGGGCGTTGAACCAGGCTCTCCTACAAAACGCCAAAAGTTTGAATCTGGTTGCCAAATTTTGTTTAAATTTAGCTAATTTTGCAATGAAGGTAAATTCAAACAAAATCTGGCAACTTTACGACAGAATCTAGTGCATTTCTTTCAAATTTTAGGTTATGGGCCCAAATTGTAAATATCTTAACTAAGGGAAGTGCTTTTGGTTTTATTTACACAAATACAAGTAAATAAGCTTTAAGGGCATGAAACTTTTGTATTTATTGAGTTTCTATTTATTTTTCTAAAACATTGAACGTTATTGTGGTTCGACAATGTGAATAAAACACGCACTTATTTACAATTCAAACGCTAAGAAACTATAAAACTAACTACCCACTTAACTACTAATTATTTATCACTGCTGTACATGAGTCTATTTATTTGAATGAATATTTAATTTATTTCGTCGCGAGTACCAAAGCTCGACTAACTACTCGATGCTCCGCTGTGCCTTATATATCCAGTGCGTACGCGACCCACCTCACCTTGTCCAATGTGGAAATAAGAATCAAGAAGAATTTAAAAATGTAAAAAGATATGGGGTGTTCTATTTAAAATAACTCTTCTGTTTAAACCATATATGGGTATTTCCACCTTGACAAAAAATCAGATGTGTTATTTAACAAAATAACAACTACATCTGAAGTCAAACAGTTTAATTGCGACGTAATTTATAACCTTAAAATATTCGTACATTGTGATGCTAAGAAGTTAACATTAAGAATAAATATGGAAGAGTTTTAATACTCTAAAAACTGTTCAAATGTCGTACCCGTTACATATTGAGAACATTTTTGAAAATAAAGTATGCAATTTTTGTTCATGTAAAATACGTGCTTGTTTAAGGTTACTATTCAAGTTTTACACAAAAAATTATTACTGTATGCTTTCATCCAAAATTTTACAGTATCAACTTTAGAAGCCAATTATTATTCATGACGTTATAAAAGGTTTTCTATACAAGTTTTTATTGACATTTTGTTTGAGTTAAATACCTAATTTTTTTATATTAAAGTATATTGATAGGTATATATAAACAAACACTTTATTATCATGAAAAAACGCAGTTTTAGTGTCGCACCCGTTACAATGGAAATACCCGTATGTTTTTTTTCTAAAATTTGTTTTATAATGTTTTGTTTTTATTTTTATAGAAACGGTTACACTGGGTGAAATTTTTAAGTTACATGCCTTGTATTTGAAAGTCACTCTCCTTTATTTAGTCTTCTTGGTCAAAATCTCTATTTTGACTTTTAAATCGTTTTATCTGTTTTATATTTGTCAGACAAAAAAGTGGTAAAACAAAAACACTTGTTAATTTAGCATTCTTAATTATATTCAATTTTTATCAACATTGGCGCCCTCTATCATTTCAGAAACAAAACACAGATAGTTTTGGTTTTAAAACTTTTTTTTGACCAATAGAAAACTAGATAAACTGGTTTGTTTTTTTTTTCAAGAAGAGAACACAAGAAATTTAGTATTCTACCTTTTAGACAGTCAATTTAAAAAAAATATACCTTTGTTGAATTTTACTGAATTGTCACTAAAATTACTATTTCTGAATGCACATAAAATCGCTTTGACATTGAAAATAATGTATTCAGTTGAACTGATAGCATAGACAAATATTTAGATATTAAAAAAAGTACATAAAAAAGTTGTATGTAAATTTAGCAACAAAACAATTTTTTATTATTAAAATTTTGAGATATCTTACCTATCAAATCAATTTTTTTAACATTCACTTCAGCATCAATATTTAATGGTAAATGATCAGGCCTATGTATTTCTTTTTGACTTTTCTCTATGATTTCATCATTGTCTTTCAAAGTATCACTTGGTTCTTCATTATCTGCTATTTCTTTAATTTTATTAGTGACTGTTTCAGTAGCAATATTTTCTTTGATATCAACAGTTTCTTCATTTTTTAATTGTAACTCTTCATGTGTATCTTCAAACTCATCTTCTAATTGTTCCAACATATCATTTAACTCAGCCTCGTTTATTTCCAGTTCTTCATCAAAACCAACAGTTGCTACTTTTGTTTCTTCTTCTTTTATTGAATTTTCTTCAATTGCAACTACATCTTCCACCAATTCTTCTATTGCATTTACATTTGTATCTTCTTCCACTAAATTTATTTCTTCCTCTGTAATTACATTTGTTTCTTCTTTTATTGCATCTATTTCTTCTTCTTTTATTACATTTGTTTCTTCTTTTATTAAATTTATTTCTTCTTCTTTTAAATCTTCCAAAATCACTGAATCTTCACTGCTTGTCTTGGATAAATTTTGACTTTGTTCCACATCAATTATTTCAGTGGTTTGGTCTTCAATTATTTCAGTGGTTTGGTCTTCAATTTCTTCATTTTCCACGTTTTCTATAACCTCTTCTATATGGGTCAAATTTTCCTCAATGATCTCCTTTGTTTCTTCAATAATTTGTTTGGTGCTTTTATCTACTTTAATTTCTTCATTTGCGCTACTAATATCTATTAGTTCTTCATTATTTTCTACTTCTAGGCTACCACATAAAGCTTCATTATTATTGTCTTTAGATACTTGTATATTGGTGCTAGAATCCTAAAAAAAAATACATAATTTTTATTGTTTTTCTATGATGCTTATTACATTCAACTTACCACTAAGTTTGGTTCAAAAACAGTACTGCTGGGTTTAGGAGTGATATCAGTGTTCAAATACTCGTTTAAGCTGTGAAAAACATTGTTTATGGAATGTTTAACGATACCATTTTGACTCAGTGATGTAGATTCAATATTCCTTTGAACAATAGGATAATTATCGGTGAGCTCACTGTATTCAAAATCGTTCAAAAGTTGGTCTAAATCAACGGCGTATTTATCCATCTGAAATTAAAAATTCACATGACTGTATTAGAGCTAATTAGACCAATTAGGTGCGTCATAAATAATTATTGCGAATATTTACCTTTAAAGCAGTTTATGCTAAATTTCATAGCTTACTTTTAGTAAAATAACATAGAAAATAGATTCCTCACTATTTTGACATTGTTTGACGTTTAATACCATTAACATTAGAACCATAGATAACAAATTAGAACCATAGAGAACACCTTATAATAGTTTTGCTAACTTATTGGGCATTTAGTCGATAAAAAATACCAAATAAATTCTGTTTTGAATAGGATTTGTTACACATTTTCAATAGAATTGCACATTAATACAACAATAATACCATTTGCTGTCTATTTGTTTACTTCGTTGGTGGTAATCTGACGTTTCGTTTCCAAGGTTGGCAGCAGTGCTCGAAATGACGTCATCGACACGGAATGTCACAATTTTGACAGATTATAATTCGCTGGCTGTTTATTTCGGCGATATAGCGTTAAAAAACGTTTATAATTAATGTTTCCGAGGAAAAGGTGAAACGAAAATTAGTCGAAAATGGCCAGAGACTATGATCATTTATTTAAGTTGCTCATAATAGGAGACAGCGGTAAGTTTAGTGAGGGCGGGGTTATACAGGAATTAACGAATTTATTATTGAAAAATTGGTTCGATTGTTCGTCAGAATAAACAGGGTGTGCTGAGAAAATTCAGGAGCCTATCATATTATTAAAAATTTCCCCTCCCTTTTCTTAACAAATTAAAAATATAATTTGTATTTTAGGAGTTGGGAAAAGTTCACTTTTGCTGAGGTTTTCAGACAACACTTTTACAGGGAACTACATTACCACCATTGGGGTGGATTTCAAAATTAAAACAGTTTCGATAGATGGGCAAAAAATAAAACTACAAATTTGGGATACGGCAGGGCAAGAACGATTTAGAACAATTACCAGCACGTATGTTGTTTAAATAGTGAAAAAATAATTTTTATTGTTTTTTTTCATAGATATTACAGAGGCACACATGGGGTTATAGTTGTATATGATGTAACAAATGGGGAATCTTTTGCCAATGTAAAAAGATGGTTGCATGAAATAGAACAGAATTGTGATGTTGTTAACAGAGTTTTAGGTACATATTTATTCTCTATTTGTATTATACAGATTCCAAAAATTATTTTCTTGTAGTTGGCAACAAAAACGACTCCCCTGAAATCAAAGTCGTTTTAACTGAAGATGCACAACGTTTTGCCGACACAATGAACATTCAATTGTTTGAAACATCAGCCAAAGACAATTTAAACGTAGAAGAGATGTTTATGGCTGTTACAAAGCTGGTGGTACGCTCCAAATTAGAAATGAAAGAGAGGCAAAGTGTCACGCAAAATGACACTGTTAATTTAAGGAAAACAAACAAATCCGGTAAAAAAAGGTGCTGTTAGCATTCGGTATTTCAGACTATTTATAATTTTAAGGAATCATTGTAGAAAATTGTCATTATTATTGGATTAAATATAGCTTTATTTAAGTGGTGCAAATTGTTGAAATGTGAGCTGAATTTTAAAATCATATCATTGTATATAGATTTTTGTTTTATCAAGAGTTTTGGTGACAATTTTACTTCAGGAAAATCAAAGATACAGGGTTTGATTGTAGGTAGGCAACCCGGATTTCAGATCGAGCTTTAAATTTTCTTCAAAATCTCCAAATTTTTCAAAATTTTAATTTTTAATAATTTTAAAATTACAAATTTATGAAATTTTTTTTGTTTTAAAATCAAATTTTCAAAAATTCACTGAAATTGGGAAATTTGTTTGACTCAGAATCTGGGAGTTTTTGTTTTTTGCTATGTTGTCAAATTTACAAAATTTTCCAAATCTTGTTAAAATTACGACATTCAAATTTTTACAAAATTCTTTAATTTTTTTAAATTTTCAAAATTTTTTTTAGAATATTCAAAATTTTATGATTTTTTAAAATTTTTTAACAAAATTTTTAACATTTTCAAATTCTTTAAAATCTCCAGATTTTCCAAAATCGTCAAAAAAATTTGAATATAACAAAATTTTCAAAATCTTACAATTTTTAAAAATTTTAAAATTACAAAATTCTTGTAAGAAGTTACACCCTGTATGTTATGTTTTACATGCGGAAAAATTTAAATGTTTGTCCGTGGATGTCTAATAATTTTTTTAATGCCAAATAAATAACTGTAATGTGTGTTGCCTACCTTCATTTCAACAACATTGGTTTTAAACCTAACAATGTTACGAATTTAAAAAAATGGTGAAGGAAAATTTGCCTTGGAATTTCAAGCAGATTTACCTTTGGGACACCCTGTATATTACCGGTATCTAATGCTCAACTATCATAATTTTATAAACTATGGAAACATTTGCCGAAAATTTTGTATATAAGTAGCTACCCGAAAAAATGTACAGTGTTATATTGTAGATGCGACTTATTTAGATTTTCAGGGCTTATTTACAGCATTCCACAGAAAAAGAAAAAACATGGAGAATAAGTTATGCCCAATAAGTATTATTCAATACTAAACAACTTCCTTTACTTTAAGAGTAACTTATTTTCCATTTTATACTGTTGCAGTGGTATACAGGTTGTATAAGTGAAGAATTAAATTCTGACCCACCGCCCATCGTTTACACCCTGTATATTTTGCTTTAATTTTATGTACACAGATTTCGTAAAAAAAAAGAAAAAGCATTTTTATATCATATCAGTAATTGTTAGTATATAATATACTATGACAATATTAAAATAGATTGTTTAAAGACCAATCTTAGGGCTATGTGTGAATTATTATAATGCGCAGTTGCAAAACTTCCGACGACTTGTGTAATATTAATTAACTGTACAATAAACAAAGGCCATTTATATTTTTTTGTATTTTATGTACCAAAACATGTTTTTAGTGTATAATCTTTATTATTGTAAGTTTTGTGTATAAAAACTAAATGAATTTATCGTGTACCGTCATATATTTTTAAACATTATATATTGTAACGATTTGTTGTAATAAAATTGTGTTTAAATGTTTTTTGTTTTTTTTTATAAATAAAAAGGCTCGTAACGAACTGCAGGTTTTATTAAAGCTGTGACAACGCCTATACGACCAATCGGTTGTATAACGGTTTACAGAGCTGCTATAAAACCTCTACTGCGATTATAGCGTTTTAAAGGTAATCTGAACAAAGTGGTGAAACCTTCACACCAAAACATTTTATTACCGCGGTCACCAATAGATTTATAATTGTTTTGTAACCAGGAGGGTCTCATAAATAATAAACACATTAATAAACTATTTCAATTTTTATTACACTAGGGTCTATAAAGTAAAAACATCAAATCCTTTTGTGAAAATATATTTTTTCTTATAATATAGGTGTAATAATAAACACGAAACAAAATTTTTGAGTGGCCTAAACCTATTTTCCGATACCAACGTATCCTAAAAATGTTATTTTTGATTGAAAAGTGTTTAATTTCAAGTTAAGGCACGATAAAAACTAAACAATTTTACTGGAACACAAATATTACAGAATCCTAACCTTAAACACAAAAAATACGCTTAAAAAACCTTTTTTGTTGAACTTGTAAAAAAATTGACGCTCGATTTGAGTTTGGTTTGCCGAGGAAGAGCGTTTTTGTGGCAAATCAAACTCGAACCAAGTCAATAATACTAGGTAATAAGTAAAGTAAAATAAAAATATATAAAAAGGCTCATAACGAACGAATCTGCATCGCGAACAACCGCAGGTTTTATTAAAGCTGTGAGAACCCTTATACGACCAATAATGGGTTGTATAACGGTTTACAGAGCCGCTATAAAACCTCGGCAGATCCTTTTTCTCTTTGAACGCGTTTTCCCCAACAAAAACTCGTTTGTGTATGCTAGTTGAACGTTAGGGAGACAGGGGGCGCTTTTTTTACATGATACTACATCTGTCGTCCCCCTGAGGGTCCCCCTGCTGGTGGTGGAGCTCCTCGAACCCGCCCTCACGGTGTCTGAGCAAGCGGCTGGAAATTTGCCTCTTAACTCTGCAAAAGTAAATCAAACAGACGGACTTTAGAACGAAGCGCAAATTTCGAGACCAAATGCCACCCGAACGGCGATCTAATCTACGAATCGACGAAAACCGGTCGAAAAGCAGGTAGCAAGGAAACCTACTTTACATAAAATCAAAACATTTTCGATGGTCGGGCTCAAGAAAACTCACATGTAGCATATATAAGTGTAATTTATTCACTACTACCATCTATCTACATAGAAGTCCTATATATATATAAAAATAAAAACAATACATATTTTGCAAACTCTTCTTAGTTTATCTTCTTTGCTTCATTATCTTCCAATACCATTTTATTTCTTTTGCCCGACAAATTGTTAGTAAAAAGCAAGACAGAATCGAAATGCGTGATGATGTTAGATTTTCCTACACTCAATGGACAAAATTGATTTACCTATTTTGTCCATAACCAGTGCATAATATAATACTATGATAGCCCGTGAGATTCCAAACAATAATAATTATAATAACTTTTGTTAGTTTTAATTTAATAAATGCCAGTTACATAGCTAAGCTGCTATATAGTGTAATCTAATAATAATTATAATATTAAGACCAATTTAATAACATACGTAAAATGTAAAAAATTACATACAACTTTATAGGACACTTTTTACTTTTCAGGCAACTTTGGCTCTATTATAGTACCTACATCGAAAAAATTCCATACAATTTTTAACATATTGTTTTTTTTAGTTTGATTCAATTTTAGAGGGTCATAACAAAGATAATAATTATAATTTTCTTATATATTTGAGATCTACGACTTTTTTACTTGGCATTTTGAGTTTAAATCGATTTAAGATGGTCAAAATGTGAAAAACTAATTTTTGTCAACATTGGCGCCCTCTATCTTTCGAGGAACTAAACGCAGCAATTTTTGAATGTAAACGAATATGTTAAAAATGGCAAGCTCTACGTTTTATGCCTCGAAACTTTTTTTGTCCGACCAATAGGAAACGAGATATATCATTTTTTCTTAAAAAATTGGCGCCCGAGCAGGGACCACAGTAATTTTTCGTTCCACCTTGTAGACCTTCATTTCGGAATTTTTTCGATGTCAAATTGACGCGTTGGTACATTTGATTGCAAAAATATTAAAAAAATTGAAATCGAATGTACCACAGACTAAAAAATACGTGGATAAGCGTTTTGGTTAGTTTTATAAATGACTTAGGAACATTTACACAGCATGCACATTACAGTGGAGGGGGGGGCAGTGACAGTGAAATAAAGTCTCAGTTGCCAGATCGCATCCGTTCCGAACCATCCATTCAATTTTTTTATGTAATTTTTTTTTGTGGGTTTTGTTGTCGATTTTTTTAAAGTGGTCGATTAAATAGCGTGATCCTAGACGAGCTGCTCGAGCGAGTCATCGTTCTGCGGAAAAATTAACAAAGAATAAGCCAACGACATTTTTTTTTTGTTCATCGTTTGGATTTTTAGTGCGCTTTTAATGGACTTGATGTTTTTTAATCACAAGGTGCATGGTGCTGGCGAGTTTAATGGTGCGATGCGAGAAAGTTAAGATAAATTACCCCAAATGCTGAAAGGAAAATTTTGCGTCGTAAAAATTTAGAGAAACGTTTTTTCAAGTACTGGGAGGTCTGAACGCTCACCGCTGTTGCTGTACCTGTTTGCCTATATAAGGCATGTTTTACGACAGCTGTCATTTTGACAAACGTCATCTTGAGAGCTGTCATCCTGACATGTCATCTTGACAACATATTGGCAGATGTCATTTTGAAAGATGTAATTTTGGCAAACGTCAGCAAAATTTTGGCAAATGTCACTTTGACAGCTGTCATTTCACTGATGTTATTTTAACAGAGCAAAAAAATAAATACCTACTATTGCCCGACAGCTGTCATCGTGACATTTGTCATTTTAACAGAGTTCGTTTTTACACCTGGCAATTTTTGTCATTTTGACAGATGTCATTATGACGGCCAACATTTTGGCAAAAATGCTGAGCATTTTTTAAAATGTTATTTATGTTGTGTTCTGTTTAAAAGCTAAATTTCAAAAGTGTTTACGTTTGTTTTATATGCGCGTAAGTTTAATTTTGCTGTGAAATACTTTTTTTTATTTTCCGCCCTAAGACACTTTGAAAATTGTTAATGTTAATATTAGTTTAAATTTATTTCAATGTTTTTTCATGGATAACTTGACAAAATAAATTTTTGTAGTTATTTTTGTGCATTTTTTTTTCTTAAAATTTTTCAATAAAATTTAGTATAGGATAGTTTTGAGGGGTGGTGAATCCAGTGCCGTGCTTATATTTTGTTTAAAAAAATATGAATTCTTAAAAATTTACTCTTAAAAACTGACAAAGTAGGCCTTGTATTTTGTATTAATATGGCGTATTTTGCTCCAAAAATACAGTTTATCAAGATCTACACTTTAAAACAAATCCGGTTAATATCGCACAATAAATAAAAATTTTACAGGGGTGAGTCGCAAACAAATGGGTCATACTGTATTATAATTTTTTCTAAATTTTTTATTTGAAAATTTCATAATATTTGTATTTTTTTTTGTAAATTTTAAACCTTTTGCAAAAGTATTTAATTTAATTACGGTAATTACGTTACCGAGTAACGTGGAATTTCTCAGATGTAAAAATAACAGCTGTCAGGGTGACATTTACCAAAATGCTGCTGTCAAGATGACGTTTGTCAAAATGACAACTGCCAAAATGACAGCCGTCATAATGACATCTGTCAAAATGACGTTTGCCAAGATGACAACTGTCAAAATGTTGGCCGTCTTAATAACATCTGTCAAAATGACAAAAATTGTCAAGTAACGTGGAATTGCTCAGCTGTAAAAATGATAGCTGTCAGGGTGACATTTATCAAAATGACGTTTGCTAAAATGACAGCTGTCAAGATGACGTTTGCCAAAATGACCCTATACTAAATTTTATTGAAACACTAAAAAAAAAATGCACAAAAACTACAAAAATTTATTTTGTCAAGTTATCCATGAAAAAAACATTGAAATAAAATTAAACTAATAATAATATGCTACTATTACTATAAGTTCAATTTTATTTCAATGTTTTTTTCATGGATGACTTGACAAAATAAATTTTTGTAGTTATTATTGTGCATTTTTTTAAATTTTTCAATAAAATTTAGTATAGGGTCGTTTTGAGGGGTGGTGAATCCAGTGCCATGCTTAGATTTTGTTTAAAAAAAATCGTCAATATGAATTCTTAAAAACTGACGTAGTAGGCCTTGTATTTTGTATTATGGCGTCTTTAGCTCAAAAAATACAGTTTATCAAGATCTACACTTTAAAACAAATCCGGTTAAAATCGCACAATAAATAAAGATTTTACAGGGGTGAGTCGCAAAGAAATGGGTCACACTGTATGTTAATAATTTAAATGTTAAGGTAGATAATTATAATAATATACAACTTATTTTAAAAAGTTTACCAATACCTACCTTATTTTCAAAAAAATCTAACAATTTATATGGGCAACATTGTGTAATCAGCTGACTGAAAAGCATTTTAATTGGCTTATAATTTAAACAAATAAACCCTTGGTTACTACAATCTTTGACAAGCGTTTGTTCCAAGAATTAAAATGTTTTGTTTAACAGTTTATAGTGTTGTTTGAAGATTTTTGTTTATTTGTTCAAAAAAGTAAGAAAAATTTTAATGAGAATATTGGAAATAACAAAACCATACTATTTTACACTTTGTATTTAGTTTATTTAAATGTTTATGTTGTTTTTGTTTACGTATTTAAATATTTAAAACAATTGTTTTTATGATGACAATCTTTAAATACTTATATTCAGATTTTATTTATGTGAGTGTAGCTATGTAAGTATTAAAACATAAAATCACTTAAAAATGCTGATTACATAAAAATAATAAAAAATCACTTACTACTTTGTTGCCGATTGCCTAGTTAATCGGTCCCGTACTGGACCTACCTGTAACAAAGAAAAAAAATGTTAAAAAACAACTCAAACAAGCAAAATCACAAGTTTTACCTTTAAAGCCCTTTCCCTGTCACCATCGTTGTTATTGCATCTCCAGACATAAAAAAGGTCACTCACGCACTAAAATATCGCACCGAAATACAAAAAACTGCAATAATATCGGCATTTTTATCAAAAGGACGCTAAACATGTCAAATTACCGATTGTTTTGCAATGATGGCTGACAAAGTGACAAAAGCGAATCGCGGCCGGGCATGCGCGGTGTCTCTGTCAAAGATGACACGATTATACCAACAAAAAAATGCTGCTGAAATTTGAACCTTATATTATTTTAATATTATTTTATCGATTGCAGTTTTATACGACAATTACCTACACGAAATATTTTATGTTTTATATTGTCTTTACACTGTTTCTAACGTATACAAACAATAATAATAATAATTATTGTACAACAAATGTTGTTTTTTTATGTAAACAGTTACAACGAAAATTTGGGTCTACTTAAGTTGGCAACATTTACGAAGAAAGGTTATTCTTTATAAAAAGTTGTGCATGTTCTAAAATACAAAATAAAATCACCAGATATCAGATTTTTTCAGTCATATACGAGGTTTGACGAAAAATATGAATTTGGTACAAGAGTAAAGTACCTTTATTTGTGACAATATCGAAAACTGTAAATATGAAAAGTTGTTTGAAATAAAAAACTATGTTTTGACATTAAATCAGTGTTGCCAACGCCTTATAACCAGATAATCCGCTCCAACCTGTAAAAAAATCCGAAAATATCCAAAAAAAATCCGATTTACATACGAGGTGTGAACAGAAAGTAAAAATGCTTTTTATGGATAGCAACGACCAGAAAAAAACCACGTTCGATAGGTTATTTGCCAAAATGTTATTTATGTTGTGTTCTGTTTAAAAGCTAAATTTTAAAAGTTTTTACGTTTGTTTTATATATGCGTATGTTTAATTTTGTTGTGAAATACAGGAAAAAGAAAGTGTTTAAGGTTTTATTTTTATTTTCCGCCCTAAGACACTTTGAAAATTGCAATAATAATAGGTTATTATTGCAATTTTCAAAAAGCATTTTTACTTTCTGTTCACACCTCGTATGTAAATCGGATTTTTTTTTGGATATTTTCGGATTTTTTTACAGGTTGGAGCGGATTATCTGGTTATAAGGCGTTGGCAACACTGATTTAATGTCAAAACATAGTTTTTTATTTCAAACAACTTTTCATATTTACAGTTTTCGATATTGTCACAAATAAAGGTACTTTACTCTTGTCCCAAATTCATATTTTTCGTCAAACCTCGTATATGACTGAAAAAATCTGATATCTGGTGATTTTATTTTGTATTTTAGAACATGCACAACTTTTTATAAAGAATAACTTTTCTTCGTAAATGTTGCCAACTTAAGTAGACCCAAATTTTCGTTGTAACTGTTTACATAAAAAAACAACATTTGTTGTACAATAATTATTATTATTGTTTGTATACGTTAGAAACAGTGTAAAGACAATATAAAACATAAAATATTTCGTGTAGGTAATTGTCGTATAAAACTGCAAAGGATTAAATATTATTTAAATTACTATAAGGTTCAAATTTCAGCAGCATTTTTTTGTAGTATAATCGTGTCATCTTTGACAGAGCCACCGCGCATGCCCGGCCGGCGATTCGCTTTTGTCACTTTGTCAGCCATAATTGCAAAACAATCGGTAATTTGACATGTTTAGCGTCCTTTTGATAAAAATGCCGATATTAATGCAGTTTTTTGTGTTTCGGTGCGATATTTTAGTTCGTGAGTGACCTTTTTTATGTCTGGAGATGCAACAACAACGATTGTGACAGGGAAAGGGCTTTAAAGGTAAACATTGTGATTTTGTTGTTTGAGTTGTTTTTTAACGTTTTTTTCTTTGTTACAGGTAGGTCCAGTACGGGACCGATTAACTAGGCAATCGGCAACAAAGTAGTAAGTGATTTTTAATTATTTTTTAGTAATGAGCATTTGTAAGTGATTTTATGTTTTAATACTTAATACTTACATAGCTACACTCAAATAAAATCTGAATATAAGTATTTAAAGATTGCCAACATAAAAACAATTGTTTTATATATTTAAATACGTAAACAAATAAACTAAATACAAAGTGTAAAATAGTATGGTCTTGTCATTTCCAATATTCTCATTAAAATTTGTCTTACTTTTTTGAACAAATAAACAAAAATCTTCAAACAACACTATAAACTGTTAAACAAAACATTTCAATTCTTGGAAAAAACGCTTGTCAAAGATTGTAGTAACCAAGGGTTTATTTGTTTAAATTTTAAGCCAATTAAAATGCTTTTCAGTCAGCTGATTACACAATGTTGCCCATATAAATTGTTAGTTTTTTTGAAAATAAGGTATTGGTAACATTTTTAAAATAAATTGTATATTATTATAATTATCTACCTTAACTTTTAAATTATTAACATAAAGTGTGACGCATTTGTTTGCGACTCACCCCTGTAAAATCTTATGGCGTCTATTTATTGTGCGATTTTAACCGGATTTGTTTTAAAGTGTAGATCTTGATAAACTGTATTTTTTGAGCAAAAGACGCCATAATACAAAATACAAGGCCTATTATGTCAGTTTTTGAGAAAAGTAGCATATTATTATAAGTTTAATTTTATTTCAATGTTTTTTTCATGGATAACTTGACAAAATAAATTTTTGTAGTACCTAATTGTGCATTTTTTTTTAAATTTTTCAATAAAATTTAGTATAGGGTCATTTTGGCAAACGTCATCTTGACAGCAGCATTTTGGTAAATGTCACCCTGACAGCTGTTATTTTTACATCTGAGAAATTCCACGTTACTCGGTAATTTTTGACGCGTCCGTAATTACCGTAATTAAATTAAATACTTTTGAAAAAGGTTTAAAATTTACAAAAAAAAAATACAAATATTATGAAATTTTCAAATATTTACAAAAAATTATAATATGTTCAGGGTGATCCCCTATAATGTCGCCCCCTTTTAACTTTTTTATTTTAAGTGTCCCAAAAAATTTCAAGGTGTGGTTATGTAGGTACTAAAAAATACTTTTTTTCTATGTATAAAGAAAATTGGAAAATTGATCAGTATACAAGGAAAAACAAAAAGTTTATTTTTTTTCAATGGATTACCCTATATATGTATTTATATTTCAATTCCTTGTAAAATTCTAAGCATATTTCATATAACATATCATATACCTAAATTCAACCGTTTCTGAAATATTTAAATTATTTTTAAGATAATATAAGTTGAAATAGTTTTTCTTTCTCTGTCTGAGTGGGCCATTTTGTTTTTCCCTGTATATTGATCAATTTTTAATTTTTTTTAATACGTAGAAAAAAAGTATTTTTTAGTACCTACATAACCACACTTTTAAATTTTTTGGGACACTTAAAATAAAAAAGTTAAAAGGGGGCGACATTATAGGGGATCACCGTGTAAAAAAATCAAAATTTGCTGCTTTGATGAAAAAAAATTAAAAAATGTACAAAACATTTAAAATTTCCAAAAATTTTAATTTTTTTTTAATTTTCCAATCATAAATATTTTCACGGTGCTGTTCTGAGAGGTGATTTTTGAACATTCTGTGAAACCTAATTTTTTTTTATATTCTTGTTAATTAGGTCATAACTTAAATTTTAAGAGCAAAATAAAAAAAATTTGACGGTTTGAATTGTTTTAATTGGCTGTTTATTAAAAATATTATGCACTCTTTCAATTATCCAATTAAAACTAGCGATTTAATTTAAATATTTAATATTTGCATAACTAAAAAAAAGGTTTTTACAATTGTTTTTATAAATTTTACTGTTTTGTTTGCAATAAACGTTCAAACTTTTAATCTAACCTTTGACGTATACATTTATGTTCCCTTAATTAATATATCCTTAAAGGTTGCCATGAAACTAAGATCTATTAAAAATTTATTTGATGTTTGAATTGTCATTTTTAGTATACGTATTCTATAATTTTTGTTTAGTTTTTTTAAGTGTTTTTTATAAACAAAAATGAAAAATTGTAGTAAAAGTTACGAAGAAATTCATGAAATTTTCATCTTTAGTAAAATTTATCGGGCCGATAACTTTCATGTCTTGGCCATATCTAGTATCCAAAGAAATTATTCGTTAAATAAATCAAAAATGAATAAATCGGCCCTAAATAAAATGTGGCACCCTTAGAAGTATTGTTTAATAAATGTATACTATACATTTAACCTTAAATTAAAACTTTAAACGTGTATTACAACAAAACAGTAAAAGATATAAAAAATGTATAGACCTTTTTTTAAGAAATTATCTAATCTTTAATCTGATTTAAAAATGTATGATAATATTTAAATAAAATCGCAAGTTTTAATTGGAGAATTGAAAGTGTGCATACATATTTTTAATAAACATCCAATTAAAACAAAATTAACCGTCAAATTTTTTTTATTTTGCTCTTAAAATTTTAGTTATGACCTAATTAACAAGAATATAAAAAAAAATTAGGTTTCACATAAAGTCCAAAAATCACCTCTCAGAACAGCACCGTGTTTTTAAAATACCAAAATCTTTAAAATTCACCAATTTTTAAAATTACGAAATGATTTTAAGAATTGGGTGAAAATTAACAAATTTTATAATTTTTCAAAAATTTTAAACTTTTCATAAAATCCTCAAAATTTACAAAAATTCACAAAATTTACTCGCAATTTTCGATTATTACGGACGTGACAAAATTGCCGAGTAACGTGGAATTGCTTATCTGTCATTTTGACAAATGTCATTCGCAAAAATTAATAAATTGTAAATTGCGACTACTGCAATTAACAATTAATGAATTTGTAATTGTACCAATCAAAATTAACAGTTAATTAATGGTTAATCTATAAAATATTTAATAAATGCGTTCAGACTTCCTGTAGTTCTTGAAACGAATATTTTATTATTTTCTCAAAATCCCCTAAAAATTTTTATAAGTTAGTCATAATTTCCCTTTCAACTGGTTGCAACCGCAAAAATAAACATCGTCCTAAACCTAAAGACAAAAAAAAATTCTCGCATCGAAAATAATGTTCAGAATATTAAGTAAGTAATAGAGAGATGGATATTAATAAAAATTAATGGTAAAAATAAAGTTAATAGCGTCGAAACCGACGGTGCACGTACCTTTCCGAAACGGCCACCTCCTCGCCGTTATTGTTGATCACCACGGTGACCATGTTGTCACCAGTCACCCACTTCTGCCCCTTCATCACCAAATTGCTGGGCGGCTCGTGGTCCTTGTTCAGATCAGAGGACCAGATTGTCACCAAGCCGTTACCCTCCAACTTAAGGCTCCTGAGAATGCAAGACAAAAAGAGAGATTTGTTTAATTATGTAATCCATTTAAGCAGTGGTACTTTAGTTTTGTAAATAAATCTGTTTGGATTAAAATTGCACGACCGGTTTCGCCTTACGGCATCTTCAGGGTTTCTACAAGAGGTACATGTATAGATATTAGATACATATATATTGGGGTGATTCATTTCCGCAAAGTTTTTGTTTTTTTTTTCGGTGCTCAGGCAAAATATTAATCTGCATATAGGAAAAAACATTCTCGCCAAGTTTGAGGTCTTAATATTAATTTTAAGCACTTACTATTTAAATTTAAAGTTTTACCGTTTAAAATCCATGTAAAAAATATATTTTTTTTTTCAAATTTCTAATGCTTACCCACCTTTGACAATATTGCAAATCGGTTTAATACACCTTATGGGGAATTTCACGCTCTTTAAAATTGCTTTTGAGTTTTTTTTTGTAACTCGCATTGGTTCACCAGTAGGAGTCGTCAAAGGACAGTTTTTGAAAAAAATCGTTTTTTTTTTTTAATTTTTTCTAACAAACCGCTAAAGTAGGAAGAAAAAAGGGCTGAATCATAAAAAAAGTTATCCAACCAATATTTAATGAATTTACAGCCATTTTTATAACTGAAAACGTAAGAAATTGATAATTACCAACTCATAATGTTATTTAGATTGATTTTTTCTATTTATTATCATTATATTTCCCTACACTAAGAAGTTTTTTAAAATTATTGATTTCTCACTTATAATGAATATGAAAACAATAGATAAATTCATAAAAAAACAATAAGAAAATTGTAACGTGGATTTTTCAACATTTCTGTCATATAGCAAAAAAATATAAATGAAGATTATTTAATTTTTTGAAGCGAAATTTGAAATATGTTACATAACCTTCTGTATATTCCGATTAAAGTTTTGTTGTTTTTTTATGAATTTATGTGTTGTTTTCATATTCATTATGAGTGAGAAATCATAATAATTTTAAAAAAGTTCTTAGTGTAGGGAAATATAATGATAATAAATAGAAAAAATCAATCTAAATAACATTTTGGGTTGGTATTTATCAATTTCTTACGTTTTCAGTTATAAAAATGGCAGTAAATTCATTAAATATTGGTTGGATAACTTTTTTTTATGATTCAGCCCTTTTTCCTTCCTACTTTTTGCGGTTTGTTAGAAATAATTTAAAAAAAGAAACGATTTTTTTCAAAAACTGTCCTTTGACGACTCCTACTGGTGAACCAATGCGAGTTACAAAAAAAACTCAAAAGCAATTTTAAAGAGCGTGAAATTTCCCATAAGGTGCATTAAACCGATTTGCAATATTGTCAAAGGTGGGTAAGCATTAGAAATTTGAAAAAAAAATATATTTTTTACATGCATTTTAAACGGTAAAACTTTAAATTTAAATAGTAAGTGCTTAAAATTTATATTAAGAGCTCAAACTTGTTGAGAATTTTTTTTTTCTATATGCAGATTAATATTTTGCTTGAGCACCGAAGAAAACAAAAACTTTGCGGAAATGAATCACCCCAATATATATGTATCTAATATCTATACATGTACCTCTTGTAGAAACCCTGAAGATGCCGTAAGGCGAAACCGGTCGGTTTTTAAAATAAAATATTGCAGCAGGGAAGTGCAATCTTAATCCAAACAGATTTATTTACAAAAAAAAAGAGATGTTGCAAAGAGAGGAAACTCCAAAAGAAATAGAATCTTCTAACCTGTGAAACTTGAAGACGGTCTCGGCGTCGTTGCACCGCCTAACCACTTGCCACCCCCCTAGAGCGATCTCGTTCTGGCTCTTGTTGTGCAGCTTGACAAACTTGCCGTCTGCATCTACGTCTGCAACTTCAACGTCCCCTTTGCAAGAGCTGTTTACGCTGAAATCGTTGACAGAAGACTCCGAAGATTCTTCAAGTAAAGTGCGCTTGCGCTTTGCGCCTGCGCGCACTGGCGTGCGGCGCGTCGAAGAGGCGCGAGACGACGACATCGTCACCTCCTGCGTGTCGTTGCCTATCGAGAGAAAGCGCCTTTAAAATACCACGAGACAAACATGGGGCAAAATTTGCCAAGTGTACCAGGTGAAAAAATTTTGTCACCGATTTTGTTTAAACTTTACTTATTTGTTGTTCTTATAACGAAGAATCATGGCATAATTTTTTTTTGCTCTAGGATAGTTCATTCAAGAGTTATGGATTATTGAAATTTATCGATTTTTTACTTTTTTATGAAATCACTTTTTATTTAAAAATTCATAACTTCTGTTCATCTCTTTATTAAATATTTCAATTTAACCACCTTAAATGATTTTTTCCGTACTTTTCAATGGGCTAAACCGTTTTTGCCAAAAAATAAAAATTGCCTTTTTTATTGAAATTTTGCAAAATTTTGCATTTTTTGAAAGAATGTGTATTTTTTTTAAAATAGCATAAAATCCAAGTTTATTATGTTACCTTTAAATTTTAAATTATTATTTTGTATTTGTATAAACGCATACGGCAATGTAGTAGCTATTCGATGGCTAGACCCGCACGCATTCAAATATGAAAAACTTCCCTTCTACATGTCGGGCCCACTCTAAAATTTTTTTTATTCAAAGGTAACATAATAAACTTGGATTTTATGCTATTTAAAAAAAAATTAAAAAATACACATTGTTTCAAAAAATGCAAACTTTTGCAAAATTTAAAAAAAAATTGGAATTTTTTTTTTTTGCAAAAAAGGTATAGCATATTGAAAAGTACGGAAAAAATCATTTAAGGTGGTTAAATTGAAATATTTAATAAAGAAATGAACAGAAGTTATGAATTTTTAAATAAAAAGCGATTTCACCAAAAAGTAAAAAATCGATAAATTTCAATAATCCATAACTCTTGAATGAACAATCCTAGAGCAAAAAAAATGTATGCTATGATTTTTCGTTATAAGAACAACAAATAAGTAAAATTTAAACAAAATCGGTGACAACAATTGTTTCACCTGGTACACTTGGTAAATTTTGCCCCACATACAAAATAATCGATCCACACAAATTTTCGATGAATTTCAATCGCAAATAACTTTTTTATTCGATGTCGGATTTAAACGAATATTAAAGAATATTGTGGATAAATTGATGGACAATCGCTCACATTTTAAAAAAATACCAAAAAATACGCGTACGTTTATAATATACAGGTTTAAACAAAAAGATGTTTTTTACCATAAGTTCACTCTGCAGAGTGGCAAAACCGTATATTGTTCTAAATTAAGTTTTATTTATCAAGTCACATCTATTCTTAACAGTTTCGTTTTTGGTTCACCTCGATATATTTATTTTTGTGGAAAATATGGATTTTTAATAAAACATTGCAATTTCCGATATTTTTCCTGTATAAAGAACTAAGGTTGCTATGGTCCATCCATAGTAGGGTGATTCATTTCCGCAAAGTTTTTGTTTTTTTTTCGGTGCTCAAGCTAAATATTAATCTGCATATAGGAAAAAACATTCTCACCAAGGTTGAGCTCTTAATATTAATTTTACCGTTTAAAATGCATGTAAAAAATATATTTTTTTTTCAAATTTCTAATGCTTACCCACCTTTGACAATATTGCAAATCGGTTTAATACACCTTATGGGGAATTTCACGCTCTTTAAAATCGCTTTTGAGTTTTTTTTGTAACTCGCATTGGTTCACCAGTAGGAGTCGTCAAAGGACAGTTTTTGAAAAAAATCGTTTTTTTTTATTTTTTCGAGCAAATCGCCAAAAGTAGTGAGAAAAAGGGCTGATTCATAAAAAAAAAGTTATCCAACCAATATTTAATGAATTTACTGCCATTTTTGAAAACGTAAGAAATTCATAAATACCAACCCATAATGTTATTTAGATTGATTTTTTCTATTTATTATCATTATATTTCCCTACACTAAGAACTTTTTTAAAATTATTATGATTTCTCACTCATAATGAATATGAAAACAACACATAAATTCATAAAAAAAACAACAAAACTTTAATCGGAATATACAGAAGGTTATGTAACATATTTCAAATTTCGCTTCAAAAAATTAAATAATCTTCATTTATATTTTTTTGCTATATGACAGAAATGTTGAAAAATTGCAAAATCCACGTTACAATTTTCTTATTGTTTTTTTATAAATTTATCTGTTGTTTTCATATTCATTATAAGTGAGAAATCAATAATTTTAAAAAACTTCTTAGTGTAGGGAAATATAATGATAAATAGAAAAAATCAATCTAAATAACATTATGAGTTGGTAATTATCAATTTCTTACGTTTTCAGTTATAAAAATGGCTGTAAATTCATTAAATATTGGTTGGATAACTTTTTTTTATGATTCAGCCCTTTTTTCTCCCTACTTTTTGCGGTTTGTTAGAAAAAATTTAAAAAAAAAAACGATTTTTTTCAAAAACTGTCCTTTGACGACTACTGGTAAACCAATGCGAGTTACAAAAAAAAACTCAAAAGCAATTTTAAAGAGCGTGAAATTCCCCATAAGGTGTATTAAACCGATTTGCAATATTGTCAAAGTTGAAAAAATATATATATTTTTTACATGCATTTTAAACGGTAAAACTTTAAATTTAAATAGTAAGTACTTAAAATATATATTAAGAGCTTAAACTTGTTGAGAATTTTTTTTCTATATGCAGATTAATATTTTGCTTTAGCACCGAAGAAAACAAAAACTTTGCGGAAATGAAACACCCTAATCCATAGCCTATGGAGAATGACTGACAGTTTTGTTAAATCATCCCATACTTGGACATGTCATATACATCTTTCAAAAGCTATCAAATTGTTTTTTGTAAATTAATGTGTTAATTTTGAGGCGTCTTCTTACTTTTAAAAATGTCTCCGACTGATGTTGCCTTTTGTACTGACGTTTAAAACACTTGCCACGTAATACTGCGACCGTCCATCCTGGATTAAATTAATAGCTCTGGCAACATCAGTCGGAGACATATCCATTTTATAAAGTAAGAAGACACCTCAAAATTTAAACATTAATTTGCAAAAAACAATTTGATAGCTTTTGAAAGCCGTGTATGACATGTCCAAGTATGGGAAGATTCAACAAAACTGTCACTGTCATTCTCCATAGCCTATGGATGGACCATATTTCCAAATCTTAGTTCTTCATACAGGAAAAATATTGGAAATTGCAATGTTTTTTTAAAAAATCCATATTTTCCACAAAAATAAATATATCGAGGTGAACCAAAAACAAAACTGTTAAAAATAGAGGTGACTTGATAAATAAAACTTAATTTAGAACAATATACGGTTTTGCCACTCTACAGAGTGTCTTAAACTTAGGGTAAAAAACATCTTTTTGTTTAAACGTGTATATTATAAACGTACGTGTATTTTTTAGTAATTTTTAAAATGTGAACGATTGTCCATTAATTTATCTACAATATTCTTTAATATTCGTTTAAATCCGACATCGAATAAAAAAGTTATTTGCGATTGAAATTCATCGAAAATTTGTGCGGACCGATTATTTTGCACGTGAGTGGAAAACCAAGTAAAACGAACATAAACCTGCAAAAAAAAATTTTTACCTGACGGTGTGATGTTGAGGCGAGCCTCCTCCGACTCGAGCAACTTCCTGTACGCCGATATTTCCAAATCCAAGGATATCTTGATGTCCATCAGGTCTTGGTACTCTTGCATCTGGTGGGCCATGTCTTCGCGCATGCGCGCCAGCTCGGCCTCCAGCGATGCCAGATCTTCGGCGTGACGTAGACGTTCGTTCTGGAACGACGTTTTTCGTGAGTGACGTCACGGAAAATCGATTTGAGCGAGATGAGAGAGATGGGAATATAATATATTATATTATACAAAACCTCCTTGACGTGAATAACTAATGAAAGGGTTCGACAGTAGCCGTGGCGTAATAAATTGGTGGCTGTGCTTATGCACAAGAGAGAGATGGAAACAAATGAATTCAATATGGCGGATTCAAATGAAAGGGTTTGGTGAGTAGAAAACGATAAGGTGAGTAAAAATTGACAAAAAAATTTCACTAGTAGAAAATGATAAGTGAAAATTGACGAAATGGCGAAATTTTTATAAATTTTGAGAAAAAAATCTTAAAAATTCCCCAAAATCTCAAAATTTTGTAAAATTTTATGATTTTAAGAATCTTCTGAATTCCAAAATTTACAAGAAATTTCAAATTTGACAATTTTGAAATGTCCACAATTTGTGGGTTTGATAAATAAAAAACGATAATTTGTGGGTTTGATGAGTAGAAAACGATAAGGTGGGTGAAAATTCCAATGTTCCAAAATTTTGAATTTTCAAAACTTTCAAATTTAATACAATTCTGAAATTTCTACAATTCGTGGGTTTAATAAATAAAAAACAATAATTTGTGGGTTTGATGAGTAGAAAACGATAAGGTGGGTAAAAATTCCAATGTCCAAAATTTTTAAATTTCCAAAACTTTTAAATTTAGTACAATTTAGAAATTTCCACAATTTGTGGGTTTGATAAATAAAAAACAATGATTTGTGGGTTTGATGAGTAGAATTTAGTACAATTTTGAAACTTCCACAAATTGTGGGTTTGATAAATAAAAAAATGATAATTTGTGGGTTTGATGAGTAGAAAACGATAAGGTGGGTAAAAATTCCAATGTCCAAAATTTTTAAATTTCCAAAACTTTTAAATTTAGTACAATTTAGAAATTTCCACAATTTGTGGGTTTGATAAATAAAAAACAATGATTTGTGGGTTTGATGAGTAGAATTTAGTACAATTTTTAAACTTCCACAAATTGTGGGTTTGATAAATAAAAACCTATAATTTGTAGGTTTGATGAGTACAATTTAGTACAATTTTGAAATTTCCTCAATTTGAGGGTTTGATAAATAAAAAACGATAATTTGTGGGTTTGATGAGTGGAAAACGATAAGGTGGGTGAAAATTCCAATGTTCCAAAATTTAGCAATTTACAAAACTTTCAAATTTAGTACAATTTAGAAATTTCCACAATTTGTGGGTTTGATAAATAAAAAACAATAATTTGTAGGTTTGATGAGTAGAATTTAGTAGAATTTTGAAATTTCCACAATTTGTGGGTTTGATAAATAAAAAAATGATAATTTGTGGGTTTGATGAGTAGAAAACGATAAGGTGGGTAAAAATTCCAATGTCCAAAATTAATAAATTTCCAAAACTTTTAAATTTAGTACAGTTTAGAAATTTCCACAATTTGTGGGTTTGATAAATAAAAAACAATAATTTGTAGGTTTGATGAGTAGAATTTAGTAGAATTTTGAAATTTCCACAATTTGTGGGTTTGATAAATAAAAAAATGATAATTTGTGGGTTTGATGAGTAGAAAACGATAAGGTGGGTAAAAATTCCAATGTCCAAAATTAATAAATTTCCAAAACTTTTAAATTTAGTACAATTTAGAAATTTCCACAATTTGTGGGTTTGATAAATAAAAAACAATAATTTGTAGGTTTGATGAGTAGAATTTAGTAGAATTTTGAAACTTCCACAAATTGTGGGTTTGATAAATAAAAACCTATAATTTGTAGGTTTGATGAGTACAATTTAGTACAATTTTGAAATGTCCACAATTTGTGGGTTTGATAAATAAAAAACGATAATTTGTGGGTTTGATGAGTGGAAAACGATAAGGTGGGTGAAAATTCCAATGTTCCAAAATTTAGCAATTTACAAAACTTTAAAATTTAGTAAAATTCTTAAATTTCTACAATTTGTGGGTTTGATAAATAAAAAACGATAATTTGTGGGTTTGATGAGTAGAAAACGATAAGGTGGGTGAAAATTCCAATTTTCCAAAGTTTTGAAATTTCCAAAACTTTCAAATTTAGTACAATTCTGAAATTTCCACAATTTGTGGGTTTGATAAATAAAAAATAATAATTTGTGAGTTTGATGAAACGAAAATTTGTGGGTTTTATGTGTAGAAAACGATAAGGTGGGTGAAAATTCCAATTTTCCAAAATTTTGAAATTTCCAAAACTCTTAAATTTAGTACAATTCTGAAATTTCCACAATTTGTGAGTTTGATAAATAAAAAACGATAATTTGTGGGTTTGATGAGTAGAAAACGATAAGGTGGGTGTAAATTTACAAAAAATGTTAAATTTCCAGAATTAAAAAAGGTCATGCACGTACAAATAAATTGTACTCACCTCCAAAAGTTTCTCCAAGTCCCTGTTCCTGCCGCACAGCGCGGCGTTCTCCTGCTCCAACCCTTGAATCCTGTTGTTGAGCGTGTCGATGCGCGTGCGAATCGTGCGCAGCTCTTCCAGCGCGTTCGCCGCCGTCGACGTGTTCCTATTGGCCGACGCCTGCAGGTTCTTGATCTTCTGCTCGTAGAGCAGCTCGATCTCCTCGCGATTGGTCGCCATCTGGTTCTCGTACTGCGCGCGCAGCTCCTGCAGCGCCTGACGCAGCTTCGCCTCGTACTTCTTCTCGAACTCGCCGTCGATCTCGCTCAGCTCGACCTGCCGGCGCGTCCTCGTCTCCGTCAGGATCTGCTGGTGGATCTGAATCACGCACATCGAGATTATTAACTGCACAGTGTGCATTAAAACGAATAGATGCACTTAAATAAATCAAGTGCCAAACCCCGCCCACTGTGGTGGGGATGAAAACTAAACATATCCCTACGACAGCGTCGGAGCTACTGAACAAACAGTATGCCCTTGTATCTGGCTGCATGCCGCGCTCTTGCCATATGCTATTATTGTTTCCTAAAAGGGTTGTTTTTCTTATTTTTTAATATTAAAAGTTAGAAAATTAACTAAATCAAATTATTTTTGACATCTTATTAATTTTTAAAGTTTCAAACAAATAAAATTGAACTATTCATTAAATAATTATAATCGTTCTCTTCTGATTTAAAACAACCTGGCAACGAATGGCTTGGTTTAAACCACGCCCATTTAAAGTTTGTTTCTTTTTCTTACTTGATTCTATACAGTCTGTATCTCGTTCGTATTGGTCGCGCGAAAAAAATGTCAAAAAATTTAAAAAAAAGTTTTTTCATCATTTTCGTTACCATGCAAAACCTATTTAAACTGTATTTAGTTCCTAAGAAGGTAGATGGCACCAAAGTCGACAAAAATCAGTTTTTCTACATTTTGATCCTCTAAAATCGATTAAAACAAAAAATGCCAACGATAATTTGTTAAAAACATCTTAAAGCAATAGATTTTGCTAAAGAATTATTTTTAAAGTATTTTTTTTTTAATAAGTTAAATTACACCTTAATCTGCATATGTAAAAATTCCTATTTGAATAAAAAAATAAAAATTAAAAGTTATAACCTTTTAAAGACACATTGGTAAAATTAAGAGAGAAAAAAATTCATATAGGCATTTAACTACGATTGCCTCCAATTTCCACGTTGACATCTACATGAGGTCGTTCAGTAAACTTTACTTTATCAGTGCACAAAAAATTAGCTGCATATACGAGGTGTGTTCAGAAAATAACGGGAATTGTTAAATTTCGCCGATTCGGAGGGTCCGGTTGTCATACAATTTTTTTATTATGTTGGTATACATGCCCCCGAAGTACGATAAAAACTTTAGCTGTTTATATTGTTTACTTTGTCTGTGGCAGCCGCTAAGGTTAGACGTGTTTTATGAGCTCGGCGATTTTCGTTCGTTAAAAGAAATGGATCAAAGAATTTGTATCCAATTTTGCTTAAATAATTAATTAAATTCTGTGAAATGTTAAAAAAGGCCTATAGTGAGTCTGCTATAAGTAAAACAAGAGTTTACAAGTGGTATAAGAGTTTCCAAGATGGCCGTGAAGACGTTGAAGATGACGAATGCCCCGAACGCACAAGCACATTAACAACCGATAAAAACATGGAAAAAGTGGAAGAAATGCTTATAAACCATCTGAGAAGTCGCTGATGATGTTGGTATATCGATTGGCTCATCCCATGAAATTTTTTCGAATGTTTTGGGTATGAAACGCGTGGCAGCAAAATTTGTTCTAAAATTGTTAAATTTTAAACAAAATTTTTGGCCAAAAACAATACTGTAATGATGCCCCAGCCTCCATATTCGCCAGACATGCCTCTGTCTGACTTTTTCCTATTCCCAAAAATAAAGAGAACCTTAAAGGGCCGTCGTTTTGCAAGCATAGATGACATTAAAAGCGCATCGCTGAAAGAACTAAAGGCTATCCCAAAGATCGAGTTTTAGAAGTGTTTCGAGTATTGGAAGAGCTGACACATGTGCATAATATCCAATGGGGACTATTTTGAAGGCGACAACATTAATTTAGACGAATATATAAATATTTGTTTCAAAAAACGAAAATTCCCGATATTTTCTGAACACACCTCGTATGTATTTATTTACAATAAAAAAGTTATTGAATTATTTTCGCAATCGTTTCATCTAAAACGCATTTAAAAAATAAAAATCTTTAAAATTTTCTATAAAAATATAGTTAATTATACGTAATAACTATATTTAACACATTAAAAAAAGAAAAAATTAATATTTATTTGTAATAAAAAAGTAATTGATTTTTTTCCGCAAAACGCTGGTTTTTGACCATACTTTTGCGCCATCTATGATTCAAAGAGCCGAACAAGGAAAATTTTGAGCTCTAGATTTTTTTTCGCCCAACCAATAGGAAGCGAGATACAAGTTAAAAACGAAAGTATAACAATCGATGCACTATTAAAAGCCCAAACAATAAACACGCGATTATATTAATGATGGCAGATAGTACAACGGCCGACTCGATTTTTGACCTAAATGATGCGATGCGTGCTTGTTTATTTTTGGAGGGTGGCACGCCAACTCTGCGAATAATTTACGGAATCTAAAAACAATCGCGATGATGTCAGTTTTTTTGTAACACGCGTGCACGTGTTAATTTTACTGCTACGGAAATAGCTATGCGCAAATAATTCACAAATTAATAAAACAGTGACACTATTTTTTCAATGTATATAAAAAAGATTTTCTTATAAGGGTTAAATGTTAATTTTAATGTTTACCCTTTTATTTGGACGAGGTATATTTTTGCACACACAAATCACAGACATTTTTAACAAAATAACGGTATATCTGACTTATGTACGAATAGATACATTTTAAACAAGATAAAAGTAATAAATATTACATTTGAAAATTACTATTCAGACTGATTGACCAAAAATGAATAAATTATAATAACAATCAATTTTCAAAATGTTTTTTTAAATACAAATGATAATTTTTATTGTTATTTACATCAACAAATAAAAATATTATGTTACATGTTATAGAAACGATGATTTCAGGAACAATAATAATGTTTTTTTATGAAAAAATATAATATTTTTTGATTTAACAATTTTTTCGTACGACCAATAGGATTTGGTTAAAATAATATTTTTATGTATGTTTGTACCACATTTTTATTTTGAATCCTTGACCTATAATTTAATTATAGCCAAGAGATGACATAATTTTGAATTTCGGACATTTTTAATCTTAAAATAAAATAAACAAACTATTTTTATAACTTATCTCATAATAATAAAAAAAGAACGACAAATTGTTAATTTTGCGTTTTTATTAACTGTTATTATGTCATTTTTGTAATAAAGGTAAATTCAAACAAAATCTGGCAACCTATGACAGAATCTAGTGCATTTCTTTCAAATTTTAGGTTATGTGCTCAAATAGTAAATATCCTAACTAAGGGAAGTGCTTTTGGATTTATTTACACAAATTGAATGTTTAAATAACTTTTGTATTTATTGAGTTTTTATTTATTTTTTGCAAAAAAAATGTTTAGTAACAATTTTTACATAACACCATGTATAGTATTGATTTGTAAAATTGATATTTTGATCAAAATATCAAAAAAACAGAACACATTTATTTTATCATCTCTAACGCAAACACCCTGTATAACATTTTGCCCGCAAGCTGATATTTCGTAGTTAAAATTTATTGGTTGTTTGCCCTCAAAATTAATTTTGGATAATATTAAAAATGATGTAATTAAATAACCTTAAGGTTCCGAAATATTTTATACACACAGTAATATTGACGTAGATGACATCATCGTCTATTTATAGAATGTTACAAATAGGTTTTTAGGAGAAATTATTTCCACTATTTTCACGATGTCTTGTTTGTTCTATTGAACAATTAAATACCCAATTAGATTAGATTAGATTGCCAAAAATAATAAAAATGATGTTATTATTTATAAATAACTATAGTTGCGAGTGTAATAAAAAAAATGGTAAAATAAAAACGTCTTCGTATGGTTGGAAATTATGTTAATTGGTTACGCAATATAGATATACCGGTTACCTTGTTTAAGTGGGTACATAAATCTTGACATTACAAAAGCATGGTCTTTTGAAACAAATTTTACAGTGTATACATACTAATTAAAAAAATAAGGTTCTTGTAATCTTTGTTTGCTTTTTTAAGGTATGGATGAATGAAATTACGTCACTTGAAGATATCCTACATTATAGTAAACGTTTATTTTAAGTTTGTAGTTAAATTCTCCTACGCGTTTTGTTTGAAATTCCTTGAATACAGGTTTTATTTGGAATTGACAAGGTCAAACCCCATATCTGGGTCAAAATTACAATATTACACGTTAAAGTCGTAACTTAATTAAATGGGATAGATAAAACTTATTATTCCAACTTCCCTTCTAAAGTTTTGTTTATTTTATAGTAAATTGCACGTGTAGTTGCCTAATAACGCTAATTTTCTGCATACTAGTCTTAGCAAGCCTAGAAATCTAACCTAACTTCGTTATTTTGACAGTTTTGATTGGCGTATAACGCTGATAACTGTAAACAAGCCTACCTGATCTTTGAAGGAGAGCTCTTCCCTCAAACTTTGGTTTGCGTTTTCAATTTCGACGCGTGCCAAACTCTCTTCTTCCAGATGTTTGCGGTGCTCGTCCAGAAGCTTCCGCAGCTTGTCGCGCTCCTTCTCCAAGTTTCGGGCATCGTTGATGGCCTTCTTCGCATCCTGGTTGGCCTGGGTGTACTTCAGCTGCATCTCGTTGGCTTTGGTTTCGTTGATACGTGCAGAGTTGTCAGCGATCATCAGATCTTTGCTTTTACGCGCCAAATCGTCCCTTAACTCGTCGTTTTCTTCCAGCAGACGTTTCACGTCGATTTCCAGGCGAGCTTTTTCCCTGTGCGTCTCGTCCAGAAGCTTCCGGGCGTCGCTGAGTTCCACATCGTACATGGATTTGATGTTGGTGATCTCCCGCGTAGTGCATTCCTGCGAAGTTTGCACTTCCCTGGTCAAACGCGAGTTTTCCTGCTCCAAATACCGCACTTTATCTATGTAGCTGGCCAAACGATCGTTGAGGTTCTGCAAGTCGTGTTTTTCCTGCAGACGGGAGTGTCTTGTTGGGCTGAGAGGGCTCGCCGGGCGCTGCGGCATCTGCGAAGCCGGCGTCGAGGTTTTTTTCGATTTCGAAGACATCTTCTAACACTACAAAGTACTCTAAACACAACACTAACGCCGCACTGTCTCGCTATGCTGCTAAAGCGGTCGAAAACTAACCGTGCGGGCGACTATTTTCGGCGATGATGAACAAACGTTAGAGGGGAGCGCCCGTTTTAACGGTTTTCACATAAAAACTCGAATAGGTGGGGCGTGTGACGCTTTCGCAGGCATCTGTAATCGAACTGAGGCGCGCGCGCCACCTACCGGCACTAAAACTCAGTGTTGCCAACATAAAGTACCAAATTCGACTTTTAAAATGTACGAAATGTCCCTATCAATAATAATTTCTATGTTTAAATGCAATAAACACAGCAGCAACTTTATTGAAAATGGGCAAAATATTGAAAATGTATCAAAATTTAAAAAATTCATGAATATGTACCAAAATAGTCTGGCAACACTTTTAGTAAAACTAACAGAAAATGAAAAGTGTGCACCAAGATTGTACACTATAGCAATCAAAAATTTGAAATGGTCAAAAAAAGAAAATCAACGCTTAAATGCTTATATAGTTACGTTAGCGTGTGTATTTTATTTAAGGAATCATGGTGAATTATTGTGTTTTTAATTGTAAATAAAATTCAAGAACTAAATCGTTGCATTTTCATGTTTTGCCAAAGGATCCAATTCGGTTAGTACATTTGTTGGTGCAGAATTAACTAATGATAACTTTACCTAATATAATTTATATTTAAGTTTGGACATTTTTTAGAAATTGATAAAAATATTTTTTCCACGAACATAACCTTAAAATCAACCAATTTTATATTTGACCCTCTAAAAAACGCCGACAACTGCATTTTAAACAACAAAATATACCTACGAGTTCATGGCATATTATATATAATCAGTGATGTAACCGATACATTTTTTTCAGTATCTAGGTACCGATACAGATACTCTCTGGTAGATGTATCTGGGTACAGATACCGATACATTTTCCCAAAAGTATCTGGGTACAGATACAGATACATTCAAAAAGGATCTAAGTTACTTCCAGATACTATGTTAAAAAAACTTAAAAATTAAATGAAAAAAAAATTTTTTAGACCTTATAAACAAGCGTGTTAACTATAAAATAAAACTGTTTTGATAAAATTGACGAAATATCCATGAAAAACGGAAATAAATTTTATATTTACGCGCCATATGAAAGCTTACTACAAAATTTGTAGTACAAATTCAAAATTATCAGAACGAAGAAAAATGCCTTCAAAGCCAACTATAGGTAACCTACAGCGCTTTTGTTTAACTTTACTCACTAGTGCCTAAGAGTTACTTTATGCACTTCGCACTCCAAAGTGGGTTGAAGGGAAAAAGAAATAAAATATCTTTTTATTATTTGTATTGTTCATTTTCCGTATGGCCCACACGGTGTGGAGTTGGGTAAAATAAAATGTATCTTGTATCTAAGGATCTAGATACTTTCAAAAGGATCTAGATAGGTACTAAAGTAGATCCTGATTTTTTTAAGTATCTCGATACGTATCTAGGTACATAAAATGTATCTAGATCCAGTATCTAGATACATGTATCTCGATACATTACATCACTGTATATAATACATAATATAATGGTATTTTACCGTTGAGTGGAGACTTTAAAGAATTCTTAATCAACGCTTAATAATGCTAAATGCTGTTTAAATTTAGACGACTTATTTGTTTGACGATTATTACTGAATTGAAATGTTTACACTTTTCACGTTAATCATTACTAAAATGTATATTTATTGTATCTAATAGATACAATTTATATTTACAGGGAACGTATGAAATGTATTTTTTCATTTTTCACATTTAGTATTATTTTACAACTTATTTTAACGATTGTATGACATTTGACAATTGTCAACTTTAAAAGGTCATAGAAAGGTGAAAATAAAAAAATGTATTATTTGTAAATTTTTTTTGAAATTAATTTGTGCACACTTTCCATTTTTGCGCACACCAACTGCCAAGCAGTACCAACTTAAAAAGTGAACTTCCCAACGTCAAAATGGCGTGTTGTTGACATGCCAGGTTGTCACCCAAAATTCAAGCACAAATTTAAAACGAAAAAGCCACAAGTCGAACGAAACTGATACGATGATGAATTGATTTGGAGCCGTGTCGATGAAAAAATAAAGGCAAACTCTACTAGTCGTTTGCGTGAAGTAAATTAGCGACAAAACATAAAAATATGGGGAGAATGAGATGGTTCACCAGAACCTCGAAAATAGTTGCGTTATGCAGTGCAGCGAATTTTATCAACAGTGCGGACAGGCTGATAATGCCCATAGCTATCGTGCCCATGGCTGATATATTTAACTGGAGTTTGCACGATCAGGGATGGATACATTCGGCTTTTGCTGTTGGATACTTTACTAGTCAAATTATAGGTTAGACTTTTAGCAAAGTATTTTTTTCCAATTTGACATTTCATATGACAACTGTCAAGCGTTTTTAACCTCACTTTTTACCAATCTGACATCTGTCAAATTTATATAATAAAAAAATCATTTAATTAAAAAAAAAAATTCTTGTTTTTTCTCTTTTTAGGTAGTTTCTGGGCCACAAAACTGGGAGTAAAAAATGTTTTAATATGTAGTGTGTTTCTATGGAGCATAGCCACTTTTATTACACCCCTATTGGCTCACAGTATCAACCTACTTATATCTTGTAGGATAATTCTTGGATTTGCTGAAGGATTAGGTAAAAAAATATATATAATGTGTATTTATTTGTAACAATCACAAAAGAATATAAAAAAGTCGTAAATCTCTAAAAACATTTTTAAGCATTTGTATTTCAAATTCTGTGCTGCCAACTTAAGAAAGACAAAAATATGACAGTTTTAAACTTTTATTTTGCCATTAAAACAACAATATTGTTACTTATTTGCTTTTTATGTGATTTTTTGTTTTAAATGATAATTTAATTTGTATTAAAGTATTAATTTGTCAATTAAAATACAACGTTTAATTTTTATCACATTGGCACCGCTGATTTTGATGTAACGGCCTACTGTTTTAATTTGTCAATTTAAAATGATTTTATAACGCATGGAGCCTACACAAGGAGCCCGAACTTCATGTAAACAAGAATCTTCCTAAGATAAGAGGGCGCTGGTGTACTACCGGTCCAAAACAGTAGAGGGGTATAACCAGAGATGGCGCCACTACCTACCACTTATTATTGCGCAAATAATTGAGGTTATGCAACTGTCAGTTTATCACTTTCTGAAAACAATGTACCCATGTACCTGGTTCACTTCACAGATTATAAAGAATCACTTATATTTCACAACCAAAACCTTTTCATTAGCATCTACCTACCAGGTACAGCCATAAATAACAAAACGATTCGTACGTCAAAACATTATTGCAAATCAATTGTCATTGATTTGTCAAAACTTACTTGCTTACTTCACATGTATTTTCGATACTATTTTCACGTCATTCGGACGCATTAACAAGCAGCGCCGCTGGTGGTGAAAAAAAAAGACTTAAATTGTACAATTTAGTGGACAGGTTTTGTCAATTTTCCCTATTAAGTTCGGGCTCCTTGTGTAGGCTCCATGTTATAACGAATAAAAAGGTTTAAACTGTCAACGAAATAGGTTATGTTCGTATTTTAATTTTTGCGCATACTTCATTTGTAAGTCTTGACACACAGACAACCACTTTGGTAATAAAAATGAATGTTTAACAGGACCAACTATGGTACAAGAAAACAAGGTATGTTTTTTAGTAGGTCAAATTTTGGTTTACTTTGATATTTTAAATTTAATTATTCTCTTATGAAATTCATCAAAATTTCTATAGTTATTCGATTTTTATATTAAATTGTCGAATAATTTAAAGATCCAAGTTACAATATTAACACTTCATAAAATATTATTAATGAAAAAAAACTATTTTATCTAGGTATTTTGCGTTCATAATGACTTCATTATAACACTGCTTTCAGTGCTGTAATGGGATACTTTATCTACCCAAAATTTTTATTTTATAGGTTGGCTATACTTTAAACAGCATATTGGTTATAATATTTTTATGATTTTTTTAGTATTTTCTGGCAATAAATTTTGTGTACAGGTTTTTTCTTTTGGCATTGTTTATATAGATTATTACTAGGCAGGTTGACATTTTTACACTTGGAAAACTTCCCTTGTTTTTTTGTTCAATGGTACCAACTAAAACCGTATTTTTTGCAGGTTTGCCAACGATATTTCAACTATTCGCACACAGCATCCCGGTAGAGGAACGGAGTAGAGCGTTTTCGTATCTTATCGCGAGTGGTTCGGTTGGCCAGACTGTCGCGTCGGTTCTCTGCCCGCATTTAAGTTGGCAATCGTGTTTCTACTGGTTCGGGTCGTTCGGGTTCGCGTGGGTGTTCATGTGGTTTCTGTTTTACCCCAAGGACGCTTACAACGGGGAAGATGTAATTCCTTTGCACGCGCCTAAGGTTAGCCAGAAGATCCGCTGGCCGGATTTCGTGCTTTGTAAGGCGTTGTGGGCGATTTATGTGGCGCACTTTGCTATGAATTGGTCCTCGTATATTATAATGCAGTGGTTGCCTACGTATCTCGCGAAGTATTTGGGCGGGAATGCGCACAGCTTGAGTTTGACGGCGTTGCCATATATCGTCAATTCTGTGTTTGGGGTTATTAGCGGGCACGTTGCAGACGGTTTATTGCTGCGCAAGAACTGGTCAGTGTTAAACGTGCGAAGGTTGATGACGTGTGTTGGTCTTATAGGGCCCGCTTTGTTTCTCGCTATATTCTGCGTTGTGGACCATTTGTGGTTCGCGCTAATACTCGTCAGCATTTCCATGGGACTATTCGCGAGTAATTCTGCCGGGCATTTGAGTAATCACGTGGATATAGCCCCTAATCACGCCGGTACTACGTTCGCGATTAGCAACACGATTGCCACCATATCCGGTATACTTTGTGGACCTGTTACCGCCAGTTTGGTTCACTACTCAGACGGCAAATGGATGACGGTCTTTCTAGGTGCTACAGCCATCAACTTGACGGGTGCTTTTATATATTTTACGAATAGTGTCGCTACGCAGGTGCTGTAATCCACTATGTACCATTTATAGATATGTATATTTTGTAGACTAAGAAATATAAAGACTAATTTATTTATAAACAAGTTTATTATTTTATATTATTAATCAGTTTACCAATCTGACATCTGTCAGGCAGGTCTAACCTCAAGGAATTCAAGTATACGCTAAAGAACAACCTTAAAATCAACCATTTTTATAATTGAGTTCTCTAAAAAACGCCGACAACTACATTTTAAACAACAAAATACAACTACAAATTTATGGCAACATAATATTATATATAGTACATAATATAATGGTATTTTAGCGTTGAGTGGAGACTTTCTTAATCAACGCTTTTAATAATGCTAAATGCTGTTTAAATTTAGACGATTTTTACTGAATTGAAATGTTTACACTTTTCACGTTAATCCTTACTAAAATCTGTATTTATTGTATTAAATAGAAACAATTCTGCCGTGCTTAATGAAAACGCCGTAACCAACAATTTTGCGATTTTTGGTTTACGGCATTTTCTACTAGAACAATTCATCCTGCGTCTATCCCCGGTACTCAAAAAACCGTATCTATATCTATAGCTTATATAATTATGAACCATTGAGGCACAAAAGAAATTAGGTAAATAATGACATTTTTCATTGCTAAATGTCATTTTGATTTAAATGGTTATGTTTGTTGTTATAGATGACATTTTGCCATATCTCTGCATTTTGCATTGTTTATTTTGTTATTTTTATGGTTATGTTTTTTGTTAACAATAGCCAGGACCGGCTCAAAATTTAATTAAACTTGGAAGGCCTACAACTCTCTTATTTTTGAGTTTTGATAAAAAAGTTACTTAAAATATTTATTTGTTTATCTGATTTCTACACGCTGTTAAAAGAAACGCGTCAACTTAAAACTCACCCTGTATTTTTAATGGAAATGGAAAAAACAATTGTCATTTTAAAATTCGCGCTGCCAATTTGAGAAGCACAAAAATGTGGCAGTTTTAAACCTTAATTTTGCCATTATAACAACAAACTAACAATTACTATTGTTATTTGTTTACTGTTTAAGTTGATTTTAGTTTTTAATATTACTTTAATTTGTAGTACTTAATTAAAATATAAGGTTTTATTTTCACTACATTGGCACCGCTGAATTTGTCACGGCCTACTGTTATTTATTTATTTATTAAACTCTTTAAATCAAAAAACGTTTAACTATCTTGAAGACTATTTTCCCACTGAAATTTAAAAAAATGTCGATACAAATTATAAAGCACGGCAACCTGGTTATTTATCGATCCGGCAACGCAGCGTTCAACTGTCAAACGTGGTTGTCAGTGTTTGTTGACGTACAAAATGAATAAAAAGCGATATTTTAGTTTTATTTGAAACCCTCCGCGCCCGAAACGCTTAAAACCTTTACGAACCGAAGGTAAGGCATGGAATTGGCGTGAAATCGTTGGATGCTAACCGCGTAAATTGCAGAATGGACTTGCAGTTCCATCAGTTGCTAATTCGGCCCGATTCCATCGAAATACAGCCTTTGAATCTCGTTGACATAGTGGCAGAGACGTATGAAGAAGAGGAGAGCGTGCCTAAGAAGAGAACACGGAATGAGAGCGAATGGGTGAGGGTTAAAAGGAAAATAGCGCGACAAGCAGGGCAGGAATACGTAAACTCGCGAAATGTGCTAGTCAAGGCAAAGAAGTTTAAGTACAAGATATGCGAGAAGTGCCCTTTCAAGTGCACCACTAAAATAACGTACGAGGCGGCCAAATCGATACACGACGAGTTCTGGAAGTTAAATGATAACCTCAAAAGCAGGTTCTACGAGAAGACTACGTTTAAGGAGTTTAAAAAAAGGGAAAGGAAGAGGGTTCCCAGCAATGAATCGCGACGTACTTACAGCTTTCTGTACTACTTTCACGTGGGGAAGGAGAAGATACGCGTGTGTCGGGATTTCTACGTAAAAACGTTGAATATAAGCGCTTGTAGAGTCGCGAGGTTTCACGAGAAGGTTTTTGAAGGCGTGGCGTTGCCGCATATGGACGGTAGAGGGCGCAGCACAAAGAATAAAATCCCCAACGAGACTCGACAGAGAGTTCGCGACCACATTAACTCCTTCCCCTACGAGCAACTATTAGAGTGCAAAAATTTAGTTAAAACCCCTACAGCATTGAACGTAGTCAAAATGTACGAAATGTACTCGCAGCAGTGCAAAAATAACGGCATAGAACCGTCAAAGTTGTGGTTGTACCGGAAAATTTTCCAGGACGAGATGTACTACAAAGAAAATCCCGACGCCGTTATACCGCAAGATTTCTGCCACTACGTCGAGGAGGAAGAAGAAGAAGAACCGGACGTCCTACCGGAAATGCTCAACGTGGAAATTAAAGAGGAACCCAAAGTCATAGAAACCAAGCAGTTCGAGTACAAAAAGTGCCCCGACAAGTGCCCCCACCAGTGCTCGCAAAAAATCGACTACGACGCCGCCAAGAAAATCTACGGCGACTTTTGGAAGCTCAGCAGCTACGACAAGAACAGCTTCTACAACACCACCACAACAAGGAAAACCAAAGATAGAAAATCAAAAACGGGAAGAACGAAATTTTTATTCGAGTTCTACTTTAACCTCGACGGCGAAAAATTACGCGTCTGCAGGGATTTTTATCTGGCAACGCTGTGCATAAGTCTGGCCAGGATCGTCTATTTTTACAAGATCAAGCTGGCCAGAGTTAAAACAAAAAATATAGTCAACTATTTACCTACCGAGTGCAAAGATGTTTAGGTTGTTTGCCTCTATTCATGTGATTTTTGTTATATTTTAGTTATTTATTTATTTTATTGGTAGCCGCTTTAGTCATTGTTTTTATTATTAAATAAACTTTAAAACCTAAAAATGTGTTTAAATAATAAACTCGCTCTTGATTATTAATATTATTATCAAATTAATTACCTGCAGTATTGTTGTTAAAATTTGCATTGGATAAAAATCTCATTAGATAAAATTTCCACTGGATAAAATTTCCATTGTCTAAAAATCGCATTAGATAAAATGTCCATTAAATAAAATTTTCATTGGATAAAATTCGCATTAGCTAAAAAATTCCATTAGATAAAATTCTTGTTGGTTAAAATTTCCACTGGATAAAATTTCCATTAGCTAAAATTCTCATTAGATAAAAATTTCCACTGGATAAAATTCTCATTTGCTAAAATTTGCTTTGGAACTTTTTAGTAATAAAACAATAATTAGTTGAAAAATTATTTATTACTCTTTGAAATTTTATTTACAGTTAGGAAATATATCGATATATTACAATAACTTAAAATCTACTTTGATAAATTAAACTAAGAGTGAAAAGGCTTAAAAACAATATTTGAAAAATAATCAAAAATATGCTTGCGATCACATAATAAAACGAAATCTGACACAATTTCGTGCCCGATTTTGATAAATTTATATATGCACTATACAGGGTGTCCTAAAATTTGGGTGAAATCACAAGACAGTTTTTCTTTTACAATTTTCGCGAATTCGACGAAAATAGTAAAGGAAAGTTTGTCTTGCATTTCAAGAGTAACAATTTTGGGACATCCTGTATTAAAAAAAAGTATGTCAGTCATATTTGTACTTAAGTTAAATAAATACAAATTAAATTACAACCGTCACGATTAGTTTAAACCACTACTCATGACATAGAGAAAAACTATACGCTAATTGTGAGTTAAAAATAATAATAATAATATATAGTACTGTCAATGTTCTAGAAGTGTTGCATTTACAAAAAATACTTCCAACAAATAAAATGCAAAACTTGCGGAACATTTAAAATCACTTTTTTGGTTTTTACAAGGTAATGTTGCTGCATACTCTAATATTTACACGTACACAAACCTGGCGCGAAAAAAAATTAATTAGTCATAAAATTAAAAAAAAACAACAAAAACTCACCAAAATTAATCGGTGTAGACGATATATTCTGGATCGCCAACTTCCACTTGCAAAAAGTGCGGTTGCATTATTTGAACATTGTTAGTTTGCCTGGCGATGTTGTTTCTCGATCTAAAAAAAATAACAAAACGCGAAAATTTATGGTATTGAAACTATCGTTCATTTCGATTTCTTACTTTGCTTTAGCGTGTGTCAAAATGTGACTTTTCAGGTTTGTCGATTGCGCAAACTTTTTGTTGCAGCCGTCGAAGGGGCACACGTAGGGCCTGTCGCCAGTGTGAATTCTTACGTGGGTTCTACGAAAAAAAATTACTGTAGACCTCAAGATTGTTTTTTTGTTGTGGGTAGAAATGGAGATTTAATCAACAATACAAATTGTTGATTTGGCGTTCTGGCAACTTTTATGACAGAATCTAGTACACTTCTTTCAAATTTTAGGTTATATGCTCAAATTGTAAATATCCAAGGGAAGTGATTTTGGTTTTATTTACACAAATTGAATGTTTAAAGTTTAACCTATGAACTTGTCCTAATTCCATCTGAGTAAACTGAAAGTTGAAAAAATTAATTTTGTGGTCATGGAGTTTTTAAAATAGGTACTAAATTTTCAAATCATTGCTTAAGCTAATAGCTGGATGAGTAAATAAATACAGAAGGGTGTTAGAGCTTTAAGGGCATAAAACTTTTGTATTTATTGAGTTTTTATTTATTTTTTGCAAGAAAAATTTTTAGTAACAATTTTTTACAACTGGCAACCAAAAATTGAATATTTTAAAGAAAGAAAATTTTCGAATTTTTTTTTAAACCAGAAATTTGTAATTTTAAAATTATTCAAAATTATGAGAATTTTGTTATTTTTAAAAATTTGAAAATTTTTGAATGCAAATTTAGGAAAATTAGGAGATTTTGGTGAAAATGGAATTTTAACAATTGATTTAAAAAAAAAAAATTTAGGAAGAATATTGGAAATTATTAAAAATTAAAAGAAATTTGTAATTTTAAACTTTTTGATGATTTTGGAAAATTTGGAGATTTTGAAAGATTTGAAAATGGTACAAAATACTGGAAAACTTAATTTTTTTTTAATTTTGTAAATTTAAAAATTTAAAAATTTTGTATGAAAATTTTAAAAAATCATAAAATTGTGGAAATTTTGAAAAATTAAAGAATTTTGTAAAATTGTAATTTAAACAAAATTTAGAAAACTTAGAGATTTTCAAGTCGAAAATTGAAAAAATTTTACAAAATTCTTGTAATATTTAAATGTAAAATTCCAACGTTCTGAGAATTTTTTAAAATTTCAGCATTTCTACTGAAATTTAACGTCAAACAAATTTCCCAGTTTCTGTGAATTTTTGCAAAATTATAAAAAAATTGATCCAAAATTTTTAAACATTTTGAAACTTTTAAATGTATCCCAAGATTTTAAAACAGAGGTTCTGGGAATTTTTGGAAACTTGGCAACACCCCAAAAACAAAAAATCCCAAGAAACAGAAAAAAATAATTATTAAAAAAAATCATTTTAAATTTTTTTTTAAATCAAAAAACATTGATTTGGAAATTGTAAATCCGACAACATCGCATCGAGCCATAACGAAAAATCGTACAAATGAGGTTAGCTATCTGTCACTTTCAGTTGAATAGAGGTTAAGTGGCTGTCACTTTCAGTAGAATTGAGGTTAGATATTTCTCACTGATAACCATGTATAATAAAAACCTAAACTGTTCAACACTTACCTTAGATTAAAATCGAGACTAAACCGTTTTCCGCACCCCTCGAAAGTGCATTGGAAAGGCTTTTCACCCGTGTGCACCAACTGGTGGCGTTTCAACTTGCTTGATTCCACAAAGGCTTTGCCGCATTCCGCGCAAACATGAACTCTGGGCCCATGCGTGTGCAAATGCTTTCTCATCGCCGAATTATCCCTGAACATTTTGTTGCATCCTTTGTGTGGGCAAGCTACAAAATACAAAAAAATATTGCACAGTGCATCTATAAATTAATTAGGTTATACTCACCAATAGTGCGATCGGTGTTATCTTGGTTCGGCCTTCTAACCCGGGGGCTTTTCAGCCCCGGTCTGGCAAACTCAGCCAACTGCTTGGGGTCCGACAGGTCCAACCCTGGTATTCCGTCCGTCGGTATCTTTTTGCCCGTCATGTATTCCGTGTAATCCGGGTCTGGTTCCGGATTCGATCCTTCATCTAACCCAATAAATATCAAATATTAAACCTCAAGTTAAATAAATACCTAGCTCTATGTACAGAATGTACTCTATCGTGTCGTCCTCCAAAAAGAGGGACTTAATGTAGTTGTAAACATCTTCCTCAACAAAGAAAGACATGTTTACTTATTTTATATTTTAAATTGTTGTTTGAATTTGACGTTTGGTGGTGCGACATCTATGAGTGATAACGTTAAGGTTGTAGTTGCGGTGTTTAGCGGTAGATGGCGTAAGTAACGTCGCTTTATTTTGCAAAAAAACGCCTCAAGATAGCTTTGGACAAAAAAACTTTACGTAGGATATTATTAGATGCTTTTTGTAGACAATTTGGGGGGATATTGATGAGATACGGTTAAATTTTGTTGTTTATTGCGGCCATGATGGTCGTCCATTGCGAATAACTCAGCCATTTAATAAATATGGCAGAAAGTGGTGATGGCGGCTGTTAATGAAAACAAACCGCGGTTTTTGGTTGATTTAGAGCGAAATAAGTTGGAATTAATTGGTTTTGGGGGTGAAAATCGAGTGACCTGTGTGACCTTGATTGATTTCTGTGTTTCTGTTTTCGTGGACTTACCGTCGCTGGCTCCGGAAGCCCACATCGTGACCGAGAACTCGCCTTCCATCGTCTTGATCTGCACTTGCTTTTGTTCCCACTTCCTGGGCTTAGTTTCCATGTGCATGTCGCTGAGCAGGAGCTCGTTGTCTCTTCGCGAGAGTATGCCGCGGTTTTTGGCCGATTTCTTGCGCTTAGTCGAAGGTCCGGGGGAAGATTCGACGTACAAATCCGAAGAGTCGGGGACGGGGACCTCGTACAGACTTAAGGGGTCGCCGGAGTCGTCTATGATCTCCTCCTGCGCCTCCAGGATGATGTCGCGGCCCTCTAGACCTTGCATGCCGCATTCCACGATCGTTTCAGACATTTCCACCGGAATCGCCTCGATTTCCACGCATTCCTGGATGTCCTGCTGAATCTCGACTTCGCACATGATATTTTGGTGGTCGGCCATGACTGATTTTTTTGTTTATAAAAGATGGTCGACAAATATGGCCACTGACGAACACAACAACAATGGCGACCGTTTCGCCAGCACAAACGAAACTCTTTTGAGAGATGAAACGCGCAACTACCTCGCATTTTCCGCCTTTGTCTTACCTGTTGTTGCAACTGTTGACGTACGTCTCGCATTAGTTCACCTATACGGCCATCTTTTGACGTTTACGATAAACAAAAGAGGCGCGTTGTTTAAATATCCCAAGTATATATTTGTTTGTTTTTTACGTTCTTATTTGTTGTTTTGTTTTTACATTATGTATACTTTTGAAGGTATTTTTTACTTTGATTTCAGTTGTTTTTTTATGTCTTAAATTATGCGTCAATTATATTTGCAATTTATCTGACAAGTTGACCATCTAGCATCTGTCAAGCGAGTTTAACCTCACTTTTAGTGTATTAAATGGGAGAATGGTTAAAAAAACACCCATTTTTACAAATAAATTTGTAAAATTTTAAATATTCTGAAATTTTTTGTTATTTTGACATTTTCTCTGACAATTTATCAGCGACAACTGTCAATTTGTTTTAACCTCACTTACCAATGTATCATCTGTCAGACGAGTTTAACCTCACTTTTAGTGTATTAAATGTGGTAGTGGTAAAAAAAACACCGTTTTTTACAAATAGGTACATTTATTGAAAACAATATTCAAATTTTTCTGGTGTTAAAATTTTGAAAATTCTGAAACTATTCGTTATTTTGACATTTTATCTGACAGGTTGTCATTGACAACTGTCAATTTGTTTTAACCTCACTTTTTACCAATCTAGCCTCTGTTTAACCTCACTTTTAGTTTATTAAATGTGGTAGTAGTTAAATAAACAGCGTTTTTTACAAATACATTTATTGAAAACAATATTCAAATTTTTCTGGCGTTGAAATTTTGAAAATTCTGAAAATTTCGTTATTTTGACATTTAATCTGACAGTGCCAACTGTCAAGCCGTTTTAACCTCACTATTTACCAATATAGCATGTCAGACGAGTTTAACCTCACTTTTGGTGTATTAAATCATTTAATTTAAATGTGAGAGTAGTTAAAAAACAGTGTTTTTTTAGAAATTATGGATTAAAATTTTGAAAAATCTGAAAATTTTCGTTATTTTGTCATTTTTTCTGACAAATTGTTGGCGACAACTGTCAAGCCGTTTAAACCTCACTTTTTACAAATATAGCCTCTATCAGACGAGTTTAACCTTACTTTTACTGTATTTAATGTGGAAGTAGTTAAAAAACAGCGTTTTTTAGAAATACGTTCATTATAACAATGAAATGAAATAAAAAAAATTTGGTAAAATTTTAAATTTCTGTATATTTTCTAAAATTTTATTTAAATTTAATGCCACAGCTGTTTTAACCTCACTTTTTACCAATCTGACATCTGTCAAACGATTTTAACCTCACTTGAATGTGCGAGAAGATAAAATTAATAAAAAACATTTTTTTTACAAATACATTTATTGAAAACAATTTTAATACAATATAAACATTTTTCTGGATGTTCGCTCTAAAATAAATAAATAAAAATAATTCGTAAATATTTATTAGTCTTACGTCAATTTTATAGTTGGCACCTTTAAAACCAAAACAAATCAATATTTTTAAAAATACTGCACCTTCCATCATTAGGATAATTTTTATTACATAATAGGTACCTAAGTTAAATTTTCTTTTAAGTGTATCTTATCATTAATTGAATCATCACAATTGTTTTACCAGAAAAAATGCGGCAACAACGCAACTTTTCTTGCCTGAATTTGACATCTGACAAGTGGTTTTAAATTCCAACATTAAAACATTAAAAAACACTGTTAAAAATTAAAAAACCATGAAGATTATTTTCGACTAAAAATACTTTATTTAATTTTTTTAACTTAAAACTAAAACGCCTTATAGTTATCAAACTCAGGCAAAGCAGCAATAAGTAAAACTTCATCATTTTAGACCTGTAAAACAATAAAACAACCGTTAAAAAATGGGCATCACGATTAATGGTGATGACCTAGGCTGAGTAGGATGGGAGTTAGGCAACCCAGAACTAAGCACACTATCTCCGCTTTGCCTAGAGACGAGTGCGCATGCTTGATTGGCTCGCCGGGCTGCGGCAGCCTATCGTAGCCGCCCGAGTGTTGTGTAAGGTCGGCAACCACGTGAACAGTGGCCACGTAGAGGAAAGTGCCGGCAGAAAACAACATCGCAATGCCTGCAATGTTATTTAACATGTAAAAATGCAAATTGTTAATTTGGCGCTCACATTTTAAAAAATTACTAAAAAATACACGTACGTTTATAATATACACGTTTAAACAAAAAGATGTTTTTTACCATAAGTTTCAGACACTCTGTAGAGTGGCAAAACCGTATATTGTTCTAAATTAAGTTTTATTTATCAAATCACATCTATTCTTAACAGTTTTGTTTTTGGTTCACCTTGATATATTTATTTTTGTGGAAAATATGGATTTTTAAAAAAAAACATTGCAATTCCCAATATTTATCCTGTATGAAGAACTAAGGTTGCTATGGTCCTTCATACAGCAAAATATTGGAAATTGCAATGTTTTTTTTTTTAAATCCATATTTTCCACAAAAATAAATATATCAAGTTGAACCAAAAACAAAATTGTTAAGAATAGATGTGACTTGATAAATAAAACTTAATTTTGAACAATATACGGTTTTGCCACTCTACAGAGTGTCTTAAACTTATGGTAAAAAACATCTTTTTGTTTAAACCTGTATATTATAAACGTACGTCTATTTTTAGTAATTTTTTAAAATGTGAGCGATTGTCCATTAATTTATCTACAATATTCTTTAATATTCGTTTAAATCCGACATCAAATAAAAAAGTTATTTGCGATTGAAATTCATCGAAAATTTGAGTGGATCGATTATTTTGCCTGTGAGTGTATATACATATATAACTTACCAGTAGCATTTAAGGAACTAAGTGTCTCCTTGGTCCCTTGTCCAAGACCAAAATAGGTTACAACAGTCGTAACAGGGGCTGATAGGGAAAATATCATTAAATGTTTCCTAATCCTTTGCCTTAAAAAATAATAATAACAATAATTATACTACACGTTTCCTATTGGTGCGACAAAAAAAGTTTTAAAACAAAAAATGTTGACCTCGACTTTGAGACACACTGTATAGATCTATACAGGGTGTCTCAAAGTCAAGGACAGCAGAATGATGTGGGACAAAACAAACTTTTGTACAAATTTCATGGCTATGAACGTTAGTTAAAATAATTATTTTATTAATATTAATAATAATTAATTTTAACAATATTATTTAATTAGAGATATTTAAATGAATATGTAATTATCACAATCCAAACAACACACCCTGTTTAATCTTGTTTCGCGCATACTAAAAATCACTGCAACACTGCAAAGAATCTAACGGCGGCCATTTTTATGTCTATACAGATGAAAAATCGTTTTAAACGTTGTGTTTCTTACAGAGGCACTTGTAAGTCAAATGAGGCATTTAAGTGCTAAGAACAACCATTTTAAACCTTATTCTATCAAGGCTGTCATCAAACTAAATTTAAATTTGTGGGTTATGGCAAATTAACCTTAAAATTAAAATTTGACAGTTTAATGACAGTCCTGATTGAATATGGTTTATTTTTACCAAAAGAGGAGTAAAACGGTTGTTCTTAGCACTTTTAGGCCTACAAGCGCCTCTGTAAGAAACACAACGTTTAAAACGATTATTAATCTCTTTAAGTTAAAACTACTTAACCTAAAAACTAAAACACTGACAGTGACAATGTCAACCATATAATTAAGGTCATTTTACACTACGATTTTATATAGAATTTCCAATATTAAACTGCACATTATACTTCTTCCACCTCTAATCATTCTGCTAAAACCACAGACCAAAACAGGCTACTTTATTTTATTAATAACTAATTAATGGTGCGTCTGATCGAAAAACGGCAGACTATTCGACTTATATATTTAAAAAACCTAACCTAAGATTTTAAAAACGCCCTGTAACTCGGAAACGGTTAACCGAACGAAATTAAAGTTTGTACATTTTTTATAGATATTTTCGAGATCTACAACTTTTCTATTTAGCATTTTTAGTTTTGATCGATTTTAGAGGGTCAAAATTTAAAAAAGCTATTTTTGTCAACTTTGGCGCCATCTATCTCTTCAGGATGTGGTTACAGAGAGTTTCGACTGAAAACAAATGTGTTGCAAATTTCAAGGTCTACATTTTTTGTCTTAAGACTTTTTTTGTGCGATCAAGATGTTTCTTTAAAAATTGGCAACCGAGCAGGGAACAGAAAATTATATTTTTTTTATTGTTATTTTATTAGTAGCTGATAAATATGTATATGGTTGAACAAATAAAAACAATTTATTTTTCCTAGAAACCTATTTTTAAAAACTTAATTTATTTATTATTTTATAAACGTGTTCGGTTCCAGCGCTCGAGTAGACGGGTCGCGTGCGGGCGAGCTCTTGAAACGTAAAGGTTTAAAGATGAAACCAACAATAATTAAAAAAATAAAGTGAAACAAACATTTTCATGGAGTGCAAGCTGGAGTGGTGTAGTGGTGTAGCGGTCATTGATGAGTGGAGTGTTGGAGATATGAGTGACTTGGGTGCCACCTGTCATTGGAGGCTTTTCACTGGACGGACGGGGGAGGTCGGAGAAGAGGGGAGGTGGTCATCCGCAAGGGGAAAAATCTGATAAGTTTTACTTTAAGAGTATGCATGACCTGATACAAATCTGCAATATAAATACGGCAGATCCCGGCAAGCATTTTCCGTTGCTTGTCTCCATTAACATTGCCCGTATTCATTTCATTAAACATAACATTTATTTTACTTGAATGTTAAAATAACTTTAAAATATGATTATGTTAAGAACATATTTTACTCTTTAAACAATTGTTTTGTTTTTAATTACTATCATTCCAAAATTGTATTAAAAAGTGTTAAAAATTCTTACACGGGCAATGCTAATGGTGTTAGGCATCGTTAAAGTGTTTATTGGGATATCTTAAAACCTATGAAGGGCGCGCGGCGTGGGGCAATAAGTCTGTCAACGGCAAGTGCGTAAAGCGGTCCCAATCGAGACCGAAATAAACACTGGACTGACAGAGTAAACTAACATTGATCACATAATTCTAACACATTAAAAAAAAGGGCCTAATAGCCAAACTCGAGATTTGTAAACATTAGACGACAGAATGATCGCGCTTGTGATTTGTTGGACTAGTGAATAAATGCAATGCCTTGGAATTTGATAAACAAAGACGGAACTCTACCACAAAACGTGCTTGGGACAAAAATTATTAAAAACAACTGACACACTTTACCAAGGGCAGGAGCTATCTGACCAGGACACGGACAACGACAATAACGAACAAGACAAAGACCTCGACTACACCCCTGCAGCGAAATAACAACTCCCCAACTCCATATAGTAATCCCAAATGTTTGGAGTAAAACTAATCGACTGGTCTAGGGGGATTCCGCGTCGTACTTAGTTTTAAGTCGGCGTAATTGTCCCCCAAAAACCAACTCCCTCCCGTCCCTCATCCACACCCCACCGAGCGTATAGCATAGGCTCGGCGAACCCGGGAATGGCTATTATAACTATTCGCCTCTCGCTCTCGAGCCCCAAATAGGGGACAGTACGAAACGCAATGGACATTCGCACCCAGCAAACACGGGTGAAGCCGTGCAGTTGCTGGGGAAGAACAAAAATCGGCGCAAGTAAACATAGGCCTGTACGGGGTTCGCGAGTCAAGAGGAAATGGGGCTGGTTATACGTCTCTTATACTCATACTACTTATACTCATACTCATATAAACGTGTTTTTAACGATAAAAACATTATCTAAGATCATAAAAATTCACCTACCTGTCAATTTTCTCGTGAAGCAAAAACGTGACCAATCCAAAAGCAGCTGGTGCCTTGTGCAACATAATTGCCAGAAAAACTATTATTTCAACATCAGCATGACTGGTGGTTGCAGCTGCACCCAAAGCTACACCGTCTGCAGCTGCATGCACCACCAAGCCAATAGTAGCAGTAATATTTCTCTCATTGGGGCTCAAATTCTCATTCTTCGCCTGAGTAATCTAAAATAAAATTCTGCTGTGTTTAAATGAACAAAACGTAACCTGATTACTCACCTGATCAACCAAAAGCATAAAAACAAATCCCAAAACCAAACTTATTCCTATAACGGAATAAGGATCACTGTGTTCTGGAATGCTCGACTCATTATGAGCATGAGGCAAATTTTCTGTTATAAGAGACCTCACCCCTTCCGGTATTATCACAGCCAATGCAGTCCCCACCAATAAACCAGCCCCAAATACAGTAATTTTCTTTAATTTATCCTAAAAAAAAATATATTAAACAACAAAACAAAAGTACTGCACATCTCACCTCAGAAAAACTAAAAAACAGCGGTATAGAGCCTGCCAAAAACGATCCAATAAGCATTACAAGAACGAGCAATATTAAAATAAATGTTTCCTCCATCGTTAAATGCGTTTTTTATCTATGAAAACTGTTTATCTATTTGTGTCATTAGTTTTCTCCCCGTGTTAACTTTCATTTACTAAATGCATACGTATGGTGATTTAAAAACACGTATTTTACACCATATTTTACTGTTAAACGTCAATTATTTACATACGCGACAGTTATTTTTGCGCTGGAAGGTTGGCGATCTTGGCGAAAAAATACCTTTATTATTGTTATTGTTTATAAGTTATTATTATTTATTTTACTAAACCCTTCAAGAAAATCTCCATTATAGTGTTTTTGTTTATATAATTTATTTAATTTATTTGTTTAATTAAAAAAACACACAGCAGTGTTAGTGCGTTTTGGTTTGTGCCGTTGGTATCACCAACTTGGTGAAGTGTCAAAATAGACGCTGATAAAAAGTGTTTGTAAATAATGCATTTAAAATGAATTTGCACACTATTTTTCAAGATTTTAACCCCAGGTGAGTATTTTTATGCAGTTATCAATCAACCTTTAGTATTAAACGCTTCACACCCCCTCTTAACACACTTATATAACCTCACTTAACATTACAATACGATTTTATTTGCAGTAAATTTGTGGTGCATACTTGTTTGTTCATATTCACGGCCCTGTTCGCTTTAAGATTGGATAATCGCGTGACATGGTCGTATTGGACGGTATTTACCCCTATCTGGGTTTGGAAGGTGTTGGTTATAACAGGGGCAACAGTTGGCAGCTATGTTTGGTGGCGATATCCACACTTTAGGTAAATTTATTTTGATTCATATCCGTGTTAAAATTACATTTTTTTGTTTTAGATTGGAGGGGGAAGCGTATATTCACTATAAATCGATGCTCATATCTTTGGCGTTGCATCTTATTTTATTGATGTTTGAGTTGTTGGTTTGTGATAAGTTGGAGTCTTCTAGACACTTGTGGACGCTAGTTTTTATCCCGTTGATTTTTATTTCCATAGTTAGCATAGCCATTAGCATATGGGCGGTAAAACACGATAGAAGTTTCGAGCTTGAATTATTTTGTGCGGTTAATGTTCTGCAATTTATATTTTTGGCGTTGAGATTGGATGGGTTCATCACGTGGTCTTGGGAGGTGGTTTTCGTGCCGCTGTGGATAGTGATGTGTCTTTCGTTGGTAATAATTTTGCCACAGTTCGATTTTATTTATTTATTTATCTACGTTCTTTGTTTTTCCAAGGTTGGTGTTTTGTACACGATTATTTTTGCGGCCATTCTCTTCAGGACCCCCGAAGTGAACGCGCAGCAGAGGCGGAGCAGTTTTCAGTCGGCCGTGGGGTACACTTTTTTGGTTATCCCAATTCTGATTTTTCAAGTAAATACAAATATAGTTTAGGTCGTAATTTTTTAATAATTACTGTGTTTTCAGGTGTTGTTGGCCAATAAACTGGACGACGACATAAAGATGTCGTACATTGCGGTGGTCAGTCCGTTGTTCATATCATTTTTCACGCTTATTTTAATGTCTTTTAGTGCCAAAGGAGGTAACAAATGTAAGTGTTTTTGTAATAATATTCGCAGGGTGAATACGTCGTTATCTCGTTTCCTATTGGTCGGGCGAAAAAAGTGCGAAAACAAAAAATGTAGGGGTTTAAGTTTTCAACATTTTTCTTAGTAGGCAAAACTTTCTGTATTTACTTGCCAAGGAGATAGAGGGCGCCAAAGTTTACAAAAAATTTTTTTTTTGTTTTATTATTTTTAAAAATATAATAAAATTAAATTTTGAACATTTTAAAAAATTACAATTTTGTAATTTTAAGATTTAGAAAATTTTATTTTATAGAACTTGAAAATTTTAAATTTTTTGACGATTTTATTAAATTTGGAGATTTTAAAGAATTTGTTAAAGTGGATTTTTTTTAAAATTTAAAAATGGTACAAAATACTGGATTTTTTTTTAATTTTAGAAATTTTGTAAAATTTGGAAATTTTGTAGTTTGAAAATTAAAAAAAGTTATAAAATCTTGAATATTTTAAAAATTTGTAGATTGGAAGAATTTGGGAATTTTTATGAATTTGGATTTTGAAGAAAATTTAACAAAACACTGATTTTTTTTTTAAATATTAGAAACGGAAAATTTAAGAAATTTGAAAAAATCATGAATTTTTGAATGTTTTAAAAAAAGAAAATTTTGGAAATTTTAAAAACTACAAGAAATTTGTAACTTTAAAAACTGGACAATCCGAAAGAAATTTAAAAAAATTACAAGAATTTTTAAAAATTTTGATATTTTCAAAATTTGAATTTTTTGACGATTTTGGAAAATTTGGAGATTTTAAAGAATTTGAAAATGTTAAAAAATTTGAAAAAATCATAAATTTTTGAATATTTTAAAAAAAGATAATTTTGGAAATTTTAAAAATTATAAGAAATTTGTAATTTTTAAATATTTAAAAATTGGACAATCCAAAAGAAAATTTAAAAAAATTACAAGAATTTTGTAATTTTAAAATTTTTAGAAGTTTTAAATTTTCAAAATTTGAATTTTTTGACGATTTTGTAACATTTGGAGATTTTCAAGAATTTTAAAATGTTGAAAATTTTGCAAGAAAATTTTAAAAAATCATAAAATTTTGAATATTCTTGTAAAATTTTTTTGTAAATTTAAAAAAGTTAAGGAATTTTGTAAAAATTTAATAAATTTTGTGAATTTGGCAACATAGCAAAAAACAAAAACTCAGATTCTGAGAATTTCTTTTGAAATTTGACAACCTCGAAAAAATTCCCAGTTTCAGTGTATTTTAAAAAATTTGATTTAAATTTTTGTAAACTTGGCAACATCCCAAAAACAAAAAATCCCAAGCAACATAAAAAACACGGTTTAAATTTTTTTAAATAAAAAAATATTGATTTAAATTGTGAATTTTAGTATTTTGGTGAATCGATATTGAAATAAATGGTAAATCCGACAACATTTCATCGAGCGATAACGAAAATATCGTAGAATTGAGGTTAGGTATCTGTCACTTTCAGTTGAATAGTGGCTAATTTGTGGGTTATGGTAAATTAACCTTAAAATTGACATTTGACAGCTCTGTAAGAAACACAACGTTTAATCTGTATAACAAAAATGTTGAAAATTTAAAGTTACACATTTTTCGCCTTAAAACTTTTTCTGTACGACCAATAGAAAACGAGATATTTATTACCCTGACTCAAACTTTCTTCTTTTTTGTGCTATCAAGCACGATACACAAAAAACGGTATGTGACGTAACATGAGTTTTATACGCTAAAGAAGTATCGCTGGTAGCGCCACCACTCGGCTGTTATCATCGTAACAAAAGTACAACTTTTGATAATCAGCTGTCAATCGCGTGTGTTACAAACGAGTGTTTTTGAGAATAAAGCCGGAAAATGTTAATAAATATCGAAAAAAACCGTGGCACGATTTGTTGTGTTGTTGGGTGTATTTCGAGAGGAAATCCTGGGTTGGGTTTTTATCGGTTTTCCAGTAAACAGTGTTAATCCGAATGAAGAAATAAATTTCATACAGTCCCTGTAAATATAAATTGTACCTATTAGCAGTGTTGTAACAGTTACAATATTTTCAGTATCTACCTACAGTTACAGTTACTTACCAAAATTTGTAACTAGATACAGATAAATATTTTATTGCAGTAACTAGTTACAGATACAGTTACCTTCAAAAAGTATCTAGATATTTTAAGATACACACAAATTAATATTTGTTTTAAAAAATTTAAAATAAAAATAAAACGGAATTTTAAAGTGACAACAAAAATATACATGTTTATAATTTTTATTTTTTTTATAATATTTAATTTAAAATAACTTATTTTTTATAATATTTTTTTTTAGCATTAATAACATTTCAAAATTGTAAATTTTCAAGATCTCTAGTATAACTTTATACTTTTCCACACAAACAAACTTTAACTGTCAAAAGTGCAGATTACAGAAAACTGTATCTACCACGGTTTTTAAAACCTTTTATAACCAGTTTAGTATATTTCTTTACTCAACGAAAGTAAATTCGTTAAAAAATAATAATAATAATAACAGTATGGCCACATATTATATGGACATACTGTTGGATGCGTTCAGAAATTAAAAATTGTGTCAGAAGTGGAAGTGGGCGTGTTTTACTTGTCTCAATAAATAATGGTCGCAGTTTAATTAAAAAAGTATCTTTGTATCTTAACACACCTAGTTACTTAGAATTTGTAACTAGTTACAGTTATAGTTACTAGATTGGGATAAGTAACTAGTTACACAAACAGATACATAAAAAGTATCTAGATACTGTATCTAGTTACTTGTAACTAGATACGTTACAACACTGCCTATTAGATACAATAAATACACATTTTAGTAATGATTAACGTGAAAAGTGTAAACATTTCAATTCAGTAATAATCGTCAAACAAATAAGTCGTCGAAATTTAAACAGCATTTAGCATTATTAAGAATTCTTTTAAGTCTCCACTCAACGGTATTACAACATTATATTATGTATTATATATTATATTATGTTGCCATGAATTCGTAGGTATATTTTGTTGTTTAAAATGCAGTTGTCGGCGTTTTTTAGAGAACTCAAACATAAAAATGGTTGATTTTAAGGTTATGTTTGTGCAAAAATTACTTTTTACTAATTTCTTAAAAATGTCCAAACTTAAATATAAATTATATTAGGCAAAGTTATCGTTAGTTAATTCTGCACCAACAAATGTACTTACCGAATTGGATCTTTTGGCAAAACATGAAAATGCAACGATTTAGTTCTTGAATTTTATTTACAATTAAAAACGCAATAATTCACCATGATCCCTTAGATAAAATGCACACACTAACGTAACTATATAAGCATTTAAGCGATGAGTTTCTTAATCAATTATATAAAGAATAATCAATCGAAATCGAGTAGTAAACCAGTTTTTTAGTTTTTTCCTTGCAACGTAAAACACAAATAACGTGCGCGATTTAGCTGTGCAATTGAACAAAATGATGTACAGTTCGTATGCGTTAACCCGATACTTTTTTAGCGTATAACCAGTAGGGTGATTAATTTCCGCAAAGTTTTTGTTTTCTTCGGTGCTCAAGCAAAATATTAATCTGCATATAGAAAAAAAAATTCTCAACAAGTTTGAGCTCTTAATATAAATTTTAAGTACTTACTATTTAAATTTAAAGTTTTACCGTTTAAAATGCATTTAAAAAATATATTTTTTTTTTCAAATTTTTAATGCGCTTACCCACCTTTGACAATATTGCAAATCGGTTGAATACACCTTATGGGTAATTTCACGCTCTTTAAAATTGCTTTTGAGTTTTTTTTGTAACTCGCATTGGTTCACCAGTAGGAGTCGTCAAAGGACAGTTTTTGAAAAAAATCAGTTTTTTTACAAACCGCAAAAAGTAGGGAGAAAAAAGGGCTGAATCATAAAAAAAAGTTATCCAACCAATATTTAATGAATTTACAGCCATTTTTATAACTGAAAACGTAAGAAATTAATAATTACCAACTCATAATGTTATTTAGATTGATTTTTTCTATTTATAATCATTATATTTCCCTACACTAAGAAGTTTTTTTAAATTATTGATTTCTCACTTATAATGAATACTTATGAAAACAACAGATAAATTCATAAAAAAACAATAAGAAAATTGTAACGTGGATTTTGCAATTTTTCAACATTTCTGTCATATAGCAAAAAAATATAAATGAAGATTATTTAATTTTTTGAAGCGAAATTTGAAGTATGTTACATAACCTTCTGTATATTCCGATTAAAGTTTTGTTGTTTTTTTATGAATTAATGTGTTGTTTTCATATTCATTATGAGTGAGAAATCATAATTATTTTAAAAAAGTTCTTAGTGTAGGGAAATATAATGATAATAAATAGAAAAAATCAATCTAAGTAACATTATGGGTTGGTATTTATCAATTTCTTACGTTTTCAGTTATAAAAATGGCAGTAAATTTATTAAATATTGGTTGGATAACTTTTTTTTATGAATCAGCCCTTTTTTCTCACTACTTTTGGCGATTTGCTCGAAAAAATAAAAAAAAACGATTTTTTTCAAAAACTGTCCTTTGACGACTCCTACTGGTGAACCAATGCGAGTTACAAAAAAAACTCAAAAGCAATTTTAAAGAGCGTGAAATTCCCCATAAGGTGTATTAAACCGATTTGCAATATTGTCAAAGGTGGGTAAGCATTAGAAATTTGAAAGAAAATATATATTTTTTACATGCATTTTAAACGGTAAAACTTTAAATTTAAATAGTAAGTGCTTAAAATTAATATTAAGAGCTCAAACTTGGTGAGAATGTTTTTTCCTATATGCAGATTAATATTTTGCTTGAGCACCGAAAAAAAACCAAAAACTTTGCGGAAATGAATCACCCTAATAACCAGCTACCGGTTTATGTGTATTATATGAGCAAATATGCTGTTTTAGGGTGGTTCGGTATGAGAAAGGACTTCTGCTCTTTCGTGCTGGGTATGTGTCCGCTGCTTCAGGAGTACGCCAACATAGCTTACCATTCGGAACGGCGCGCCAATGGCGTAGAACTCCAGCAAGTGGACAAAAACGACAAGTATAACCTTAAAAAGAACGACCACCTGAAACCGGTGCTTCCGATAGTATCGATCGAGACCCCAGACTGAACAAAAACAAAACATAAAACAAACGACAACGCCGCAAATCGAAGAAATAAACAAAAAGAGTTCGAAACAAACGTTTTTAGGCGCGATAGTAGACTTTACAAGGCAGCTTTTGTACATAATATTAAATCATACGTCTTTTTAGTTATTTTAATTGATCTTCCATTTAATTTAATGATTTTTTAATATACTATACTGTATTAGTGGAAAAAGTGAGGTTAGACACGTCTGGCAGATTGGTAAAAAGTTAGGTTAAAATCGCTTGACAGTTGTCAGATAAAATGAGTATTTATTTTAAAACACTTTACTGTATACAATATTTGCCCTAACAAACAAATTAGATGTACGCGCTCAATATTTTGTACAAAATTATTTTATGCATATTGTAATTTATTTTAAGTTATTGCTAGGTTACAGCAGATACAAATTCCGTGGTAGTATGTTAAAAAAAATGTGATAAAATTTGAGTTTTTGTGCCAATTATATGAATTAATTAAGTTCTACTTACTAATAAATCAATAAACCTATTTTACTCCCTATTCCTATCAAACATAACATATCCCTTCACTTGAATTTGAATTGCTTAACAATCCGCCCCAAAAAGCGAATACATACAAATCCATAAAAAGATAACTATGCCAAAAATAATATCAGATTCTAGTTCATCCCCTTATTTTTGGTTTTGCAAATATTGAATCACATTATTTTCAGCTAAGCAGATCAAAAAATATTTAACAAAATATATGTTGGATACATAAAATAATAATTTATATACCAGACTGACTTTAGATGTCAAAATTTATGGGTTTTTCTGCTGAAAATGTCTTTAAAAATAGCTAAAAACATACTTTTGGCGGTTATAAAACTTTTTGACATTTTGGTATTCAAAGGTCCCAAACCTATGGTATTATTCATGTAAACGCCATCTATCGCTCTGTAGTTGCACTACCACTTTCACTTGATGCAATGATTTTAGCAAAAATAAATTTCATACAGTCTAGAGATGGGTAATTCAATCATTTATTAGTGATCCGTTGTGTGTAAATATGAAAGATAATCATTTATATATTAGTGCAGTGATCACAATTTTAATTGCCCAGGCAGCTTGTTGTATATATGCAGTATACTGCCCAACTATGGAGAAAGGCAGTAACTGCTAAACAAGAAATTTGTGGGAAATTAGCATAAACTACATTTTTATAAAAAGCAGTAGGTATTTAACTGATTTATTTAACTTAAAAGATAGTTTACTGCATTTCTTTGTTGAATTAAGATACAAAATGTCCATAGCTTTATCATAGCACAAGAAAACGCATTTAGAATTTTTTTGTAGTAGGGTATAATGAAAAAAAAACTCTACAGCACATGTCCATAACAAGCACTGTGATTGGTCACAATTAAACTTAACAATTATTGATACTTTAAAATATGATTTTGTTAAGAAAATATTTTATCCTTTGATTTTGTTGATTACTATAATTGCAAAATATTATCACAAAGTATTAAAAATTCTTACACGGGAAATGTTAATAGTACGGAAGGAAGGAAGGAAGTCAATCTATAATTCAGGCTTAAACGTTGTATTAACTTATTTATTAAGTCGTTGTGTGAAGTTTAAAACCCCTGCATCTCAGTGTACATTGATTTTGATTACGTAAGCGTGCTTGCAGCATGTACGAATAGATGGCGCTGATGTTTGGTTGTCAATTTAACGAATAAAACACAATCTAGCGTGTTGTCACTTTGACAGCTGTCATACGGCATAGTTATATTACTAATTGAATAGAGAATAATTCAGTTATTTAGTCTTATATTTGAATTACGTAAGTTCCCTCTCCGCGCATTCTATTTTTAACTGTCCGCGCACGGAAGTGCCTAGCGGCGAGAAACCGAACCAGTCGATTCCCGAGGTCCGTTTAGTTCAAGACCATGTTGGGAGCCGTAGCAAGAGCAAGTTCAGGCCTTTTGGCCGGCAAAACCGCCGAAAAATTGGGCGCAGAGACCCTTAAAGCCACCGCCGCGTACAATGGACAACGTGAGTACAAAAATTTCGTAATTTGAACGTGTTTTTTAACCTGCAAAGTCTAGTTTTGTTCGGCCATCGTTATGTCACAATTTTAACATCGAATATTAAGTTTTTACGTGTTGAAACGATTGATAATCCCTTAAATTACCACCTTTGAACTGTACTTAGTAAAATCCACCGGGAAAACACTTATTTTTTACATATTTAGGTTACATAATATCTTATCAAAATCGCCATTTTGAAGTTATGTAAAACTCAACCTAAGGGTTTAAACGCGTTAAAATTGGTGTTATTTCTGTTTTAGAGAGAGGTTTGGCCGCCAAAGCCGCTCCCACCCCCAGCGGTAGGGTAGTTGCAGTTATTGGTGCCGTTGTGGATGTCCAGTTCGATGAAGCTCTTCCCCCAATTCTTAACGCTTTGGAGGTTGCAAACCGCACCCCCAGGCTGGTCCTCGAAGTGAGTAAATTTGGTTTTCAGTATTTTCGGCGTCAAGTCGAATTTTAGAGTGTCAGTGATTTGAGGTTATACGTTGTATGTTTCTTTGCTTAGGTTGCGCAGCATTTGGGAGAAAACACCGTGCGTACCATCGCCATGGACGGTACTGAGGGTTTGGTGAGGGGACAGCAGGTGGCTGATACCGGCTTCCCCATTCGTATCCCCGTTGGGGCGGAAACTTTGGGGCGCATCATCAACGTGATCGGAGAGCCTATTGACGAAAGGGGCCCCATTCCCACCGACAAGGTGGCCCCCATTCACGCTGAGGCGCCCGAATTCGTTGACATGAGTGTCGAACAGGAGATTCTCGTCACTGGTATTAAGGTAAACAGCTTGATAACTTTTTTATTGCAAATAAATATTAATTTTTTTCTTTTTTACTGTGTTAAGTAACACTCATAACGCTTAATTAAATATATTTTATTGGAAAAAAATTAATGTTTCTATTTTTTAATGCTATTTTAGATTTTCGAAAAACACCGTTTTGCGGAAATAATTTAATAATTTTTGTATTACAAATAATTGTTAATTTTTTTCTTTTTTACTGTGTTAAGTAACACTTATAACGCATAATTAAATATATTTTATGTGAAAAAAATTACGGTTTTTATTTTTTTAATGCGATTTAATATGATCAAAAAATACAGTTTTATGGAAATAATTCAATAATTTTTGTATTGCAAATAATTAGTAATTTTTTTCTTTTTAAATGTTTTAAGTAACACTTTTAAATCATAATTAAATATATTTTATTGAAAAAATAAATGTTTTTATTTTTTTTATGCTATTTTAGATTTTGAAAAAACACCGTTTTGCGGAAATAATTCAATAATATTTATATTACAAATAATTATTGATTTTTTTCTTTTTGTTAAGTGACACTTATAACGCACAATTAAATATATTTTATTTTAAAAAAGGTTTTTACTTTTTTAATGCTATTTAAGATGGTCAAAAAGTACAGTATTGTGGAAATAATTCAATAATTTTTGTATTTCAAATAATTATTTATTTTTTCTTTTTTACTGTGTTAAGTAACACTTATAACCCATAATTAACTATATTTTATTAGAAAAAAATAAATGTTTTTATTTTTTTAATGCTATTTTAGATTTTCAAAAAACACCGTTTTGCGGAAATAATTCAATAATTTTTGTATTAGAAATAATTATTTCTTTTTTACTGTGTTAAGTAAGCCTTATTACATACATAGAAAAAAAAATGAATTAAACTTATTAATGTCTAATAGGCAGAGTTAATTTTTTTTTTTTTTAATCATTTTTTAATTTAAATCACATTTTTTAATCGAAATCATAGTAGGCATTTTTGGATTAACAGGTTAAGTGCCACAATTAAAAAAAAAAACAAAAAATTCAACATAAATAAATTATTTAATGTTTATTTTAAATAATCAATATACCGTAAAAGAGATTTTATCAGAAAAGTATTTCATGTGTCTGTTTCTACCAAATCAATAAATTTATATAATTTTTTATTTAAAATGTGATTTAAATCCTAACAACCCTGCTATTAGGTAATAGATAATAATAATATTTATTATTTGAATTATCAAAATTATAAAAGTGGGAAAAAATGCTTAACATTTCTAAGAAAATTTCATACAAAAAATCAATCTAAAATTTCCGAAAAATCTGAATTGCAAATTAATCATAGATCGCAATCCACAAAACAAGGTCTGATCTATCTCGTACTAAAAATACAAAAAATCACTACAACACTGCACAGAATCTAACGGCGGCCATTTTTATGTTGTTTACAATTCTCGTGCTTTGAGTTTTTTCTGTTTATACAGTTTTAAACGTTGTGTGTCATGTAATCAAACAGTCAAATTTTAGTTTTAAGGTTAATTTACCATAACCCACAGCACAAGAATTGTAAACAACAAAAAAATGCGCGAAACGACATGGAACAGACCTTGTTATACAGGGTGTTATGTAATTAATGTTATATATTAAAATACTGAATACCTTTTTACATAAGGAATAGAGGAAAAATATTTAAAAAAACATTTTTCCAAAGATAAAGAAAAAATATGCATTAGAAGTTTTTTATATTTTTTGTGATACGCCACTGGTTACACACTTGGTTTATTTCTGCACACTTGTATTTTGTGAGTACATAGATACCAACCAACAAAGTAGCTATGCGTTGCCAGATGTAAAAAATTGTTACTATAATTTTTTTTTGCAAAAAATAAATAAAAACTCAATAAATACAAAAGTTTTATGCCCTTAAAGTTCTAATACCCTTCTGTATTTATTTACTGATCAAGCTATTAGCTTAAGCAATGATTAGAAAATTTAGTACCTTTGAAATTTAAAATCCATAACCACAAAATTAATTTTTTCATCAGTTTTTTTCTCTGTTTACTCAAATGAAATTGGGACCAGTTCACAGGTTAAACTTTAAACATTTAATTTGTGTAAATAAATCCAAAAGCACTTCCCTTAGTTAAGATGTTTACAATTTGAAAACATAACCTAAAATTTAAAAGAAATGCACTAGATTCTGTCATAATAGTTGGCAGATTTTGTTTGAATTTACCTTCAGTACAAAAATGACATAACCAACAATTAATAAAAACGCCAAATTGACAATTTGCATTGTTAATTTTGTCATTTTTGTAATTAAGCAAAATTTAAACAATGTTTGTCAACTTTTTTGAGAGATTTTGGAAAGACTGTTGTTACCAACCATAACATAATAAATCCACCAGATTAACCTAAAGTTCCTAGTCGATCAGTGGCGTACTTTTTGGTAGGATAAAGGTTATTATAAATTATTTTTAGACTTTGGAATTTAGAAAAAAAAGTTTCAGGTGCTTCTTTATGGACCCTAAGGAACAACCCATTTTAATATATAACATTAATTACATAACACCCTGTATGTATTGTGCCATAGATAAAAAAACGGTTGTCGTAGGTCGTCGACTTGTTGGCTCCATACGCCAAGGGAGGTAAAATCGGTCTTTTCGGTGGTGCCGGAGTAGGCAAAACCGTATTGATCATGGAACTCATCAACAACGTTGCCAAAGCTCATGGTGGTTACTCAGTGTTCGCCGGTGTTGGCGAACGTACCCGCGAAGGTAAGATAATCTCTTTTCGTGCAACGAACAAAAAAAAACGCTTCCTCAAACTCCAGGTAACGACTTGTACCACGAGATGATCGAATCCGGCGTCATCTCGCTGAAAGACAAGACCTCCAAGGTCGCTCTCGTCTACGGTCAGATGAACGAGCCCCCAGGCGCCAGGGCTCGCGTGGCTCTGACCGGTTTAACCGTCGCGGAATATTTCCGCGACCAAGAGGGTCAGGACGTGCTGCTTTTCATCGACAACATCTTCAGATTCACTCAAGCCGGTTCCGAGGTGTCCGCCTTGCTCGGGCGTATCCCCTCCGCCGTGGGTTACCAACCCACCTTGGCCACCGACATGGGTAGCATGCAGGAGAGGATCACCACCACCAAGAAGGGTTCCATCACCTCCGTACAGGTAACAAAGCGTTCTAACGTTTAAGTTTAGGTTTGGTCTTTGGATGGTGGTAAGTCCGTATTAGTCCTTATTTGGGGATTCCCCTGCAAGTATTCTTTGCGAAAAAGTTTTTTATTAAGAGTGATAGATCTTTGATCAACGAGTTGTTATTATTATTTTTTGACGTGCGTATTCTATAAAGGAAGGTTTTGAAGTGTCGAAAAAAAAACGGTAAAATTGGGAAAATAACCGGTTCTCTTTCCAGTCCTTCTTTTGGTAAAAATTGAATTTTTTTGGAATTATAAACATTTAAAAAAATGACAATTCACATCTAAACATTATTTTAATTGAAAAAAAATATCCTTTGAAAAACTATGTTAAAAAAAATACAGAAAAAATCAGAAAAAGGAAAGAAAAGACATAATTTTCAGATTTTTTAATAAATTTAAATTTTTAACTTTTCTAAAACGAGGTTTTTTTATTACTTTTTGACTCTTCTTAAGGTTCTTCCAAAGTTTCAGATTTTTAAACTAATTTTCAAGAAAAAATCCTAAAACAGATTTTTAAATTAATTTTCAAAAAAAAATCTGAAAAAATACTAAAAAAGTAAGAAAAAATCATATTTTTTTTTTCAAACGAGGTTTTTTATTACTTTTGACTCTTCTGAAGGTACTCCCAAAGTTTGAGATTGTTAAATTAATTTTCAAAAAAAAATCATAAAAAATCCTAAAAAAGTGAAAAGAAAAATCATAATTTCAAACCAGGTTTTTTCTTACTTTTTGACTCTTCTAAAGGTACTCCCAAAGTTTCAGTGTATTTGTGAATTTGTTAATTTTTTAGAAAAATAAACATCAAAATTCCCTTTTTTCGTTGGCTCAACCCTACTACAGGGTCCGGCAACAGAATTGAACGGTTTTAAAAATGCTGCTATGGAAATACTTTTGATTTGATATATGTCAAATAGTGACAGACTTGTACCTTATTGCCGAAAGTTTCGTGTACAATGGCAATTAAAAATTGTGTGCAGAAATTGAGTCGATTGACTTTATCAATGGGATTTAGCCTCTGGACTGTCGGTTTTTTGGATGGAGTTTTAAATCCAGATGTAACATTCGTCGCCTACTTTGGTCTGAAATGTGTAGAGCAATCGAGTGCCGCTCAAACGCTTCTCTGACTCTTCCAATATTGTCTTGTGTACAAACTGTACGAGTTCCAGCGGCAAATTTTGCCTCTTTCGTTAAAATCTCTTACCCATCTGAAAATGGCATTTTTTTATGGGACTTCAGCTCGCACTTGAAAATTATATTCACGACGAAAGCGTCTCTGCGTTTGTATACGAAGGACTGGGTCAGGGTAAACGAATTTACAGCAAATATCCGTTGATTAACCGGCCAGTTTGACATTGCACACGAAATAAGTCTGTCACTATTTGACATATACCAAATCAATAGTATTTCCATAGCAGCCTTTTCAAAACCGTTCAATTCTGATGCCGGACCCTGTACAAAGCTTGTCATCTTATAATGGAGAGATACACAAGTGCTAAAAAAACAACACTCAATTTCTTTGTCCTACCAAATCTAAAAGTAAAACAAAGTCGTACCTGTTTTGCACCTTGTTCAATTCCACTTCAAAGATCTATCACTCTTATTAAAAAAACCCTTTACCATGTGAAGAAACCATAAAACAAACCGGATGTCCGTTGCAGGCCATCTACGTGCCAGCCGACGATTTGACCGATCCCGCCCCTGCCACCACCTTCGCTCACTTGGACGCCACCACCGTGCTGTCGCGTGCCATCGCCGAGCTGGGCATCTACCCCGCCGTCGATCCCCTCGACTCCACCAGCCGTATCATGGACCCGAACATCATCGGGCACGAGCACTACAACGTCGCGCGCGGCGTGCAGAAGATCCTCCAGGACTACAAGTCCCTGCAGGACATCATCGCCATCCTGGGTATGGACGAGCTGTCCGAGGACGACAAGCTGACCGTGGCGCGCGCAAGAAAGATCCAACGTTTCCTTTCGCAGCCCTTCCAGGTCGCCGAGGTGTTCACCGGCCATCCCGGCAAGCTGGTGCCGCTCGTCGAGACCATCAAGGTAAGTCGAGATCATTTTTTTTTTCAGCCGTTTCTTTGATGTGTTCTCCCAAAATCGCGTAGCGAAGGTTCCCAACAATTTCCCAACGAAACCCATCATCCAGTTAGTCCATCTGACAGTTAAATTCCATATCGATCGTTGTGAGCACAATGCCATCCATGGAAATTATCTGCCAGATAACTAACCGCAACTTTAACTGGGCATCGATAAACCGTCTCTAAGAACGACGCAAATTTCCTGCTTCGTTTCTTTGACTTGTTCCCTCAAAATCGCGTAGCGAAAGTTCCCAAAAATTTCCCAACGAAACCCATCTTTGGTTAAGTTCCAGTTAGTCCATCTGACAGTTAAATTCCATATCGATCGTTGTGAGAACAACGCCATCCATGGAAATTATCTGCCAGATAACTAACAGCAACTTTAACTGGGCATCGATAAACAGTCCCTAAGAACGACGCAAATTTCCTGCTTCGTTTCTTTCATTTGTTCCCTCTTAATCGCGTAGCGAAAGTTCCCAACAATTTCTCAACGAAACCCAAGCCAAATCTCTTTTGTTTATGCAAGCAACGTATTTCGATATTGCCGACTAAAGGCCGCTTTATCGATCTTTGGTCAAGTTCCAGTTAGTCCATCTGACAGTTAAATTCCATATCGATCGTTGTGAGAACAATGCCATCCATGGAAAATATCTGCCAGATAACTAACAGCAACTTTAACTGGGCATCGATAAACAGTCCCTAAGAACGACGCAAATTTCCTGCTTCGTTTCTTTCATTTGTTCCCTCTTAATCGCGTAGCGAAAGTTCCCAACAATTTCTCAACGAAACCCAAGCCAAATCTCTTTTGTTTATGCAAGCAACGTATTTCGATATTGCCGACTAAAGGCCGCTTTATCGATCTTTGGTCAAGTTCCAGTTAGTCCATCTGACAGTTAAATTCCATATCGATCGTTGTGAGAACAATGCCATCCATGGAAAATATCTGCCAGATAACTAACAGCAACTTTAACTGGGCATTGATAAACCGTCCATAAGAACGACGCAAATTTCCTGCTTCGTTTCTTTGATTTGTTCCCTCAAAATCGAGTAGAGAAGTTTCTGAACAATTTCTCAAACGTCAAAAAAAGTTTTTTCTAAATATTATTAATTTCTTAGGGTTTCCAAGAAATCTTGAACGGAAAGTACGACCACCTCCCTGAAGTGGCTTTCTACATGGTCGGGCCTATCGAAGAAGTCGTCCAAAAGGCCGAAAAATTAGCTGAGTCAACCTAATTATGTAATTAAACATTATTTATACATGTTTTATTCCATCTTCAATGACTTTTGTTTTGCAAAGGTTTCCAATCAACAGCATAGCAGACACCGTTATAATTTTTTTACAACTTGTTTTAAAAATGCAATGAGGTGTAATTGTTGTATTTACTTTTAATTTTAATAAAATAGTACGTTAATCTATTTGTTTTTTTTTATTATTCCTTTTCAGTGATTTAAAAAAATGCTTCTTAAAAAATAACCAAATACAAATCCGAAAATTTCAAAATTTTTGGTTTAAATTTTTAAAAAGTACCAGGATCTGGGATTTTTCGGAAATCTGGCAACATCGCATTGTATCAGGAGTACACCTCCTCGCTTTTCTGCGATCCTAATACAAATCCGAAAATTTCAAAATTTTAAGAAACGGTTTGAATTTTTAATAATTTTAAAAAAATACCTGAATCTGGGATTTTTCGGAAATCTGGCAACATCGCATTGTATCAGGAGTATACCTCCTCGCGTTTCTGCTATCCTAATACAAATTCGAAAATCGCAAAATTTTAATAAAAATTTAAACCATTTCATAAAATTTGAAATTTTCGAATTTGTATTAGGATCGCAGAAACGCGAGGAGGTATACTCCTGATACAATGCGATGTTGCCAGATTTCCGAAAAATCCCAGATCCTGGTACTTTTTAAAAATTTCTTAAAAATTTAAACCGTTTCTTAAAATTTTGAAATTTTCGATTTTTTATTAGGATCGCAGAAAAGCGAGGAGGTATACTCCTGATACAATGCTATGTTGCCAGATTTCCAAAAAATCCCAGATCCTGGTACTTTTTAAAAATTTCTTAAAAATTTAAACCGTTTCTTAAAATTTTGAAATTTTCGAATTTTTATTAGGATCGCAGAAAAGCGAGGAGGTGTACTCCTGATACAATGCGATGTTGCCAGATTTCCAAAAAATCCCAGATCCTGGTACTTTTAAAAAATTTCTTAAAAATTTAAACCGTTTCTTAAAATTTTGAAATTTTCGAATTTTTATTAGGATCGCAGAAAAGCGAGGAGGTATACTCCTGATACTTTGCGATGTTGCCAGATTTCCAAAAAATCCCAGATCCTGGTACTTTTTTAAAATTTCTTAAGAATTTAAACCGTTTCTTAAAATTTTGAAATTTTCGAATTTTTTATTAGGATCGCAGAAAAGCGAGGAGGTATACTCCTGATACAATGCGATGTTGCCAGATTTCAGAAAAATCCCAGATTCGAAAATTTCAAAATTTTAGGAAATGGTTTAAATTTTTAAGAATTTTTGATATATAATGAGAGATAATTTACCACTTACCTTATAGAGTAGACACAAATAAATACAGCAGGTAAATTGATAAATAAAACACATAAATAATACTTAAACTACATATATTATTAATTCATTATATCAAAGTACAGTCTGGGGTTACAAAGTACAGTGCATTTAATAAATCACAACCCTATTAAACCCACTGTATATCAAAAAATTGACAATATCCACATATCATTACAAAATAGGTTAAATAAAAAAAAAACAACATTACAAGATATACATTAATGTACAAAACAGTTATTAATAAAAACGGCCGTAAAACACCCGGTATATAAAATAAATCGACGGGAAGCACAGTAATCAACGAAATTCCTCTTTAATCTCACAATGTGTAAATTTGGCAACGTAGCTTAAGCCATCGAGAAAAAATATTAGTGTAATATCAATTTTTTTAAGTAAACTCGATGGCCGCGCTAAAGTTGTTCACTCAGTACATACATAAGTTGCTTACAGCCATTCAATGGAATGTTAGGACAATTTGGCACGTAACACAATATCCGGTGATGTATATAAAAAATAGGGTTAAAAACACCCTTAAACATGTCACATCAAGCAATTAGGGGTGACTACACGATATAAATAAACAGTCTAAACTTAGATTGCGTGCTAATAAATCTGAAGCGGTTTTTTGACTAGTTAAACAAGGGTACAGAGGTAACGATCGACAGAAAAAGCGTTAAAACAATGTTAAAATCTTTTAGTAACTATATAATAATTAAAATTGCACGTTTGCGGCAAAATCACGGAGCGTATGCTCCTGCTCGGGCGCCAATTTAAATTAATCGTATTGGTCGGGCAAAAAAAGTTTCAAGACGAAAAATGTGGGGATTGAAGTTTTGAGCATGTTTGGTTAAGGGAAAAACTGTCTGTATTTAGCTCCTAAGATGATAGAGGGCGCCAATGCTTGTTCATATTTTTGTCTTCTTCTAACTTCTCAGGGATTAAGTATAGAAAGTTTTGCCCGTAATCAAATATGTTTAAAACTTCGAGCTCCACATTTTTTGTCTTGAAAATTTTTTTCTCCGGTCAAAAAAAAAAAACGCGAGTTGGCGCCCGAGCAGGGACCTCGAAAATTTGGATTCCGCCTTTCAGATGTTTCTCTCATGATTTTGCCGCGCAGCGCGCGTTCCCCTTAATACAAAGGATCACAGAAAAAATTCCAACGACCTCGACCCGCACACACCATCTACCTGCATCAAATGTTCGAGCTGTGAATTTTCTGCTGCACCATGTCCAGCAGTATGTCCGAATACTGCTCCATCACGTTTACGACGGAGTTGGCGCTGGTTGCACTACTCTTAGCAACTAGATCGTTGAGCTTTTTGACGGCGTCCGTCTGATTGACGTCGATGTTGCTGTTGCTCTGCCTGAGGTCGGTGAGGATGCAGTCGTGCAGTATTTTGTGCGTGCGGATTATCGACATCTTTACCCGGTCGATTTGCGCCTGGGACTCCCCGGCGCCCGAATCCCCCCCGTCCTGGATCATCAGGTTGCCGTAAAGTTGCACCACGTTTTCGGCGGCTTTGGTGAGCTTTTTTATCGTGTCGTCGCACAACTGATTCGATACTGAAAACGCGAAAAAATGCTTTAGAAGAACACCCTCATACCCACACGATAGTTTTTGTTCAGCCTGGCTGAATACTAAAATTACCAAAGCATTTTCCGCAACAACCTAGATAAGAAAAAGCACAAAGGCACGAACAAATTTTAGAAATATTCCCTCCTTGTCCTTCTACCAGGTCAAAGGTGTAAATATGCAATCAGAGGGTGTTCAAAAACGAAAACTTGTTTCGTTCATTGTTCTCTCGGAATTTCTGTTGGTGGAATGCACCAAACTGTTTAGTTGCGGTTTATAATTATTAACTAAAGGTAAGTCAATTTCAAAGTATTATTACTCATCGCGGTTTAAAATGTCAAAAATTGCGTCTAGTTTTGGTTCATAAGGTCGCGTGAAAATCGTGTAAATCTATTAGTGTTAGGATAAACACTAGATAGATTAAATTTTCAGCACACTTACAGTGAAATAAATGGAAATAAATTAGTGTCAAAATGAACACTATGAAGTCGCACGAACTGTGTTAAATGGGTTACACTACAAGGGTATAACCTCTAGAGTTAAAACAACACTAATATTCACACTAAACTTAAGGTGAAAATTTAAACTCTAATTAAGTGGACCTGCTCAAGCTATAACTATAGTGTTCTCTAGTGAAGCCTAGTGTGAAGGTTTTTTTACTGCGTGGTTAGTAAATATTATACTTTTGGAGGCCTGTAATTTTTAGGAATGTTTCCCTAAGAAAATTCGCTGAATTTCAAATAAATGTAGGTAACGATGGTAGGGACATAGAGGCAGAATCACTTTTAAATGTAACACCCGAAACTTTGTGTTTTGTTTTGGTGTTGGGGAATATTTCTAACATTTGTTCAACATATCGCCAAAGTAACAAAGGGACGACACAGATGCAAAAAGCGCATGCGACACTTACTTTCGATCGACGATAAGTCTAAACTTTCGATTGAATTAAAATCGTCGTTAGTGATCGTTGTGTCGAAATGAATGGTGTGACGTGATGCTACAAGAAAAAATACTATGGGTGAGACACACCAAGCGTGTAGAATAGGGTGTCCCTTATTTTTATTTTTTTACGCATACCCTCTAATTATATTTATTACTTGTTTATATACTCCCAGTAAAAATTTCAGCTCATTCTATAAACGGGAACCCGTGCCGACTTGCATCTAAACCCTCCGTTAGCCAACGTTAGGCGCGCGCGGTATTTTGTAACACGAAACACTTTAAAAAGAAGATATACTTCATGACTGTATTTTTTTTAATGATTTTATTAAATATTTGTTTCTATCATTTGTTTCACTAATTTAGTTAATTTTATCCCTTAAATATATTAATATATTAATTAGTATTGCTAAAATATACTGTTATATGAAATTTCAGACAGTTCAATAAGTTTTCGGTAGTCATCTCTCACAATAGACTCTTTTAGTTATTTAGATGAAAACCCATTAAGTTTATCAATTTCAGAGTTTACGGCCTATTCACCAGACCCTTCCGGGTAACTAGCCACTCCCTGTGAAAATATACATTTTTATCAAAGTACACACATAAATAAAATTATATTTTAACATTTGTCAATAATTTATAATATAAGGGTCACATAATAACAAACACAAAATGACTTACGATCGAAGACCTCGCGACCAACCGTGTTACAAAATACCGCGCGCCTAACGTTGGCTAACGGAGGGTTCAGATGCAAGTCGGCACGGGTTCCTGTTTATAGAATGAGCTGAAATTTTTACTGGGACTATATAAACACGTAATAAATATAATTAGAGGGTATGCGTAAAAAAAATATAAATAAGGGACACCCTAGTGTAGAATGGCGAGTGTAGTGTTATGTGGCTTACCTTTCGATTTTTCTTTGTTGTTGTTGTTGTTGAGATGTTTTCGGGGAGTCACATGGGGCATGTTGTTGTTCTCGTAGTTGCCGCTTCTCGTCCTAGGCGGCGCTGTAGGTTTCTTGCTGTCGATGTCGTCGTCGGACGTCGAGATGTTTTCTACACCCACCGTACTCAAGTTACCTACAACAGAGTGATAACATTTTAGTCTCTCCCTCTGTTAACACTACACGTCTTGTCGTGCTCACTTGTGGAGTATGATTGCTTCTTCCTGCTGTTCAGGGCTTTGCTCTGCAGCGAGTTCATCTTGTTGTGCGAGCTGATGGTAGGCCGCATCAGTCTGGAAATTTTGTTGCTCTTGTCATTGCTGTCGTTTTCGCTGTCTGAAGCGTTTAGGACGGTTGTAGAACGGCTACGTTGC